CGTCGCACTGGGCGACGAGCTCCTCGAGGGTGTCGACGCGGCGGCAGCCAATCTCCTTCTCGACCTCGGGGCGCAGGGGCTGGTAGTCGTAGTAGAGCAGCTCCTTGCAGTCAAAGGGCTTGAGGCGGCGCAGGACGCGCTCGCCGATGCGGCCGACGGCGACGGTGCCGACGACCTTGCCCTCGAGGTCGAACTCGTTCTTGGCGGCCTCGGCGACGTCCCAGTCGCCGCGCACAATCTGCTCGTGGGCGGGGACAAAGTTGCGGACGAGCAGCAGGATGGTCATGACGACGTGCTCGGCGACGGAGACGACGTTGGAGCCGGTGACCTCGGCGACGGTGATGCCGCCGTTGGTCTTGTTGGCGGCATTGAGGTCGACGTGGTCGGAGCCAATGCCGGCGGTGATGGCGAGCTTGAGCTTCTTGGCCTTGGCGAGGCGCTCGGCGGTCAGGTAGCCAGGATGGAAGCTAACCGGTTAGTGGACTTGAATGTATACTACATCTACATGTGCAAGTCACTCGGCAGACTCACGGCGTTGTGATGATGACCTCGGCGTCCACCAGCTCCTTGTCGAAAGTGGAGCCCTCACCCTCCTTGTCGGAGGTGGTGACCAGAGTGTGGCCCTGGTCCTCAAGCCACTTGCGGATGCCGAGCTCGTTCTCGGTCGTACCGAGAAGCTCAGGGACCTATTGGGAGGGGGGAAAATAAACAGTTAGCTGCTGTTGCATGCTGCAATATACTCGAAGTGCAAATTGGCAGGTCGTGCTTGTGAAGAGTGGGCTGCTGTCGGGTTGTTTGATCCGCGGGCGGCCGGGAGAAATGTTTTAAGTGGACCGTTTTGGGGGTAGCTTGGGAGGAGCTATGGCAGCTTGGGGATGGTTTGGAGACCAGTAGGGCAGACGTCCAACAGCGAACTGCCGTTTGGACTGCTCGTTGTACTTTGGTCGCCTCGCATCCCGACAGCGCATTGCATCTGACACGAAGCTGCCGCCAAGAGGCAGTGTACCCCGCAGGCGAATGGGACGAGAGACAAGAGAGTGACAACAGGAACAGAAGGGAGAGCTTACCTCCTCAGCGTGCTTGCCGCCGTCGTAGAGAACGAGCAGAACCTTGACCTATTCAAGTTGTTAGCATTGGTTGGCAGGGGAGTTTGAGTCGCTGTCGTCGTTGTTGGCCAGCGCAGTGCGAGAGGGAGAGGAGCTGTACCATTTTGAATGCGTGGGTGGGATGGTTGTGATGTCCGGGAGGGATATGGTATATGAGGCCGAAGAGGTGGTGGTGTAGAGTGAAGCTGAGAGTTGGCGACGCGATGTAAAGTGAACAGTAAGGAACAGGAACAGAACAGGAGCACAAAAGCAATGGGAAAGAACGGGGGGGATCAGCTGCTTTATACCAGAGAAGGAACACTTTGGAACTTTGGGGGGAAGGAATACTTAGGCGATCGTCACAACAGGGCAAGAGCGAAGCAAGTGAGGAAGAGGGGGCAGGAGGCAATGAAACGGTACTGCAAAAGACGGGCCTACGGGTCGATCATGGCAGGAGCCACCGTGTGCACCTTACTCCTACGGAGAGTGCCTCTGAAGAAGGCAGGATGGATGGTCATCGATCTAGTACTTTCGTGCCCGGGAAGGGGGTTTGTCGGAGAAGTGGACCTTCCCCCCAAGAGGTGCCAAAGAGAAAGAGGCAAGAGCGCGCGAGGGAGACACCGGACGCAGCGGGGACAGAGGGCACAGAGCGCACAGAAGGCACTTACTTAAGGGGGCGAACAAAACGGGCAATGACGCAGCGTCAGAGCTACGGCAACTCGACCAGAAGGAGCGATCACTGCATGGTCTTGCAATACGCCATACAAGGAAGTTACGATCTGTAAACGTAAAGCGAAGCACGATTGCCCGCTGAAGAGAGTACTGTTGAATACCAATGCATCATTGGCATCTTGAAGCCCATAACGCGGCAGAGGTCCAGAACGAACTGTGCCAGACGGGTTTGCTTGTTCGGTAGTCTGGAGGCGATTTGGCTGGGTCCGTTTTCTGGCGGACGCAATCATAAAGCCGAGAGGAAAGCACGGAAAAGAAGGCAATAGGTCGGTTGCGAAACGGAGGCCGGTTTGGTCCCATTTCAGAAGCTACGACGGACGACAGACATGGGATCAAAAGGGTAGTCGCCGTACGTAGCAAGAACGATCCGAAACGGGCATTTCGTACGAGGAAAGAACAACCAGAAACGGTCACGGACAGCGTTTACAAACGATTCGGCTGTCTGCTCGGCAAGGGACCTGGGGACCTTTGGGGAAGCTAGCTAGTATGGAGCCTGATGAGACATTCTCTGGACAGAGAACAGAGAACAGAGAACAGAGAACAGAGAGCGACAGTCGAAGACCATAAACGGCCCGTTGTAATCGTACCCGCTAACGTGATGGTCGTGTGGTCGTCATGCGTTGGGTGGTGCCTTCTCTCGTGTGCTCGATCTCCCCTGCGCTCCTTCCCCATAATACATGCACGAGTAGCAGCCCCGCTTATGATGTAAAACGGAGATGCGTCGGCGGAGGCTCGGGATCGAGGTCACGCTTGTACCAGAGCGATGTGGGGTAGCATAAGCGCATGGCAGCTGCGAGTGGTCTGTGGAAATGTGGGGCGGGCCAGACAGTCGACAACGGTCCAGTGCTTCTCCTCTTTTTGTCATGATCTATCTGCCTACCTTTTGGGGGATATCGTCACGGATATGGCAGCGGGCTGTAAGTAACAATGTACCCTGTTACAACTGAGAATGGCTACAGCTACCGAGCCAACGTCGGGTGACGATGCAGATGGATACTGGATGGAAGACGGCAACGAACTGCGTCCGCGAACGTTAATATAAAAGTAACGGCCACGCATTTGGGTGTACTGTATGTGTCGTTGACGTTGTTTGTATACAAGAGGCAGTGGATGTACATCCTGCACAGCACACGGCAGCCAATAACCCAAAAGAGGGGAAGTTGAGCCGTGTCGACAAAGACGATGCAGGAGGGAGGGGAAACAGCATGTACAGTCAGATAAGAACATGTGTGAAGAACGGAGGCGAGATGGTGTGAAGCAGGCAGTGAGGGGAAATAGCATTGAATGAGCTAAGACGGTGCAACTACGTCGATGAACAATACGAAGACGGCTGTGGCAGCTGGACAGCTGGGAAGGACGTGAAGGGCCATGGATCGTTCCTGATTCGGCTTTTGCATCAGCCAGTGATGGTACGGCATTCCCCGGTGATTGAGCGTTGATGGACATGAAACATATACGTCGAGAGCATCATTGGTGACAGTTGGGGGGAACGGATAAACGGATCAGATGGGAGTCTCTTAAAACAATGGTCTCCAAGGACGTGTGCGCGGCGGTTCGTCTCGTAATTCATGTTTGATATCGGCCCTGGACCTGTTTTGGCCCTGTTTATCCCCGTGTAGCGCACGCTCAGATCTGTCGTGAAGCAATAAACGGACGGACTTGGCTCGGCGAGATGGCAAGACCGGAATACACTCGAGCCTTTCTGTCACGCACGCTTGGTCTTGCAGAGGCCTTCTCTATGCCGCGGCAACGAAAATCGAAAATCCTCCGACAGCCTCGTGTCTGCTGGGACTGTTTTCGTCGTGTCCAATCAAGATCGCTCGAATCTCGGACAGATGCTACTAACGAGTAGACGTCAACGTCCCCGACGTAGGCCAGTCCCGTTATCCAATGCCCCGTCGACATCCGCGAGGCAGGCATCTTTTGCGCTGCTCGCTGGCCATTCATCCCGGGGTCGATCCGTCCGATCCCAAATCCGGCTGTGTACCTGCAGCCAGGATGCATCTGGCGGACTATTCTCGCAGGGCGGGCAACTCCGTGGCACGTCGCACAGTTACTGTTCGAGATGCGGTGTTCACAACAAAACGAAGGAACGGCATTGGTCGGTAGCTCGGGTAGTTCTCGCAGAGTGGGGTGTGTCGCGCGGGCCTCTTTACAACGCCTTCTGCACCAGATCGACCACGTCAAAGTAGACGGCCTGTGCCTGGGCATCGTTTGTGGCCCTTCCCCTGCTTCCCCTGCTTCCACTGGGCCCGGCCAAGCCCAACCCCACCACCAGCGTCCGCGTCTCGCCCGGGTCCCGCAGCGCCACCAGACTGCCAATCTGCGCGGCCACCAGCTGGCCAAACGTCTCGCGGGCCTCGCCACCGGCCCCAAAGAGCGTGCGCGGTGTCAGGTGGGTGGAGGGCAGCAGGCCTGTCGCGGGATTACCGCCACTGCGGACGCCGAGCGAGAGGGCGGCGTCGACAGAGGCGGCAGACGGGGCGGACAGCGGTACTTGGATCTGGGCGGTTCCGTTCGTCAGCGAAATCATACGGCGAGACGTGCGAGGCCACAAACAACGTGAGGATAGAAATGGAAATTCACCCATTGGGCAAGACGTCCGGACTGGGAGACGAGGACGAGAATCTTGTCGCGAAAGTAGGAGACTTCCGCCTCCGTAGGAACGCCGTTGACTGTGCCGGTCGCAGTTTTTGTCTTGGCCGGGTAGGGTGCCCCGTGGACAGGTTTGGAATCAGGTGTAGCAACGTCAGCCATGGCGTGTATATGTGTGTGGTTGCTCCGGTGGTGCTGGGGTTGATGTTGTGTCTATGTTGTGTGAAGGCAAAGGTGGTGAACCCCACTAGAGCGATGTTTGGCGGCATCCGAGTATGCACCTATGGGGGCGGCTGCTGGACCCACTTCAGCAAAGGTCGCACCTTCTGTCAACAACACGCACGAGTATGGCAGGAACTTGCAAGACGAATAAGGCAGGATGTCAGTTTCTTTACTAGAGATGACAATTTATTGCGATATTCTCGTCGTTATACAAAGCGGCTCAGAACGGTCACAAAGCTCCCAGTATTGCGAGGAAGACAGCATTTATGAGATTGCAAACGACTGGAAAGCGTCGACCGTGACTTAAAACATGCCTCTTATGTAAAGAATACATCACAAAATAAAAGTTGCTATTCTCCTTCATTTAGGACACAGGGGTATTCGAAACCCGACTTTGGGATCTGCAATCCCTCGCTCTGCCACTGAGCTACACGACCGGAAGGGAGAACGAGCTTCATTCGCGGCGCCGAGCTTCCTCAGGCCGCTTCAGTACAGAAAAGGAGAGCATGCGAATCGGTTTGGTCTCTACCGGTCCTGGATCGGAGGCACAGCCCTCACAGGTAGACAATGGCAATGGCGCTGTCGGGAATCGTCACCGTCGCTTGGCCGTTGGAAACGCTCACAGTCACCGTCGTGGACTGCACGCCCGTCACCTCCTTGCCCAGGCTGGCAAAGGTCCACTGGCTGCCACCAAACGTCGTGTGGTCGGCGTTCTGCACGGCCCCGCCGGGGTTGGTCAGGTACTTGACCGTGGCGGACGTGAGCGACGCCGGCAGACCGCTGAGGGTCACCGTCTGGCTGGGCCGGCTGCCGCCCACAGAGAGGTCCCAGTAGTTGAGGTTGCAGAGGGCGACGCGGGCGGGCGTGTTGGAGCTGCTGCCCGCGTAGGCCACGTAGGCCGAAAAGGCGGTGCCGTCGTTGTTGCCGGGCGCAATCTCCGCCACTTTGGTCGTGCCGCCGGTGCCGATGAACTCGGCCGCCGTGATGAGCGCATAGTAGATGTTCTTGGTCTGGGCGGGCACGGTGCTGCTGCTGCTGGGCTGCCACACGTTCTGGTTGGAGTTGTACACCTGCTCCCAGTTGACGGCGGCCACGCCGAGCGTCATGGCATAGAGCATAAAGTCGACGCCGTACAGCGCCGTCGAGAAGGCGTACGCCAGCGTCTGGTTGCTGGTGCCGCCCGTCTGGATGTTGATCTCGTCCAGATAGTACTTGACCTGCCCGTTCTTGTAGCTCTTGAAGAAGGCCGCATAGGGCTGGATGCGCTTGTTGGCGTCGGCGACCGTGTTGGAGTGCAGGATCATGTGCGCCGGCACGCACGGGTTGCCGACGCAGCGGTACCAGTGGTCCACGGCGTACTTGATGTTGCCGGTGGCGTCAAAGGTCGTGTTGGCAAACAGGTCCGGCGCCGTCCAGTCCGTCGACTGCTGGTCCTCGCCAGCAAGGCCGGGACCGGCAAAGATGGGTCCGCTGGGGATGGATGCCGCCTCGGACACATTGGTGGCAATGCTCTGGAAGCGCGTAGCGAAGCTGCGAGGTGTTGGGTGTTAGCATGCCTTTGTTGCCTTTGTCAGAAGCCTCAGAACGTGCTGGCGGTCCATGCTGTGCATACTATTGGGCGCCGGTCGCGGACGGACCCGTGTGACCGCCGTACTCGTTCGGCTCGTTGCCGATCTCAATGGCACCAATGTTGTCCAGGCCAATCGCCGATACAATGGACTGCGCGTTCGCCTCGGCGTGGGCGGGCACGGTGTCTGTATAGGAAATCTGCGGCACCCAGAGCGCGTTGATCGGCGCAAGAAGCTTGGTAAGCGGCCAGAAGTTGGGGCCGATCGTCAGCGAACCCGTCTGCGACGTGCCCGGAGCGGGCGAGATGGGCTGGGTAAGAGCCGAGTTCCAAGTCACGGTGTCACTGAATGGGGAGGGGGGTGTATGTCAGTGCTCATTCGGCATATAAGTCGTGTGTCCCGTAGAAACGTACCCCGTTGTACCGCCGACTCGCAAGAGAGGCCGTCCGCCGGTTCGCTTATAGATTTGCTCAATCAGATTGATCGAGTACTGGTTGGCCGACGAATCCGTGGGGCTTTCTTTTCAAGGGGGGCATGGTCAATGACAAGAACACCGAAGCGAACGAGGAAGAGAGCAAGCCCAACCTACTCTGGCAGTAGAGAGAAAACGTGCTGAGCTCAAAGCTGACGCCGGGAAACGACGGGCTGATGAGAACAGCAGACGCCGGTGCTGACGCTGGAACACTGACGGTCGTTACAGCGCTGGCCCGCGCGGCAAGATGGTCGAGACGCATGGCGGCTGTGCTGGGGCCTGTCTATAGAACGGGGCCTGATGGGTTACTAGGAAGATCGTCTGTCTTGATGATCTGCGATGCTTCGAAAGCACGAGACAGGTTGGGTTCCGGAGCTCTGAAGTTCCCGAGTGAATGAGAGCATTTATATAGACGCGCCGGCTTGAGGCATTGGCCGTGAGTGAGATTGCGGGGACGAAGCTAAGAGGGTGGAGGAGAGAGGGTCGAGCAGAGCGGAACGTCCAACGTCGTCGAATGTCCGTGGTGATCCTGCCGTACCAGAACTGGCCGTGCCGCCATCGACGGACGTTTGGAACTCGCTTACAAGAGAGGAGACGTGCCCTCAACCACAAATGAGTATGTGCATGGCTGGATGACGTGCCTGGGCAGATGATGTACCCCAACATTTTCGAGATCAGCTTACTCTCTTTTCTATTTCCCGATTCGGATCGGGTGGGTTAGAGCGGAGAGCGGCACGGCGACAGTCGATCATTGTCTGGTATGGTCGGTCGAGACTCCGAACTGGGATCGGGCCGCACTCGCTTGCTCCCATGTACCCATGCACTGCTGATTTTCCCCAGATACCCCAACACCCCAGACAGGGACGGAGAACACCCCACGGGGCGCAATAGTCTAGATCGTTGGTGGCGTATTCCAAACGGGCATAATAAACCAAAACTGTACGCAAAAGTAAAAAAATCAAAAAATCAAAAATCTAGATACATCTAGTACCCATACCCTCTATCTCGTCTTCACATATAGTTGGTCATGTGGTAATTGTCGTTCTCCGCCATGCCTGTTGCTGTATAGTTGCCGTCACATCGTATATAGTCGCGCATTTATAAGTTGGCGTCGATGCCGCCGCCGCGGCGGGCCCATACGCCGTCAATGCCCATGTCGTACGTGCCGTCCTCTCTGGGCACAACGTGCGGCTTTTCACCCGGCTGAGGGTTGCGGAACACAATGTTTTTGGTCTGTCGGCTCGGTTAGTATGACTACTCCCCATTGTCGTTTTGCATCGCGGCTTGTACGTACCAAGCCCAGCGTCATGTGAATCCCTGCCGGCTCAATGCTCGAGTACGTGTCGAGCGGCTCGTCGTTGAGCAGGTGCTGGATGTTTTGCACCACGACCGTGGCTTGCTTGGCGGCTCTGAACGGTTAGTGGGCGGCACACGTCACAGTTGGATGAGAGTCGGTGGGAGAGGGGGGGGGGGATGACGCACGGCCTTGCTGCTTTGGGGGCGCCCGAGTCCGCCACGTCGCCAATCGCAAACACATTGTCGAGCGTCGCGTCGTGCACCTGCAGCGTGTCGCGCACGCGCACAAACCCAGACGCGCCGATCGATGACGGCGACAGCGCCGCCAGCAGGCCCGACCGCGGCGTCTGGCCCGTGCACACAATCACCAGGTCCGTCGCCAGCCGCGCGCCGTCCTGGCACACCACCTCGAGCGGCGTCCCATCGGCGCGAGCGGCCGTACTCACAGTGGGCGACACGACACGCGAGCCCAGCTTGGTGTGGATGCCCAGCTCGGCGAACCGCGCCCTGACGATCGCGTCTAGGTCCGTGTGGAAGCGGTTCATGACCGTCGCGCGCGAATGCACAAGCGTCACGTCTTTGGCGGGGTACAGCTCCTTGATGTCGGTGGCCATCTGCACGCCCACGGCGCCGCCGCCCACAAGCACGATCCGCTGCGCCGCCGCCACCCGGTCCGCGTGCTGCTGCAGGTACGCCACGCCGTCGCGCTTCTCAGTCCCGGGCACGGCCGAGGGCGGCACCATCTGCGTGCCCGTCACGAGCACCAGATACTCGTAGGGGATGCTGCGGACCGGCTCGCTCCCGGCAGCCCCCAACGATACAGCACGGTCTAGCTCGACGGCCGTGCGGGTCAGGCCCGTCGCCTTGGCCTGGACGACCGTGTTGTTGTGCACGCCGGGCGCCGCCGCAAAGGTGCCTGGATTGTAGGGGATGAACGCCTTCTTGGTGTCGACCTTGGCCGTCGCTGCGAACCGCGGGAACGCAAACAAGTGGTTGAAGTGCGAGTTCTTCTCAACGAGCACGACGCGGAACGCGTCACTCAAGGCCACGGCCAGCTGCTGGGCCACGTTGACGCCGACATAGCTTCCGCCAACGACGACGAGGTTCTTTGGGACGGACATTGTGGGTGGTGCTTTTGTTGATGCTGTGGCGAACCGAGACACGATGGGAAGCACGAAAGAAAGGACGAGGACAACGAGCGACATAAAAAGGCACCCAATGGACGCCGTGACGTGTCGCTTCATATACTCCTTGGACAGGCAGAGAAAATACAGAAATACAGTGAACACTTTCCCGGCGCGTGGCGCATTTCATATGTCCGAGGAGCAAGCTCCTGCCAGCGAGTAGCTCAACCGTCGTCGATACTCTGCAAATATCGGACAGTGATTGTGGGTGGGGGGGTGCCTTGTAATTCCAAGCTGTCATATGTGTGCACTTTGCCATTCTTTTGTAGCCCCATTTTAGCCCCTTTTTTATTGTCACGACTTTATCAGATCAACCCTTCACAAGGAGACAAGGCAGGTGCTTCGGCCGCTTCGTCCGCTCCTGCCATCGTATCAACTAACAGCCGATGTGGTCCCTGGAGGCAGGCACAAAGGCGGAAAGAGTGGGTCGGATATACGCTCCGGGGACAATTGGGGAAAACGTCCCACCGCAGCGTGGATCCAGGCAGGTGCGACAGTTTAGCCCCGTTCGGATATCTGTACTTAGCTCCGAGGTCTTTCCTTTTTGGAGTAGATTAGGGACAGGTAGAAAGGTAGAAAGGTAGGAAGGCCAACTAGACGTATTCCTGATATGTGAGACAGTAATGTCAATATTCGGCCGACAGCACAGCGCCGTGGAAGAGCCGCTGTCAGAATTCGCGCAGAAGGGGCGTCGTTCGCCCGGTGCCGGATGGAGTGACAGCGATAGCTGGCTGCCAGCGAAATCCGGTCCATATCCGAAAAGAGGACTCAACTACAGTCGTTGCTTGTGATTTTACGGAAGCATTTGGCTTCTGTACGGTTCTGACATGAATGCAATGTACCTTTGTCACTTTCGCGAGACTGGTCCCGGAACGCGGTGCGGACAAACAGATCCGTTACTAGCTGATTGATAAGATGGTACGTCTGTAGATATTATGCCCCGCTACAGACATAATGTGAAAATGCACTAAAGCGTTCACTAAAACCGTTCCTGCCCATAACTATTTCTTATCGATAAGGTACGATAACGAGCGCGATAACAAAATATGTTTGAAATTCTTGGACGGAAGCTACGACCGTCATGTTCATCGAGCTGCACTTTGTGAAGATTGCGACGAAAATTGGAAGGACAAAACGACACATATATAAACAAACTTCAACTTGATACGACTCCCACCATATAACACTCTTTGGCTATCATATCCTCATTTAGGCCCTTATTTTGACCAAAGGTGGTCGACACAATCTCACGACGAATCTACATCATGATTGAGAGCACGGCATAAGGCGAAGTCGAGACGCCTTTCACTCTTTCGCCCTGCATAATAAAATTCACAAAATTACCCCTTTTTAAAACAACACACAGCTATGCCAGCAGCAAAGAAATTCGTGCCGCGGCAGCGCAAGCACAAGGCCCGGGCGCGCGAGGCCCGCGCGCGCGAGGCCCGCGAGGCCGACGAACGCGCCAATGCCGGTGACAGACCGGGCGACGGCTCGCGGACGCGGACGCGGGCCACCGACGTGGTGGACAGCAACGCCACCACCATCGTGCCCGAAGAGCAGCGGGCCCGCAACGAGAAAAAGGCGCAGCTGCGTGCGGAGCTGCGTGCGGGCCAGGCCACGCAGATGAGCGCGAAAAAGGCGAAGCGGCTGGAAAAGTACATTGAGACAAAACTGCGCAAAGACGAGAGCCGCGCGCTCAACGAAAAACTGGCGGCTCACAGCGTGGACCCGGCCATTTTCGAGAGCAGCCGGGACCTGGGCAAGGGCAAGAAGCGGCGGCGGGCCGAACAGGCGAAGCAGCGGAGTGTCGTTCGGCAAGGCCGGGATAGCGACGAAAGCGAGAGTGACGAGGACGACGAGGACGATGAGGACGATGAGGACGATGTGGAGGAGGACGTACCAATGGCCAAAATTGCGGCCCAGACGAGTGCAGCACCTGCTCCAGCACTGTCGACCGGCAGCTCGCTGTTCGGCTCAGGATTTGCGGTTGGCTCGGGCCTCAAGCGACCGCTCGACCTCGACGACGACGGGCGGCCGATCCTCAAGAAGCGCAAGAAGCGCGGTGGCGTCAAGTCCAAATTCAACGTGGAAACGGTCAAGCAGCCGCAGCCGACTTTTACCATAACACGACCGGACAGAGAGAGTGAGGATGAGAGCGAGGACGACGGTGCAGCCATCGACAGTGGAGAGGAGTGGGGTGGACTGTCGGACGATGACAAGGAGACAAAGAGAGATGAGGAGGAGGAGGGTGATGGCGATGACGGCGATGACGACGATGACGGGGAGAGTTCACAGGACGATGACGACGACGACGACGACGACGACGACGACGACGACGACGACGACAGCGACGATAGCTCGGACGCAGAAGAGGCCCGCCCCTCGGCCTTCAAAGCTTGGGCGCAAGCACAGCGCAACGAGGCACTCGGTTTCAAAGGCGCCACGGGCGAGACGACCACGACGTACGAGTTCCCCGTCGTCCAAGACTTCGAACCACGACCTGTCGAGGCCGAGCCACTGCCCGCCAGCCTGCAGCCCACGCGGCGCCTCGACCGCAAGGCTTTCCACGTGGACGTGTTTCGGACGCCCGAGGTCGAGAAGCAGCGCATGGAACTGCCCGTCGTCGCCGAGGAACAGCAGATCGTCGAGGCCATCCACGAGCACGACATTGTCATCCTGTCGGGCGGCACGGGCTCCGGCAAGACCACGCAGGTGCCGCAGTTCCTGTACGAGGCGGGTTTCGGCCACGCGGCGTCCGAGTACCCGGGCATGATCGGCGTGACGCAGCCGCGTCGTGTGGCGGCCGTCAGCATGGCGCGTCGCGTGGCCGAGGAGCTGGGCCCCGAGCACGGCAAGGCGGTGGCGTACCAGATCCGGTTCGAGAGCAGCGTGTCGAGCCGCACGGCGATCAAATTTATGACGGACGGCGTGCTGCTGCGCGAGCTGAGCGAGGACGTTGCGCTGCGCAGCTACTCGGCCGTGCTGATCGACGAGGCACACGAGCGCAGCATCAACACGGACGTGCTGATTGGCATTGTCAGCCGCGTCAACACGATCCGGGCCGAGATGAATGCGCGGCACGCCGGCGACACGAGCACCAAGCCCCTGAAGCCCCTGAAGCCACTGAAAATTGTCATCATGTCTGCCACGCTGCAGGTGGCCGACTTCGCCAAGAACCGCGCGCTCTTTGCGGAGCCCCCGCGCATGGTCCACGTCGAGGGCCGCCAGTACCCCGTGACGGTGCACTTTGCGCAGCACACGCACCACGACTACGTCGCGGAGGCCTTCCGCAAGATTGTGCGCGGCCACCGCAAGTTGCCGCCGGGCGGCTTCTTGGTGTTTTTGACGGGCGAAGACGAGATCCAGCGGCTGGCCAAGCAGCTGCGGCTGGCCATTGACGGCGTGCACACGGCCACGGGTCCCAAGGTGCGGCTGTCGACGTCGGAGATGGCGTACGAGACGGAGGACATTGAGTTTGGCGGCGGCCTGGGCGACGAGAACGGAAAAGACGCCAAGCATCTAGACGGCGAGGAGGACGAGGAGGACGACTACGACAAAGACAACGAAGACGAAGACGACGCCGATGACGACGACGGCGGCGAGGAGGAGTTTGTGCCGGACGAGGGCGAGACGGCAGGCTCTGGCCCCAAGAACGTACAGATCCTGCCGCTCTTCTCCAAGCTGTCCACCAAAGACCAGCAGCGCGTGTTCCAGGACGCGCCGGACGGCGCGCGGCAGATCATCCTGGCCACCAACGTCGCCGAGACGAGTCTGACGATTCCGGGCGTGCGCTACGTCTTCGACTGCGGGCGCGCCAAGGCGCGCACGTTCAACAAGCAGACGGGCGTGCAGAGCTTCGAGGTGGGCTGGATCAGCAAGGCCAGCGCGAGCCAGCGCAGCGGCCGTGCCGGCCGCACGGGACCGGGCCACTGCTACCGGCTGTACTCGTCGGCCGTCTACGAGGAGAACTTTGCCGAGTTTGCCGAGCCCGAGATTCTGCGGATGCCCATTGAAGGCGTCGTGCTGCAGCTCAAGTCGATGCACGTGCCCAGCATCAGCGCGTTCCCGTTCCCGACGCCGCCGGACACGGGCAGCATCCTGCGCGCCGAGCGGCTGCTGATGTACCTCTCGGCGGCCAGCAAGACGGACGACGACGCCGCGGGCCGCCGCCGCGCGATTACGCCGCTGGGCCAGCTGATGAGCGCGTTCCCGCTGTCGCCGCGGTTTGCCAAGATCCTGATGGTCGGCCACCCGGGCGGCTGCATCCACTACGTGATTGCGCTGGTGGCGGCCCTGTCGGCGGACGAGGTGTTTGTGCGGCCCAACAATGCCATTCCCGCAGCGTCGGCGACGGCGGACGGGGCGGACAGGGGGGAGGACGGCGAGCATGCCGACAGCGACGCCGAGACGACGAAGCCCCGTGTTCGGACGCAAGAGGACATCCGGCAGGACGAGGCGCGCCGGCGGACGGCCGAGCTCTTCCGCAAGGTGCACCGGCAGTTCACGTCGCTCGACGACAAGTCGGACGCGCTCAAGCTGCTGCAGGTCGTGGGCGAGTTCTCGCACGAGCCGACGGAGGCCTGGTGCCGGGGCCACTTTGTGCACTACAAGGCGCTGCGCGAGGTCCAGAAGATGCGCCGGCAAATCACCAACCTGCTGCGCACCAACGTGCCCGTGCACGCCGCCGCCAACCTGACGTACCAGGAGCAGCTGCCGCGGCCGACCGACGTGCAGATCCGGCTGCTCAAGCAGATGGTCGCGGCCGGCTTTCCCGAGAACATTGCCCTGCGGGCCGATCTGTCGCCGAATCCGCCGCAGTACACCAACGCGGGCGGCGCTGTCCACAAGCCGCGCCGGGCCATCGAGGTGCCGTACCGCACGCTGTTCCCGGTGCCGTCCGATGGCGGTGCCAGCGGTGCCAGCGGCGGGGGCCACGCGTCGCGGACCGAGTTTGTCTACATCCACCCGTCGTCGCCGCTCGCCCACATGACCGTCGCCGAGTGTCCGCAGTACATTGTCTACTCGCACCTGCAGCGCACCGCGCCCAGCCCGGACATGGACGCGGCGGCGTCGCTGCCCAAGGTGCGCATGCGGGCGCTGACGGACATTTCGGGCCTCCAGCTGGCCAGCCTGCTGCAGGGGACGCCGCTGCTCGCGTACGGCAAGCCCATCAAGGAGACGTTCCGGTCGGACGACGGCCGCGAGCGCGAGTGCTGGGTGGTGCCGACGCTGCAGGCGGACGACGGCAGCGGTGTCGGCGGCATGGGCTGGCCATTGCCCGCTATGAAAGTGCGGCAGCGCAAGGTGCCGGGGCAGGGCTGGGAGATTGTAGGGAAGTAGTGCGACGAGAGGCATCTGTAGATACACAGACAGTGGAGACGACGAGGCGCCTTGAAAGTAGAAGAGCAATGCATCACAGGAAATAAAACGCCAGAGCGACATTGTAAGAGCGTTTGACGAAATGCAGCAAATGTTCTATCCAGTTGTATCGCCATGCATTCATGTTATCCTGCCCATCCTGACGCCGTGCTAAAAAAGGAACAATGAAAGACACAACACGCCCATGGTCCACAACAGCCCTTGCCGCTGTGCCGCCGCTATGCCGCCGCTCCTTTGGACTTTCGCCGCTTTGGCTTGGGCGTGGTGGCCCCCGACTTCTTGGCCTCCTTGCCGTCTTTCGGCGTTGCCTTGCCGCTGCCTGTGCCGTCCTTGTTCGCGTCTGCCGCATCCGCCGTTGCCTTTCCGCGCGCCGCCCCTGCTGCACCGCCGACGGCACTCCGTCCGCCGCCCGCCAGCGCAATGTGGAAGTCGCCTGGCCGGCCGGAGATGGGCTGCTCGTCCATGTACTCGCCGCCGTACATCATGTGGATGGCGTACGACTCTTCGGCCAGCCGCGGATCGAGCATGTCGTCGTCCGAGTCGTCTTCGCTGTCCGCGTCATCATGGGCGGCCTTGGCTCGGGTGGTCGTTTCCGTTTTGTCGACATCCATGGCATCTTCGTCTGAGGAGTCGTCGTCCTCGTCGTCTTCCTCCTCCTCCTCTTCCACGCCCTGATCCTCGTCATCTGGCTCGTCTCGCAACGCCTGGTTCTCCACAACCCCGTCTTCGCCCGCCGCCGCCTTGCCCGTCGTCTCGTAGTAGTGCCCCTCGGCCGGCGACCACGTCTGCATGCTGTTCATGGCCGGAAACGCCTTGCCCAGCGCGACGGCCATCGACGTGATGCGCGACGACAGCACGTCCGCCAGCGTCGGCGCCTGGTAGATGTTGTACCCGACCACAAAGTAGTCGGCGTACACCGTCAAGTCGTCCGGCTGCCCGTCGTTGCGCTTGCGCCGCAGCTGCTTGCGGATCACCCAGACGCCGGTGCCCGTCCCGGGCGCCATCTCGGCCGGCGCCTGGTGCACAATGTACTCGACGCCCGACATGCTGCGCAAGAAGTCCTCGAAGCGCTCGCGCGTCTCGAGCACGGGGAACATGTTGTGGTTGTGCAGCGCCTGGTTGTAGACGGTGTTGTTGTTGGACGTCTTGTCAAAGTAGGGCGAGCGCATAAAGTAGTAGAGCACCGAGTTGGAGTGGATGCCCTGCATCTCGTTGGCGGTCTCGGGCTCGCTCCATTGGAGCTCATCGATCTTGAACGACATTGCGTGGGAGGGTGTGTGGGCGGGAAAAAAAAAAAAACACATAAAAAAGGAGGCCGGAAGGTTGGTTGTGGCAGAGTACAACGCGAGAAAGTGAAGCAAAATAGCTGTCGTCCTGCTTGGTGCGTCGCCAAAGCTATTTAGGGGAGTTGCGGTCATGCATTGGCGGGGAAGGCGCCCTGGAGCTCAAAGACGCTAATTTTTATGGTTATGTAATACACAGCCTTGCGTAACAAAAACGTCACCTCAACCTCTACTAGAGGCTGTTATCCTTCGATAACGTACCATCACAACAAACACCCAGCGAATTCTCCATCGCCGCAATGGATCTCGTCGCGACCATCCGCAAGCAGGGCTCGCGTGGCGGCGTCAACTTTAACTGGGACGACGTCGCCCAGTCCAGCCGCCGCGAACACTATCTCGGCCACAGCATCAAAGCACCCGTCGGCCGCTGGCAGCAAGGCCGCGATCTGACCTGGTATGCCAAAGAGGGCGAGGGCCAGGGCGACGGCGGCGGCGAAGAAGGTGGCGAAGACAGCATCGATGCCGCCGCGGCGGCGCGGCGCGACGAGCTGCGGCGCGTCAAAGAGGCCGAGGAGGAGGCCATGGCCCGTGCCCTGGGCTTGCCGCCCGGCACGCGACTCGGAGGCGGGCCCGGAGCAGCCGTAGGTCCAGCAGCAGGAACAGGCGCCAACTCGATTGTCGTGCCGGCCAACGCGTCGCGCATGCCGCAGCCGCAGCCCGATTCGTCGGCCGCCGGTAAAGACGGCAGAGACAGGCGGCGAGGCACAGATCGACACGACAGAGACCGGCACGACAGAGGTGAACGCAGCCACCGCGGCAGACGGAGAGACCATAGCCGGCATGACGCGCATGACAGACGTGCGAGGCACGAGAAACACGAACACGATCGCCGTCCGAGACGAAGCAGGTCACGTGACCGACATGACCGAGACGACAGAGCGCCCAGAGACTCCCGAGACCGTGCAGACGACAGGCCGAGGCGGCCTCGCAGCCGGAGTCGGAGTCGGAGCCGGAGCCGTACACGACGTCATGAGCAGAGGCATGATCGGAGTCGCAGTCCCAGAGACGGCGGGCGGCGGCGCCACCGCGACGACGACAGAAGAGACGAAAGAAGAGATCGAGACAGAAAATATCGCGACCAGCAATCTTAGTCGTTAGAGGACTTTGTGTAGGATAGATTGCATAGTTGCGAGAATATACCCAGAGTTCATTTGCAAGTCCGAGTAGAAGAGAACACGGCTGTATGTACAAGAAATAAAGAAAGCCATACAAAAAGCCACACAAATTCAACGCAATGACACCTCTTGAGCCGACTTGCAACAAATCAACGCAATAAATCAACGGTAAATTCCAAAAAGAGACCCCAGCAACCTCTCACGATCGAGTGTTTCACTCCCGTCTCTATGCCTGAAACCTCCCAATACAAGACGGAGACGAAAAGACAGAAAAACGCGCGCAGGAAAAGGCAGAATATTAATTATACATATGCACATTTTGTTCTGGGATCCGCCCGCGGCAGACACATCTACTGCTGCTCTTCCGTCGCTTCGGAGGCGGTGCCTTGTTCCGGTACGGCCTCCGGCACGGCTGCCGCGCCCTCGGCTGCCGCGCCCTCGGCTGCCGCCTCGCCAGACGGCGCGCTGTCTGCGGCAATGCCGCCACTGCCGCTCTGGGCCTTGTCGCGCCGTCTGCGCCGGGACTGCCGCTCGGCCTCGGCCGTCTGTCGCCGCGCTTTGCGGAGACTCTCGCGCCTCTCCTCGTCGAGGTCGTCGTCGTCGTCGCCCCGCATGCCCTGCAGCAAGAGCGCCGCACGCGCGGCCACGTCGTCCTCGTCGCCGCCACCACCGTCACCGCTGCTGCCGTCGGGCCGCGGCGAGCCCAGCACGGGGCTCAGCATGCTGCCGACGCTCGGCGGGCCCTCGCCGCCCGACGTGGGCGACTCGAGGCCGCCGCGCCCGCTCTGCAAGCTGGCCTCGGCTTCGGGGATCTCGTTGAGGTCGGGGATCTTTTGGCCCGACGCGATGCGCACCTGGTGTCGGTCCTTGAGGCGGGCGCGCCGCCGACGGTCGCGCTGGTCGCGCGTCTGCGGTGCCGCGGCGCGCAGCTTCTCCAGCAGGCTGTCCATGGCGCCCGCACTGGACGGGCTGGGCAGCGCGCCGCCCTCGCCGCCGCCACCGATGCCGTTGCCGCCGACGCCGCCGCCGAGCTTGAGCTGCGCCGCGTGCTTGCGTTTCATGCTGGCCTCGTTGCGCCGGCGCGTCTCCTCGTACTGGATGTTCTTTTCGCGCGAGCGGCGCCATTCGCCAATAAACGCCGCCAGCTTCGCAAAGAAGTCGCGGCGTGCGTTCTCGTCGCGGCTGTCCTCGCCGTAGAACGCCATGATGTCGTCGTACGTGCGGATCATCTCCTCCAGGTACAGCTCCATCTGCTCCGCCTTGCGGCGCGCCTCCTTCATGATCGGCAGCACCACCTGCGTGACGCGGTCCTGCGGGTGGAACTTCTTGGGGTCCGACAGGTTGCCGCTGTCAAACGCGCGCTGCACGCTGTTGATGTTGAGGACGTACTTTTTCGCGTCCGTCTGCAGCTGCTCAATGTTGATCTTCTGCGCCGTGACGACGCCCGAGATGTCCGCCGCAAACGACTCCCACTCCGGGTACTGCTGCCGCACGATGCGCTCCACCAGATCCGCCAGCGTCGACTCGTTCTTGTCGTCCTTGACCATGCCCAGCCGCGCCAGCGAGCTGAGCTTGAAGCCGCGCGCCTGCTTGTTGGCGTCGTTCATGTAGTTGCCAATGTCCAGGATCAGCCCCAGCACGTTCATCAGCGACACCGAGTCGCGGATCGACTCCGACACCTCCATCACCTGCCGGATGCTCTCCATGATCTCGTCGTACTCGGCCTCGAAGCTGCGCGTCAGCGCCAGCGCCCGCATCCGCGTCTTCCAGTAGTGGTGCAGCTCGTACGCCGTCAGCAGGTAGATCTGGTCCTGCCGCGTCAGCTCCGCCGGGTCCATCTCGCGCGTGTCCTCCGACACCTTGGGCCCCGTCCAGTCTTTGCTGTACGGTGCCAGCTGCTTGGCCACGTTGTCGGGGATGTTGCAGAGGTCGTCCTTTTGCAAAAAGTCCATCACCACTTGGTTGTCCAGCACCTCGCGGTCGCAGTGGATAATCATCTGCACCACCTTGTCGACCGGCTGCTGCGAAAACTTGGCAAACGCAATCTCAAACGCCTTGCGCAGGTCGTTGGAAATAATCTGCTTCTTGTCGTCCTTGTTCTTCGTGCCCTGTCCCAGCAGCTTGATCTCCTTGGCCATGAACAGCTTCTCCACCTCGTCCAGGATGCCCTTGCGGCTCAGCTCCATGTACTTCTCCTCGCGCTCCTCCGCCGACGGCGCGTGCGCCGCCCAGTGCGTCGTCACCGTCTCGTCCACCTTCTCCCAGTGGAATGCCTTGAGCTTCTTTTTGGGCCTCACGACGGGCAGGCCAACCGTTGGCTGCACGGGCTCAAACGTGGGCTGCTTCGACAAGAAGTGACCCGACATGGAGCCTGGTGCAGGCATGGGAGGTGCCACCGGCGGTGGCGGAGGCATGCCACCAATGCCGCCAGCAGGAGGCGGTGGTGGAGGCGGTGGTGCGGCTGCGCCGTCCGCTGGTGGTGGCGCGCCCGGAAGGCGAATCCCACCCGGTGGAGGAGGCGGCGGCGGAGGCGGTGGTGGCGGCGGAGCGCCCGGGAGTGCACCACCGGGGGGAGGTGGAGGGGGTGGTGGCGGTGGTGGAGCACCGGGGAGCATGCCACCGGGAGGCGGTGGTGGCGGCGGCGGCGGCGGTGGTCCACCTGCACGGTTGTTGGGCGACGCGCCAGTGATCTGGATCTTGGGCGCATCGCCGTCGTGCGGCGTGACGGGCGACTGGGACTCGAGGCTGGGATGCGACGGCCCTGTCGTAACGCCGTCGCCGTCTTCTGAGTCGCTGCCTTCGTACCGCTTGACTTTGCCGACAATCTCGTTCAAGAGGCCGGTCTGCTGCTTCGAGTCCATGACAGGGCGGCGCATCTCGACAATGCGCGGCTTCTCGTAGACCACTTCGCCATCTTCCCCGGTAACTTCGTCGTCGTCGTCAAAGTGCGAGCCGCCCGCGTTGGGAGGAACACCGCCGCCGCCGCCGCCGCCGCCGCCGCCAATGGGCTTGCGGCCAATCCTGGTCTGCCGATTGACGCTGCCGAGCACGCTGTTGGTAGACATGGCAGCCGAGCCGCCGCCGTCGACACCCAACAGGCTGCCAGGAATACCCTCGTCGCCGCCGTAGCCCTCCATCTCTTCGCGGAGGGCGCGCAGGCGATCTGACGGCCCGACGGCGTCGCCCCAGACGCGGCCTTCCAGCTTGAACTGGGTCTTTTGGCGCTCGATCTGCATCCGCAGGCGGTCCATGAGCTTCTCGCGGTCGAGGATGCCCTGCATGTGGACCGGGTCGTCGTCGGCCAGTTGGCTCTTGCTGACGGTGCCGCCCGTAGCGAGGACGGCGGCGGCGCCGGCCTTGGACTGGGCGGCGTTGGAGGCGGCGACGTCCTGGGCGTCGCGCAGCATGAGGTAGAGCTCGCGGGTCTCGAGCTCGTTGCGCTGGGCCTCCTTGGCGCGGAGGGTCTGGACGCTGTCGATTTCGGCCTTGAGGGCCTCGGCCTGGCGGCGCTGGGCGTCGATGAACCGGGTCTGCTCGTCCAGCTGGCGCTGCATCTTGGCGACCAGGCCGTCGGCGCCCAGCTCGAGCCGGCCGCGCATCTCGTCGCGCTCGGCCATGGCCGCCTCGGCAATCTGGCGCGCTTCCAGCGCTTCGTCGAGCGCCTGGCGGGCCTCGGAGTCTGTGTGCAGCTTGTCCAGCAGGCTCTGGACGCTAAAGTTGAGGCTCTGCTTCAGGTCCATGTCCGGCAGGCGGCGGTCCATGGCGACGTAGCTCAGCATGGCGTCGACGAGCTGGAACATGCGCAGGCGCTCCTCGCCGTCGCTGTCGCGCATGAGCAGCAGGTGCTGCAGGGCAGAGACAAAGTAGTCCTGCGTGCGCGAGCCCTTGAGGCGGTTCTGGATGGCGTCGACAATCTGGACGGGGTCGTTGAGGTCCTTGAGGTCGCCCTCGACGTTGTCCTTGATGCTGCTGTTCTCGCGCTCCAGCATGTCCTCGTAGTCAATGGCCTCGTTGCTGCGGAAGCGCTCGACCTGCTTGTCGATGAGGTCGTACTGGAAGGCCTCCATCTTGGTGAGGACGCGCTTGATGCCGCAGGCAATGAACTGGGCGCGGATGTGCAGGCGCAGCTGCAGGTCGCGCTCGGGGGCGTCGACCAGCATGTTGATGAGCATGAGCGTGGCGACGGAGTACTCCATCAGCAGGTTCTCCATGCCGATGCCGCCGCTGCGGACCTCGTCGCTCGCACCGACCATGCTGCCCATCTTGCCGCGGCCGTCGACGGTGACCTCGATGATGCGCATCCAGGCGTCGAAGCGGCCCGTCTCGCCGTGGGCGCTCTTGACGTTGTCCATGGCCTGGATGACCTTGACGTGGCCGTTGCCGTCATCCCAGTGGCACAGAAAGGTCAGGACCTCGCTGACCAGTTTCCGCGTGGACAGGCGCGGCGAGATGAGCGACATGGTCAGGGCCACGAGGACCTGCTGGTGGGCGAGGGCGTCGTCGGCGCCAAACTTGTTGTTCATGAGGGCCTTGAGGCACTTGACCAGGTCGTACTCGCGGTCGAGCTCCTTTTCGCCGCGCGGCACGTCCGCGGGCGCGGCGGGCGCGGCGGGCCCGCGGGCGCTCTTGCGGTTGAGCTTCAGCAGGACGTTGGTGAGGGCGACCTGGCCCTGGCACTCGATGAAGCGCTTGACCCAGCCGATCTGCTGGGTGCGCAGGTTGACCTCGAGACTGGCCAAGTTCTTGGCGTCGAGGCTGTTCTCCATGATCTTGCGGACGTACCACTCCGGCGAGCCCTCCTCGTCCGAGTAGGTGGTGACGTCGACGTTCTGGTACTGGCCGGGGCGGGCGGTCTGGCGGCGGCGCTGCTCGCCCTGCCACTCGCTCAGACGGTCCTGATAGATCAGCGTCCACTTCTTGAGGGGCGGGTAGGCGATCATCTGGCGGCGGGCCTGCTCGGGCAGGTTGAGCCAGCCGCGCTTCTGCATGAGGGCGAGGAACATTTGCTCAATGACCACGTCGTCTTCGGGCTTCGACAAATTAAAGCCGTCGTGCGACGGCGTGCCGGCTGATCCGGCGGCACCCCCCGGGCCCGAGGGAAACTTGGTCAGGCGATTGGACTCGCGGTGGGACGCATAGGAGCTCTGTGAGGAGGCGCTCGGCAGCGCGGAAAAGATGCTGGCGTGGTCGGTCGAGCTGCGGCCCCCGGACGTCGTCTGGTACGAGTTGTAGCGCGAGTTGTGCGAGCCGCTCTGAAAGGCGGCGCTCTCTCGTGGCGGCCCCCATTGCTGCAGCTGGGTCTGGCGGCCGGTCGAGGCCATGGTGACGTTGCCGCCTTGCCCTGGCGGCGGCCGCGGCCCCGACAGCTGGCTGCTCGACAGGTGAGCCGCGCTGCCGGCGGCGGGTGCGGCGCCGTACATGGAGGCGGCCATGGCGGCAGCGGCCGTCGTGGAGGACGGGTCAAAGGATGGGTACTGGTGGAAGTCGCTCGTGGCTTTGTTGAGCTGGTGCGGCAGTGGTTCGCGGCCTGTGCTGGGGGGCTGGCCGTAGCTGCTGCCCGGGGGCGCGCCGTTCTTGGGGAGGTAGTCGACGGCGATGGGGGAGCGGCGGTCGGCGGTGACGTTTTCGTAGGGGATGGAGGTCATGACACCGGCCATCATATTGATGCCGGCTTCGGGGGAGGTGGGGCGGTCGAGGGAGATGACAGAGTCGCGGTTGTAGGAGTGGCGCGAGGTGCGGGAGCCGGTCTGGCCGGCGGCGTCAAAGTCGAGGGGGCCGAGGAACCTGCCTTCGTCGCCGTTTGTGTTGCGGCGGTCGGACTTGTGCTTGACGCGCGAGAAGAAGGACTTGCCGCCAGACGACTGTCTGGACTGTTTGTCGGACATGGCGGCTGTCTGGGGGAGGGCGTGTGTCTATGTGTCTATGTGCGTCTCTGTGTCTCTCTGTGTCTGTGGCCCAGGCAGTGGAGCGTGTGTGATCGATGCTCGCTGCCTTGCTGCGGCTGCTCGACTTTTGCCGGTTCGTAGAGCGTTCAGCTGCTCTGTTGCGGCCGTCGTCACTGGATGCTGGATGCGGTGCTGTCTCAGGCGACGGGCAGATCGCATCATGGTCCCTTGGGGCGGGCAGGCGAGGGCCAGGGGTGGTTTCGGTCTGCATAAACAGCGATTTAGCATGAGTTGACAGGGGCGGAGGAGTCGTCCAGACGGTGGCTTCTGATCGAGATATGGAGTACGTCGTAGCAATCTTACATACCGTCCTGGCAGCCAGACGTCGTGCCGCAGGGTGTGTCTATCGTCTGTTTCTGGTCTGCTGGTCTGCCGGCGTCAATCTGTCGAGGCGGGTGGCCCAGGCAGTCGTCGTCGAGACGATGGCAAAAGTCGTGATGTTTCGAAACAGACAGCAAATGCAGAAACGCACTCTTGGCTCCTCTGTCCGTCGCGTCGCCAGTCCGCCACGCTGCAGTCGGGCAGGTCGTCGCATACGTCGGGGGCGTTGTCTCCCCCTTTTCTCTTCGTTTGTCTCTTGTCTGCTGGTCTTTCGTCCGTCGTCTTCTCGTCGATTGTCGTTGTTTGTTTTCTTCTCCTCGTTTGTTTTCTTTCGCCTTCGCCTTCGTCTCCTTGGCAGTCGTCGGCCGCAGAGTCGCCTGTGGTGTGCAAAAAAAAAAGTACAGAGTGCTGACAGTTCGTTACGCCAGTCGTCTGTCTGCTCGCCCTCTCAACGCCCTCCTGGGATCGTTTCTGGCACGGTGTCTCGACGGGTGGAGGTGATGGGCTGAAACAGGATTAGCACATCTCAAACCCCTGACGTCCTGGCGGACCTGGCGTGCCTCTTTTACCTTTGGAGGGCAGTTACAGAGTGGGTAGCAGCTTCTTCTTTCTGTCTCCTTCTTTCCCTTCTTTCCCTTCTTTTCTTCTCTCTCGGTCCTTCCTTTTGCAGCGTTCGTCGTGCCTTCCCCCTGAACACGGGCCCATCAGGGGCGGTTTTCCGAACTGCAGCTGCCCGTGCTTTGCGCTAGTCCTAAACAGGCCATACTTGCCGTTTCTACGCAAGCTGCATACAGTGTGAAGTAATGTGACGTCCCCTAGGCTATGGCAGGTCAGCTTGTGCAATGGCCCAGAATACCGGCACTACAGGGGCCCAGCCTCTCACAGGGCCTCCCCTAGACGGTTAAAAGTGCACGTTTGTAGCATGCAGCCCGCCCTGCATAAATAGCTGGGCCTGTGACACACTCTATCTGAAAAGGTTGCCGCAGCAGAGCGTGTTGATTTCTTTGTGACAGTCGGTCTCTGTTTACGGTCGCACGTCAGTACTCTGTCTGGAATTGTGCTTCGGCTTCGCAAACAAACATCAATGGCCGTGAAATTGCGATGGTCTTTTCGCTGCGTCTGTCCCTCGCTAGAGACAGTGTCGATATTCAGAGCCATACACTGTTTTACTGCACTCTGTATGTCGTATCTTAGTGATGCTCGTATTACGCGTGGTAGCGTAGCGCCGTGGCGGGCCGGCGACACACCTATGCCTCCTGTTCTCGGGGTCGGTGACGCTGTAAAATTGCACCTAATCAAAGCTGCCCCCCAAATAGCACCGGTATACCCCGCCAAAAGGGCCATACAGAGAATGCCCACCACCAATGATGGCCCCTTAACGTATCTTACGATTTTGAGAACCAGTGGGCAGCGCTAGCTCTCAGCGCTAACGGCCAGGCTTTGGCTTTTGGAGCAGCCGTTGGGCAGGCGCACATTCCCCAGTATTTGGGATCGTCATAAAAGGGGTCCGGAAGGGCAGGAAACACGACAGAAGTACGGAGTACTGGATCAATGTCGACGAAAAGGTCGAGAGGGAGGGTGACGAACAGCCAGATTCAGGGAGTCGTAAAGTCGTAAAGTCGTACTCTTCAATACTCAAATTGGAGATCACGTGTCAATTCCAGACCAGCTTCCACCTATTGTATATTGCTGTGTGCGCTGCGTGCGGACCTTTGACCGTTCCGGCGATGACGGCATAAATTGAGAGGTTCGTATTAATCTGCAAAAATTCAAAGAAATTCACAGCCGAAAAGAGTTCCGTGCTCTGTTGTTACACAGATGTCGGGACTCTTGGTCCAAGTCAATGTGGTCGGCCGTCTGAGGCTCACCTTCCAAAAGTGGCTTGTCAGTGGCTTAGGTGCGCTACGGATAGCCTACAGCGTAGCTGGCCCACAGCGGTATAGGCCTTGCTACAAAGCATCGTAAGATAATACTCCGCCTCGAATCGACTTCTGTCTCTGCGCCGACAGCCTCAACTCGACCACGACAACAGCGCGTCGACCTCACACGCCTTCAACGAAGAAGGGCTGCACCCAGGGGCATACTCGACAGGGGCTTCCTTTCCGCGAACCTGCCAACCAAGACGCTTCCCCCTCCCCGGCTTCGTCTTCGACGGCATCCTCGGATCACTTGGCATCGCGTATATCTCGGCGCCTTGCGCCTTGCGCATCCCGACTCCTGCGGCTCGGTGTCTCGGCTTCCGGCTCCCGGCTTCTGGCGCTTCTACCTTCTACCCGTTGACGAGTATCTATTGCCAAAATGGGTGCCACATTATCAGTCGTCAAGGTGCGTGTCCACCATCCGGTCGACCACCGCGTACGTATGCCGTGTCTAACCTCTCCTTGTCTTCTGCAGACCCTCTTCCTTCCCGCCATCATCGCCCTCCTCGTCTTCGTCCTCTTCTCCTTTGTCATCGTCCCCATCTGGCAGCACTACCGCAACCGCTACAGCCACTACCTGCCCATCGACACTCTCTCGAGCCAGACGCTCTCGCTGCGCGACCGCATGCAGGCGTCTGTGAGCCACTTTTTCTCGCGAGCCACAACCACCACCTCGTGGCGCGACCGCGTAGGCACCAACGGCGGCGACACCGGAATTGGGGGCCGTTTGCGGGGCCTCTTCAGTCGACGGAACAGCCCCAGCCGCGCGGGCGGCAGCCACAGCCGGGACAACAGCCTGCGCAGCGACGAGCTGCTGTCCGACAGCGAGGAGCTGAGCCTCCACCTGCACAACCCGGCGCGCGGCATTGAGCTCGGCGAGGTCGGCGAGGAGCTCGGCACGATGCGGGCCAACAGCGGCGCGGGCCGCCGGCAACACGAGCTGCCACGAGGCGGTGCGGCCGTCTACGATGCGCCACGACTCAGCAGAGAGTAGGTTGACCCTCTTGTGTGTCTGTCGCTGCGTATACCAAATGCGTGTGTACCTACTAACGCGTACAGGCTGGAACAGGGCTTCATGGACGACAGCGACGATGACGAGCCGCCGAGGCGATAGGCCTTTGTGGGCAGTGGCGGAACGGGGATAGGCCGGGGGCTCTTTTGTATTGTTTGTTTGTTTGCTGTATCACCACATCCCCCGACATATATTTGGACAAGCATTTTTAGCCATTCCAGCGACTGTAGTTTTAACTGGGCGGGGTTACCTGATTTCAAACTTTAGACGTTCTTCCTTTGCATGCATACATTTACTCATCATCAGAAACATATGTACGCCGTACCGTAAAGCAAGCCATATATGAGGGACAATGCTGACGTTTGCACAAAGCACAAAGCAAAAGCGCAGGCAACCAGACAAGAGATAAGAACAGCTGCGGAACAGCTGCAAACGGCATAGCGTGAGACAATGAAAAAAGGCGACTGTTTTGGACCACAAGCAGAATGTACGACTTACACCTGGGAACAAAATGGACTGCGGCCTGAGGTGCACCAAACGAAACTCGATACGGCAACGCACCAGCACAAACACATGCACCGCACACCCAGGCCCATTCCATCGTGTCCGCATCTCTATCTTTGACTCAACGGGACACGGCAGCCTGTTGCCTCCACACACTTCCTTCCTGGCGTGTGTCTGTGACGGCGCACTCTGACTGGTCGTCATTCCTCCCCCCAACAAAGCAAACAACTCTCTCGTCAAATCACGTACATATGTGTGCATGCCAGCTGAGGGGGCTCTTTGCTCGCACCTCCCGTTAAGGCAGACGCGCCTTGTGTGGGCAGAATCGGGCAGGCAGTCCTGCAAGGCGGCAGACGGGCACGGCGATGGTCGCCGGTCAGCGTCCGGTCCAGGACTTGAAAATTCTCAAAAATAGGAAACTAAAATAAGGATAGGGCGCGTGGTGCGATACGAATGCTGCACCTCGTACCCGGTCGAAGAGCCACAGCCGTAAGCGTTGCGACGAGGCTGACAACTGCGCAGACAAGAGACAAGTGGGTGGTGCCTGCCCCGGTCGACCCAAGCGACACAGACTCGTAGCTTCCCCGATTCCGTCCGTCGTATCATCTGCTCTTTCCTACTTTATTGTCATTCCTTCTGTCTCTTTAATCCCTCCAACTCATTTTTCTCCTGTGTTCCTCATTTTCCGCATTGTCTTCATTTTCCTCCTTTTCCTCCTTTCCTTATTTTCCTCATACACATAGCGTACGGGGATCACAATCTTCCCCCGTTTCGACACACACGTGTGGTGCTCTACCTGTCTACCTTTCCGCAAGATAAGCTCTGCCTCGACAGCTACTTGAGCTCCCATTCCAGCGGTCGCGTAATCGAGCTTCGCCCTCCCCAGCGCCGCGTTACTTTTACTCCCGTCTCTCGTTGCGCTGCCCGATACTTTGCATTCTATCCCGGCCGTTGGCTCCATATCCCAAGCCCTGTGGGCAACCATTGACTAGTCAACTTACACCGTCTTAACGTCGATCAGGTCCAACGACGACACGAGAGACGACGGCACCAATACTGTCTACCACCGATATACTCGCATCTCCACACCATAGCTACATCTACATCTACGGCTCTCAAACCACATATACGTCAACACAAAATGCCTACATTCAGGCACATACGCAACCGCTACGGTACGCCACCAAAGCTGCAGGTCAAGGGCCGTAGCTCACGCGGCGACCTCGGAGCCAACCAACCAAAACCACGACAGTCACAGGACGCTCCCACGCCGACTGAACCTTGTCCCATTTGCCTCGAGGTTGTTGGTTTGCCCGCCGCCGATGGCTCTGTCGAGTCATGGTCGATTCTTCCATGCGGTCACCGTTTCGGCAGTTACTGCGCAAAGGCCTGGCTCGGCACCGGCCCAAGTCCTTCCTGTCCTTATTGCAAAAGCCAGATGCTGCATAGCTGTGGCCACCCGCCTTTGCCCCGACGTACGCGCCCTCCAGTGTCAGACCCGGCCGACATTCAGATAGGTGATGACCGAGTTCCGGGCAGCCCAAATCCTAGAGCGCCTAGTATTGAGCAGGAAGCACCACACGAACAGGAAGTCGATGAGGCCGTGGCCCTTGGCCAGGCCAATGAGCCTCACAGCGTCAACAACGAGAACGACAACAATGCCATCGACCAGAACAACGCAGACGACAACCAGGAGGCTCAGGGGCCAGGCCAAGCGGAAGTAAAGAGCGACGCTCGAGTTGCTGCTCCGCATGTCCCGTCGTCTCCGAGTGGCATCCAACCCCCCCCTCCAGACGAACCCGGTCCGGACAACAACGGCGAAGCGGACGTCGTGCAAGAGTCAGTGGCGGCACCAGAGGCAGAGAATATCGCACCACCCGCCATTGTGGCTGCCCCTCAGCAACAACATTTACCAACACTCGCTGTCGAGGTTGCACCAGCTGAACCTGATGCAGCACAACCAGCTCAGCAACCCGAAACGCAGCCGACACCACCGGCTGCAGCCCCGGCTGTTGCACCGGACGAACCCTTCCCATTGGTCGAGTTCGATGACTATGATCTCATGGTCAGGATTATCCGCAGAAGTCCAAATCGGATGCCAATGTTCATGACCATGGCCTATCCAGAGACAGTGAATCTGAAAATTTCGTGTGCCTTCTGTTACATGGGAATCGAATATAATCGCCACCTTCTCTGGCAGAAGGTTCATGACATGGACCGTCGTGACCGCCCGAGTCGAATTCCCGGCAAGAAACTCGTCGTCACGGGTGCGAAGCACTTGACGCACCACAGCCACACAGCGTATCGCGCGATCCGCGCGCATATCGGCAACAATCGACACAGATACGCAAAGCCCACCGCGGACGAGAAACAGACAGTTGATGCGTACGTGGAGGCGTGCAAAGAGGCACACGACTTGGACTTTGGGCCGTGGTGGGCTCAGCAACCACCAAAGTCCGATCCAGCCATGGATGTGCGGCAAAACAACCCTAGTATTTGGGCGCAACACTAAGCCCTATGTCCTTGATTTATTCTCTTTCATTTTGCTTGGCGCGTGCTTATACCAATGTTTTGAGCTTTCTTTTTGTCTTTTCGTTTTCTTATTCATTTTTTATAGTAGCAAAATCTTGGCTCTCTTTTCATTATTTCCGTTTTTCCTTTTTTTTTTTTTTAAAAAAAAAAATTATTTCACGTTGGATACACTTTCAGGTTGAGCAGACATATATCTTTTCTAATACCGCATTTCATTTATCATTTATTTCATCAGCGAATATATAAAGCTCTTCAGAAACGACTTAACAGTTTTTTTTTTGCTTTGTGGCATCAAATTGCAAGCCTCGCTCAACACAGCTTGATGCCTTGACATGAGGCTTCCCAGGGGGCATGGCCAAACAGCGCTTCCCAACAAGGTAATTTGCTTGTTAGTGGTCCATTCCTGCGTTGAAGGCGCCCTGGACAGATTCGCCCCGCATTTCCCAGCGGACTCCAGTGTCGCGACATTTTCAAGGTGCAACGCGTCCGACTCGCTTCGAGGCTCTCGGTCGGACAGCAGACACGATACAGCGACGCCGCATCGACCGCCCCTGTGCCTCCGACATCAGCTGCCTTGCCGACACGATGAAGTTCAGGGCGGAGCTGCGGAACATCCGGACGTTTACAAGTGAGTTCCCGTGCTGAACCTCCTCTTTTTCGTCCTTTCCACCTAACCTCGCCAGAACTGGTCGCCGCCCTCAGTGCTCTCGACAAGATCGTCTGGGTCCACCTGGAAGATGATCTGGTCCGCTTTATTGTGATCCCGGACCGGGGGTCACAGGTCTGGTCGACGTTTGCGCGCGACTTCTTCTTTGACCCGGACGCCCATTTCTTGCTGCAATCGCTCAACGCCGGCAACGCCATCGACCTCGAGATTACGCTCGCGTCCCTGCAGCGCGCCCTGCGGTCGGCGCTCAACAGCACTGACGCCGTGCTGCGGCTCACCAAGCGCGACAATGTGCCGACGCTGTCCATGACGATCCATACCGTGACCAACCCGCGCGGGCTCGGCGCCTTTGGGTTTGGGCCGATTGGCCAGGGCGGCGGCGGCGGCGGCGGTGCGTCTGGTGCACACCAGCGTTTCCGGGAGAGCACGTTTGGCAGCACCTTTGACGACGCCGCCGCCAGCGGGCGCGACGAGACACTGGACCTGCTGGCCAAGCGCGAGCGCGAAAAGGTCGTGGTGCAGGACATGCCGGTGCGGGTGATTTCGCCGCAGGCCATGAACAACGTCATCGAACCCGCGGTGCCCGAGTCCGACGTCAACATTGTGCTGCCGCCGCTCCTGCAGCTCAAGGCCGTCTCGGACCGCTTCACGAAGCTGGCACACACGACATCGGGCGGCGGCGGCGGCGGCGGCAGCAGCAGTGGTCTTGGGCTGGCGCCTGTCGCATTCTCGTCTACGGCTGGTGGTGGTGGTGGGGGCATGAGCAACAACACCGGCGGCGGCGGCGGTGCCGGACCGAAACTGGAGATCAGCGCCAACATGTACGGCATGCTGCGGCTGCGGCTTGTGACGGACACGCTCAGCGTCGAGACGGTGTGGAACGACCTCGAAAACCCGCGGATGAACGAGGACGCCCTGCCGGTGCCGCTCGAAGAGCACCCCAGCACACGGTACCGCGAGGCCGGGCCGGACAAGTTTGCGACGGTGCGCGTGGACGGCCGCGACTGGAGCCGGGTGCTGAGCGTGGGCCGCCTGGACGGGCGCGTGATTGCGTGCGTGGTGGACGGCACGGCGCTGATCCTGCACGTGTACGTGTCACAGCCAGACGACCCAGACGACCCAGACGAGGCGAGCTCGATTACGGTACGTTTTGTTGCGCCCTCGACGGTCCTCGCATCGTGCGAACGGGACCATTGTCTTTGCTAACCAACGAGTGTTTCCAGTACTACGTGTCGTCGTACAGCACATGATGCGAGGGATGGCTGCATTTGCATTATTGAGGCGTTGGGACTCGAAGGGATATTGTCTGGTTCTATAGGAGTTCGAATCGGCGTTGACATGATTTCAATGGGGAATACTGCTCAACATACCAAATGGCATTTCACGATATAAACGGCCGATGTAGCGACGCTCCAAACAACGCAGCTCAGTATTTCTGCGTTTTGTGAGCGTTTCTCCCGTTTCTCCGTAACTGACTCACATATACAGACGAGAGACGAACAGACTTGCCAAGTGCTGCTTCCTCGCCCGGCCGCTCCTGCCCCGAACGAGGGCGACAACGGCCGGCAGGTGGTACAGATCCACTTTTCTCCACATCGTCCCTGTGTCTCTCCTTTTTGTTGTCAAGTCTCTCTCTTCATCTTCAACCCTCACCACTACCGCCTTATGCACATATGCCCACGATATGCAGGCACAACTAGCTCGCGGGACTGGCCTGATATTGGCGCCAACCCGCCTGCTCAACGGCCTTTTCAGGCTACCAGCGATGGAGTATAATTTAGCCGCCAATCAGATCACCTCTGAGACACGGCGCTCCAGGAAAACAACAGAATGACACCAAAGAAGACGGAGACGAGGACGGCAAACGAGCTCCCCCAACCTGGACGGATCCACAAGAACCCCGGGTAATGTGCAAAGCGTCTACAGGTCATGGCTGGCACATAAATCCCACACGCCGGGATATGTCGTCAAGCGAGATATGGCATTAATGTGAGATGTCTTTTGTCCTTTTATCTTTTTAACTTTTGCCTTTTTGCGACTTCCACAAACTTCTCAGGCAACTTACAACAGTTTGTCGTGTGTTTCAGTTCTACTCTATCTCTATCCCGTCAACAACCTCCACATCCGTTTCGGGACACGATACACCGGTGGGATCGTTCTCAAAACGGCTGTAGAGGTTGCCTGTGACTCTGTCTCTCGCCCCCATTAACCTGTCCACCAAAGACGGCATCTCTACTGTTCGTCTTACCGTGAACCCTTGACTTCTCCCCAAAGTCTCGTCTCGTCTTGTCCACGTCTCACTCTCTTCTCAAACTACCTTTGCTGTGTACCTCAACCATACCTCCTCCACAATGTCGCAGACCGGCCTCGTCCTCGGCTACAATGCCATCCACCCATTTGGCCAGGTCGACCTGAGCAAAGGCGACCGCGCCTCCGTCCAAGCGCTGCTGCGCGCCCTGCTCGATCCGCTGGAGCCGTTTTTCTCGCCCACCAAAGCCCGCATCCGCTGTCCCGGCGGCACGGCCGTCCGCTTCGACCAGACTGCGTCCGAGGTGGAGGGCTTCAGCCGCCCGCTCTGGGGACTGGCGTGTCTGCTTGCCGGCGGCGGCGACTACCGCGGCACGCAGTGGTGGGTCGACGGCCTGAAAGCCGGCACGGACCCGGAGAGCCCCGAGTTCTGGGGGTTCGCGCACGACAACGACCAGCGCATGGTCGAGATGTGTCCGCTGGGCTTTGCGCTGGCGGTGGCGCCCGTGTTCTGGGACTCGTTTGACGCCCGCGCGCGCGCCAACCTGGAAGCCTGGCTCGGCCATGCGGTCAACGAGAAGAACATGCCCGACACCAACTGGCTGTGGTTCCGCGTGTTTGCCAACCTCGGCCTCAAGACGAACGGCGGCGCGCACTCGCAGGCGCGCCTCGAGAGCGACATCCGCCACCTCGACACCTTTTACCGCGGCGGCGGCTGGTCCAACGACGGGCCCGGCGACGTCCACCAGATGGACTACTACTCGTCGTCGTTTGCCATTCAATTTTTGCAGCTGCTGTACGCCAAGCTGGCCGGCGACGACGACCCGGAGCATGCGGCCGAGTTCAAGCGGCGCGCGCAAGAGTGCGCCCTCGACCTGGCCCATTACTACGACGCCGAGGGGCGGTCGATTCCCTTTGGCCGCAGCGTGGGCTACCGCTTCGCCATGGTGTCCTTTTGGGGTGCGTTGGCGTACGCCGACGTCGAGCTGCCGGCGCCGCTGACGTGGGGCAAGGTCAAGGGTATCGTCCTGCGGCATCTGCGGTACTGGCAGACGCAAAACGACATGTGGAGTTCGTCGGGCACGCTGACTGTTGGGTACTCGTATCCCAACATGTATGTACGTGACCTCCATTTGTCCTCCTTTTGTCCTCCTTTTGTCCTCCTTTTGTCCTCCTTTTGTCCTCCTTTTGTCCTCCTTTTGTCCTCCTTTTGTCCTCCTTTTGTCCTCCTTTTGTCCTCCTTTTGTCCTCCTTTTGTCCTCCTTTTGTCCTCCGTGGTTATTGTCATGTGATGATTGTGAGATTCTGTCCTAACTATGCATAGATGGCCGAAAATTACAACAGCCCGGGCAGTCCGGTACGCTCTTCCCCCGAAACGTGTCCCTTTACCATCATATCCCACTGACAGTGTAGTACTGGGCGTGCCTTGCGTTCATCTGCCTTGCCGTCCCCGAGACACACCCGTTCTGGACGTCGGCCGAGGAGGACCACTGGCCTTCGCTGCCGCTCGTCAAGCCGCTGGTCCACCCGGGCCACATTATGAGCAACCACGGCGGCCACTGCATGCTGCTCTCGTCGGGCCAGGCCTGCAGCTATCCCATGAAGGGCACCCACGCCAAGTACGGCGGCTTCGCCTACAGCAGCGCGTTCGGCTACTCCGTGCCGCCCGGTCTGTTTACCCTCGAACAATACGCCCTGGCCTCCCAACTCGGCTTCTCCGACGACGGTGGCGAGTACTGGAAGACGCGCCGGCTGTCGTCGTACGCGGCCATTGAGACCCGCGACGACGGACCCGTGCTGGTCTCCGTGTGGGCGCCGTTTTCCGATGTCACGGTGCGCACCATTCTCGTGCCGCCCACCGACGCCGCACCCAACTGGCACCTCCGCATCCACCGCGTTGCTGTCAAGGCGGGCTCGACCGACCGCGCTATCATGACGGCCGATGGCGCCTTTGCGATCCACAACGAAAACGCCCAGGACGGCCGCTACCTGGGCTTGTACGACGCCGCCACGGGCGAGGGTACCCAGCCGAAGATTGTCGGCAACTACGACACTCTGACGCCCGACGGCTGGGCCCGCGGCCACGAGGGCGCTTTTTCCGTCTGCCGCGACGCCGGTGCGGTCGGGATTCGCGCGCTGGAGGCCGCCGGCGCAACGGGCGCCAAGGCCCGCGAGGCCAACCTCGTCAATGCCGAGCCCAACTCCAACCTCATCTACAGCCGCACCGTCATCCCCACATTGCAGCACACGCTGCAGAGCGGCCAGACGGCCTGGTACGTGACGGCAGTCTACGCCAAACCTGCCGGGCCGCGCGTGGCCGTCGAGTCGTTCCTGGACGGCTGGGCGTCGCCGCCGGCCCTGCCTGCCTGGCTGCAGGCCGAAATTGCAGAGAACAAGGCGTGAGAAGAATTTTAGGTGGTTGAGGAAATATCGCAGCTGCGGTTCTTATGGATAGAAGTACGCCATATGACTGAATGATAATATTGCTCGTTGACAGTAATTCATGAACGTGTTTATCTGGTCCTGAACTTTATCTGTATCATGAGCCAAAGGACGGAATATACATATAAATAAACAGCTAAATAAACAGCTAAATGAAAATAAATAAATACAAAAGGGTACTCTCACCATTGTAGATACCTCACCCGCTCTTTCCTCGTGCGTTGGACAGCCTCTTTCCGTGTATGGCGTCAGTGTTGAGACAAGGCTGCCGATTGTTCCTTCCCACTAAAATCCGGTTTCAGGGGTAAACTCGAGCCTTCTGGTCGCTGCCGCTTTCAGCGCTGTGGCGCTAACTGTGCCCTTGCACCTTCCTCAGTTCAGCACCTTCCCGTCCCCACTTGCATGCTCGGACCACATCCTCCCTGAACAGGCAAGTCCACACCTTCCACGTTGCCTTGCGGTGTGTTGGCAGCAGCTTCAACCCCATTCGCACAACGTCCCTCTTTCGTCACCACCACAACATCTACCTCGACGACACCGCCCACGCCCCCGAACAAAGCACGTTCAAGCAACTCACTTAGACGTCGGGCATTATTCGACCTAGGAACAAGCTTCACACGCACGTGCAAGCCCCCTCCGCGTGTCGTCGCGCCGCGGCAGCCCCTGTCCTCGTGCCCTCCTCCCCTTTTGCGCGCCTCGACTCGCGATGCCTCCTGCGGCATAAGCCAGCCTCTTCTCCCTACTGCCGTTCTCCTCCAGCTTGCATACACGTCAGCTGCACGCACCGCCCGTCTCCCGGCTACGGCCACCGGCAGCCACGATGGCGCGGTCCGACCCCTTTCTCCCCGTGTCGCCGGCCCAGGTCAAAGTCCTCGTGCTGCCCGTCGGCCCTGTGCATCGCGACCGTTTTGCCTCCTTTCTCGACCGGCTCAAGAGCGAATATGCCGTCCAGCTGCGCGACGTCAGTGCCGACCGCCGGCCCAACCGGAGTTTGTCACCCCATTTCTCTGCTTCTCTCTTTTCTCGGCGTGTCTGCACCCCGTTGTACTAACGTCACGGCTACTAGACATGTTCAGCCCTCTCGCGTTCCCCGACGGCTACATCTTCTACGACCTGACCACGCACGTCCCCCAGCCCTCCCACCTGGCCCTGTGCCCCTTTGACCTCTACCGCGAGCCCCTCGTCATCCTCGCCCTCGCCGACGGCGCCGCCATCAAGAACGTCGCCTTTGGCAGCAAGCGGCAGTCGGCCGCGGGGCGCTCGATCGAGGAGCGCAACATCCGGACGCTGTACCAGGAGCTTGAGGAGCTGCGCGACACCTATACCAAAGTCCTCGTGCACCGCGTGCTCATCTTCGACTACGAGCCGTCGCCCGATGCACCCATTCCCATGCCCGACGAGGGCATGGCCACGGTGCCGCCGCTCTCGAAATCCAAGCGCACAACCATGAAGGCCGTCATGGCCGACGTGTCGTCGCTGCTGCTGGCCGAGATGAACACGCTGGCGCGCTCTTTTGACGCCATGTCCTACATCGAGTCGCCCGGCCAGGCCATGGGCTCCGTCTTCCGGCCCCCCAACGGCAACGGCGGCGGTGACGACGGCAGCAGCGGCAGCAGCACCATGGCCTCGCGGCGGAACTCGCAGTTTGCGCTGCCCATACATCGGTCCAGCTCCGTCGGCAGTGGCGTGTCCGCCGCCGACCGCAGCCAGGCGCGCATGTCCATGCCCGTACCGTTCAAGGGCGGTTCGCCGTTTGGCTCGGGCAGTGCAGGGTCGACCCCGGGGCGGCCCTCGACGCCCGTCCGCAGTGCCAGTGGCCTCTCGGGACCGGCCACCACCTTTGACGACATTGCAGGCGGCGGCAGCGGCGACAACGCGAGTGCACTGTCGAGCCCCGACCGCGCCACGTCGCCCCACGACCTGGGCGACGGCTACCGCAGCCAGAGCCAGGACCGCATCTCTGTGCAAGGGTTCGGCCCCGGCGGCCTCAACGAGCGCTGGCGGAACAAGGGCAAGAGCCGCGTGACCATTGTGGTGGCCTCGCTGTACCTGCAGGCGGGCCGCTGGACGGACGCCCTGAAAGAGCTGATTGAGGGCGCCACCGTGTCGCGCTCCATCAACGACCACCTGTGGCACGGCAAGGCGCTCGAGCTGATTGTCGTGTGCCTGCTGCTGCTGTCCTGGGCCGACATTGAGTTTCAGGTGCCCAGCGTGTGTCTCCCGCCGCCCGAAAAGGGCTCGGCCGCGCAGGCCGCCGCGCAGGCGCTCGAAGCCGCCGCCGAAAAGGCCCGGCCCAACCAGCCCAAGTGGCTGCGCAACCTCCAGCAGATCCTGCCCGACCTGCTGGACCGCATCCTGGGCCTGTACACGCGCATCTCGGGCGAGCAGCTGCCGCCACTGCCGCTGGCCGAGGCCACCATCCGCTTCTGCAACATTCTGACGGCGCTGCACGTGGCGGACGGCGCGCTCGACCGCCGGTTCCTGGAGATGGCCGTCGAGGGCAAGTACGGCGGCAGCCCCGCGCCGCTTGTGCCGCACTTGTCGGTGACGCCCAGCCGCGCTCTCATCACGACAACCCTCTTCCGCGCCTTTCCCTCGTCCGTCACCGAACTGCTCACGACCATCGACCGCATTGTGATTCTGAGCGGCATCGCCGCCGTCCTGGGCCGCCTGGGCTACCGGCGCAAGAAGGCCATGGTGGTGCGCGAGCTCCTGTCCGTGCTGATTGGCGGCCTTGTCGAGGCACGGACACGCGGCGCCGCCGAGGTCGGCATCCACCCGGCCGCCGGCCTGGTGACGCAGAACGGCGGCCTGCCGCCGCCGTCGGGCCACGCCAACGGGGCGGCGGCCCTGGACCTGGCCGAAGGCGACATTGAGTCGGGTGTCGAGGCCTTCCTCGGCATGCTGCTGAAGACGTATGGTGTCGTGGAGTTTGAGCCTTCCGCCGCCCTTGCAGGCACACCAGGAGCCGAGGGCGGCGGCGCAGGCAGTGGCGCGGGCAGCAGCACCCCCGACGATTCGGACGAGGCCGTCGTAGCACGCATCCGCGAGCAGGCCACGGTCCGCCTGTTTGGCATGCCCGGCAACAAGCTCAACCTTTTGCGGGCCTGCATCAACTTCTCGGAAGCGCTGCCCGACTTTGCCGGCGTGCTCAAGTTCTCGAGTGACCTGCTGCGGACGGCCGGCAGCGGCATTGCGCCGGGCCAGCGCCGCGACGACGCCGCACCGACCATCACCAAGGACGAGCAGGTCCGGCTGGTGACCAACATTGCCAAGACATCCAACCTGTCCCGACGACTGGCGCTGGGCGACCACCTGGCCGCCGAGTACTGGGACGAATTCTTGGTGCGCGGCGTCAAGCTCGAGCCGGTGCCGGCGGCCTGCCAGCCGATTGCGCACACGCGGAGCGAGCTGCCCGGCAAGGCGGCGGCCGCACGAACGTCCCAGGACGTCGACCCTTTTATCCACAACTCGTTCCTCAAGCCGTCGGAAAAGGCCATTGTCGAGCAGATCCTGGTCGCACAGGAGCCGGCCACGTTCAAGCTGACGCTCCAAAACCCGTACGACATTGAGGTGGAGATTGAAAGCATCCGCATCGAGACGGACGGCGTCGACTTTGAGGCGTACGCGGACAGCGCGTGTCTGGGGCCGTACCGCACGCAGATTGTCAAGGTGTCTGGCATGCCGCAGGCGGCCGGGTCGCTGCACGTTACGGGCGCCGTTGTTCGCGTCCGCGGCTGCCGCGAGCGGCGGTTCCCTGTCTTCACACAACCGTGGTCGCCCGACCGGCCCGACAAGATCAAGCACATTGGCATGGCTCTGTTTGAGGGCCAGCGGCCGGAACCGCCCCAAGGAGCAGCCCCGCCCCCGTCACCCACAAGTGCGGGCCTGCAGCTGGCCACGGGCCCGCCGCTCAAGGCCGAGCGCCTGTCGCTCACTGTCATCCCTGCACAGCCCATGGTGGTCGTCGAGTCGACTACGCTGCCGCAGTCGTCGGTGATGGTGCTGGAGGGCGAGCGGCAGGTGTTTTCGGTGACGCTCAAGAACCTGTCCGCCACAACACCCGTCGACTTCCTGCTGTTCTCCTTCCAGGACTCGACACAGGCGTCCATCCAGGCGGCACTCAGCAACCGCGACGCGTCGCCGGCCGAGCTCTACGAGTACGAGTTGATTCTGGCCAAGAAGCAGGCGCTACGGCTCAGGTCTACGACGGCCGCGTCCAAAGCCGCGACGCGCTACATTGGCCCCGGCGCGACGGCTACGTTTGACTTTGAGATTCTGGGCAAGCCGGGCCTGACGAGCGGGACGATCCAGGTTGACTACGCCCATCTGGGGACGGCCGCGTCGCCCGGGGCCGGCGCGGCGGCAGACGATGTCGAGGTGGCCGCCAAGTTTTACACGCGGCAGGTGTCGCTGCACCTCACCGTGACGGTCAATGCGAGCATCGAGATTGCGCGCATGGACGTGCTGCCCCTGCACGGCAGCATTCCGCAGCCGCTGTGGGACCGCTACCGCGCAGCACTGCGGGGCGCGGGCGCGTCCGCGTCGACGACGGATTCCACCACCAGAGACAAGTACTGCCTGCTGCTGCTCGACCTGCGCAACGCGTGGCCAGGCCAGATGCGGGTCGAGCTGGGCGCCGAAGACGGCATGGTGGTGACGGAGCACATTTTGCCGGGCAACACGAGCCGCGTCATCGTGCCCCTCAAACGCATCTACCTCGAAGACCCGCACGCGTCGATTCCGGCCCTCAACCCGGCGCGCCAGCGGCAGTTTGTGGTCAGCACGGGCAAGATCTCGCCCGACATGGAGCGGGCGAGCCGCGAGGCGTTTTGGTACCGCGAGAAGATTCTGGACGCACTGCACGGGACCTGGACAACGGCCACGTCGCCGTCGGCCGATGGTGGCGGTGGTGACGGTGGTGGTGCGCGCGCTGCGGCCCAGCGCCGCGGCAACGTCGAGCTGCGCAGCATGCGCCTGACGGCGCGCATGATTGAGGCCGTCAAGATCGACGAGGTGGGCATTGACGTGGCCATTGAAGCCAAGACGAAGACCAAGACGAAAACAAAGACGACGCGCGTGGTGCACGTCGACGAGTTTGTGCAGCTGCGCGTGCGCGTCACCAACCGCACGGCCCAGCCGCTGTACCCGACGCTGCGGCTGATGCCCGCGCTCTGCCACCGGCCGCTCAACGTGGCGCTCGACTTTACACGCAAGTTTGCGTGGAACGGCGCGCTGCAGCAGACGCTGCCGCTGCTGGGCCCGCGGGCGACGACCGAGGTGCGGCTGGGCGTGACGGCACTGTGCCGGGGCGAGTTTGAGGTGACGGCGTCGGTGGAGGAGACGCGGCTGTGGGTGCCCAAGGCAGAGGGACGAGAGCGCAGCGGAGAAGCCAGTGGGGATGGGGCAACCAACGACAAGCAGACAGAGAGACGGCCGCGGTCCAACACGGAGACGCTGTTGCGGGACACGATGCTGGGCCCACGGGAGCGGCGGATCTGGCACTCGCGGACGCCGTGCCACTTTGTCGTCGTGGACCCGCCACGGGGCAAGGAGGCGTGACGGCTGGACGGCGAGTCGCGGGTGATGAGCTACGGCGTACCCAAAGCGACGTGACGTTGAAACGGTTTGTACATAATCGCGATCGAGAAACGATGCTTGATGCTACGGTATATTGGATGTACAGATATGCAACGATTAACAGTACACCTGTGTCTCATGTCATTCGCCATAGCAAGTAGGCAATATTAAAATGACGACGAGGTCGACGCTCGTATAGCCCGTGCTCCGAGCCCGTCGTGTTCCATGACGATCCATTGTAAGTCGAATTAATGTGGAAGTACGATACATGTCCGGTGGCGGCTCAATAGGGGAAGGTAGGAGCACGGAAGCCGATGCTTAGCGCCCGAAGGTAGCCGATCCCTGCGGGCTGGTTCCGCAACGGTCTCGACCATGGCCTAAAAGTCCGCTGTTGTGGTAGGAGCGGTATGTCCATTAACGTCCACTAACACCTAACGGTTACGGCCAAAGGAGAAAATTTTGTGGCGGGCAAATTTGATATAGAAAAAGAGTGAAAAAAAAGGGCGTCGCCGAGACTTTATGCTACATCTGTCCTGAGCTGGCATTCCAGGCACATTCAATTGGCGCTGGACTTTGTCATAAAAAGCACAAAAAGGCACAAAAAGGCACAAAAAAGCACAATCAGCACAATGGCCTGTTTTGTTGTGTTTTGTGGGCAGTAACACGCATCATCACCACCTTACACGGGAATAAACGATCTGCGCTGACTCGTTTCTTTATTGTCGTTGCCGCTTTGCGGTTCCACGCTGCCCTGCCGACCACACACCCATGACCACATCCATTGTGGGCGGCTCATCGCCGTCTCGCCCGAGGATCCTGTTCCTCGACGCCTACGACTCGTTCTCCAACAACATCACGGCCCTCCTCGCCACGCTGCTCGGCGCCGACGTCCATGTCCTGCCCATTGACGCACCGCTGGACCGGGACGCCTTTTGTGCCGAGCTTGCCTGCTATGATGCTATCGTCTGCGGGCCGGGACCCGGGTCGCCCAACTGCCCGGCCGACATTGGCCTCATGAAACACGTGTGGGCGGCCCACACCCTTGATGCGAACGCGACAGCGACGCACAGCACACCCGCGCTCGGCATCTGCCTGGGCTTCCAAAGCCTGGTGCTGGCCCACGGTGGCCGGATCCGGCGGCTGCGCTCGGGCGGTCTGCACGGCATGGTGCGGCCTGTCGAGGTCAACGAGCGGGCGGCCGACATCTTTTCGGGCGTGGCAGCCCCGTTCCGCGCCACGCTGTACCACAGTCTCGGCGCCGACATGGGACAAGACGACATTGCCGACGTGGACTGGCCGACGGCGCGGTGGATGCTGTCCACGCCCAAGGGCGACCTGGTGCCGCTGGCCTGGGTGGACGAAAGGGAGGATGCGTCGCTGGGCGGCACGTCCAGCGAGCGGCTGCTGATGGGCGTGCGTCATCGGTCGCTGCCGTTCTGGGGTCTGCAGTACCACCCCGAGTCCGTGTGTACCGATGCGGCGAGCCACACCGTGCTGGTCAACTGGTTCCGGGCAGCGCTGACGTGGAACGTCGAGCACGGCCGTGTCCGGGCGGAGCCGTCAACGACACTCGCCTCCCGTGGCGGCGGCCTGGCTGCACATCAGGCAACGCGGCCGAGTCTTTTGTCTCTGCAGCCATCTGTGCTGGGGGAAGCGACCAGACACACAACGAACGGCCGTGGAGCAAACGGGACGAATGGACATGGAATGACCATGCTGGATGCCCTGCGCCACCAGACGCCCAGCCGTTTCGTCTCGCAAACAATCCCGCTGCCGAGCCATGTGGAGGTGCCGGACATTGTGGAGGCACTGCAGGTTGGCCGGGTGGACGGCAGCGAGCCAGAACAGATGATCTTGGACTCGGCCAGCGCGGCGTCGGGAACGAACCACACGCAAACCGAAGACACAGTGGGCGACGATGACACGGCCAACGACGAGGCCATCCGCGGTCGTTTCAGCATCATCGCCCTCGATGTAGGCGCCGCGCTGCGGATCGAGTACCGCACGGGCGATCGTTTTGCGTCCATTCGCCTGCCACGCACGTCGCCCGACACCGTCAACATCTCGCTGCAGGAGACACAGACCATCTGGCAGCTGCTGGCCGAGGTGCACGAGAGTCGTCGTCTTCCCCAGGAGGACGTGGCTGCCGCCACCCACAGCAGGGCCAGCCCCTTTCTCGGCGGTTTCATGGGGTACGTTTCGTACGAGCAGGGCCTGGGCGACATTGGTGTCCCGCTGCCGGGTGCGGGCGACGAGGGCGGCGGCCGTGGCCACAACCGACCGGACGTTTGCTTTGCTTGGGTGACGAAGAGCATTGTTGTGGACCACGTGCTCGGTGTTGTTCACGTGCAGCATCTCGAGGCAGGTGCGACTCATGCCAACGGGACGAGTGGAGTCAGTGGCGTCGGTAGTGCAAATGGTGCAAGATGCACCCACGGCAGGAGCAACGCAAACGGTCAAAATGGGAAGGCGCAATCCTCTTGGGTCGACGGCGTGGCTGCACAACTGCAGACGTCAAAGCAATGGCAGTCGGCCGCTCGAACGTCTGCCATGCCGACGTCCATACCAACGTCGCCCATGCTCCCTCGCGTCGTTCACACCCAACTGCCCGACGTCCAGGCCTACGAACACAAGGTCCGCGCCTGCCAGGAACACATTGCCGCCGGCGACGCCTACGAGCTGTGTCTGACCGACGAGACGCGCATTGCCACGGCATCGCCTGCCGCTTCTTCGTGTTCGTCGTCCTCGGCCTGGAACTACTACCGCCTGCTGCGCAAGAAGAACCCGGCGCCCTTTGCGTCCTTCCTCCGCCTCGGCGGCGCCACGCTCGTGAGCAGCTCGCCGGAACGCTTTCTCTGCTTCTCGCCCCGGATGGACGACGACGGCAGGACCGACGGCTCCTGTGCCGGCACCAGCACGCTCTGCTCGATGCGTCCCATGAAGGGCACCGTGCGCCGCTCTGCCGCGGTGGCCACGCTCGCGCAGGCGGAGGCGCTGCTGCACGTCCCCAAGGAAGAGGCCGAGAACCTCATGATTGTCGACCTCGTGCGCCACGACCTGCACGGCGTCTGCGGGCCGGGCCACGTCACGGTGCCGCGGCTGCTGCAGGTCGAGCCGTACGGCCACGTCTTCCAGATGGTGACGGTCGTGGAGGGCGCGCTCGCGGCCCAACGGGGCTACACGGGCCTGGACGTCCTCGCCGCGAGCCTGCCGCCGGGCAGCATGACGGGCGCGCCCAAGAAGCGGAGCTGCGCTCTGCTGCGGGCGCTGGAAGAGCGGCCGCCGTCGCCGCGGAGCGGTGCAGCCGGCGCGGCCCCTGGCGAGCGCAGCCTGTACTCGGGCGTTGTCGGCTACCTCTGTGTCTCTGGCCGCGGCGACTGGAGCGTGACGATCCGCAGTCTGTTCCGGTGGGACGACGAGACGACGTTTGTCGACAGCAGCAGCGACAGAGACAATGGATCCGGGGCGGAAACGACGCGGCAAGACGTGTGGCACATTGGTGCGGGTGGTGCGGTGACGATCCTGAGCACGCCCGAGGGCGAGCGGGACGAAATGTTTGTCAAGCTGTCACGGCCGCTGAGCATTTTCGAGTAAGGCTACGCGACGTAAGCACAGTACAATTTCAAGTGGGGGGGGACACACTCAACGTGTGATTCTCACACGGCGCTTCAATGCCAGGCAAGGCGTTTTGTTTTCCATTTTTATTTTTGGGCATAGAAGGGATACCACCTCAACGGCACAGACGATACCCCTACATACAATGTAATATACCTTGAGCGAAATAGAGTAACAAGTTTGAAGTACGAGATACAAACTCATGGCTGGTTTCGTTGGTTACTTTTGGTGTGTGCATTAACAACAATAGCCAACAGAGAGAATCCCGCAGACATAGGAAAATGAAATAAGACGAAGATATGGCCTAGGAAAGATGAAGAGACAATGCGAATGACCCGATCCGAACGCCCAGATGGGAACATCAGTAATATTACACAAAACAGCCCCCACGCCAGCAGACAAGAAGAAAAAAGAAAGCAAGAGCGGAACATGCAAATAGTAAAGATGGAAGCTGGACGACACAAATAGAAACAGGGGAATGCATCTGCAAAAATGAACGAAAGAATGTTTCAAGTATACACCGAGAAACACGCTCGCTTTGGAGGTGGTGGCCGCTGTCCGTAACGGAATGCACTCGGAGGTTCGCGGTAGAAGACTACGTAGTGGTTCCGCTCAGAGGAGCCTTGTGAGGACGTGGAGCATCCGTCATATGTCCTCTAGCTGGTCCTTGACGAATTCCTCGTCGCCACCTCGTCGTCACCCCGTCGTCGTTTAGAACTCCTGCTCCTCCTGGAAGAACATGCCGAAGCTGATAATGGTGCCGTAGATCAGCAGGCCGCCCACAATCGACATGGCCATTGCGCCCGTGCTGATCAGGCCCGCGTGCGCCAGCACCACCGGCAGCGCAATGCCCATCACCACAAAGAAGCCCGTGAAGAAGCGGCCGATGTCGAGGATGGCGGCGCCCGAGCTCTCGACAAAGTCGTCTGGGTTCGCACAGCGGCTGCAGATCCAGTTGGGCAGCGGCGCGATCACGTACGTCGCGACGACGAGCAGCGGGTAGTAGACATTGAAGAGGGCACAGGACAGGATGACCAGCAAGAAGCCGACGGCGAGGACAAAGGAGAGGGCAATAATCGTTTTGAGGCCGGCGGTTGTCATGTTGGAAGGTGGGCGAGTGGTGTTGGACGACAAAAGAGAGGGGATAGTATATCGAGTGGGCGTGAGAGCGTGTGAGAGTGTGCGAGAGCGTGTGAAAGACAACGACAAGTCGGGCAAGGCAACCTTGAAAGTCGTGATGCCGTTCGGGAGAGCCGGAGATCGTGGTGGCTGGGGGACGCCGTAGGGAGAGACCGGGCGCCGGAGGAACAATGCAAGCACAAGGGGTAGAATCGCAGAGTTGTATTTCGGACTGAGCTCGAGCAGTGGAAGCGTAGGGCGATCGTGGGGCGTGGGCGGCAATGGGGTGCAAAGTGGTGATGGTGGCAGGCGGCAAGATGACGATGGGGAAACAGGTCCGACGCAGAAACACTCGCACAGCGGGCATCAGTGGGCCTTGGGCGGTTGTGGCAGCCTTTCGCCCTGTTTCAGATTAGTCTATTTGGCAGGCGTATTCGTGGTATTGCCCTGAGTCGCACCTACCTTGCCTGAGGCCTGTTTTCATGGGCAACAGCCAAGTGTGGCGTAACAGTGGCTGTGCGCACGGCCCACTCTTAGCCAGGAGCTTGTACTGGCCTGCACCACAGCCCCGGCCAACCAGCAACAGCAAAGCACATACGAAAGCTCAAAGCTGCCTGCTTTCGCGCCTACAGCCAGTAGTACTACAATCGACTGAATTCCCATAACACCAAACCATCGCGACGACATTCTGCCTTCCACGACCCGCCATTTCTGACATCACTCTTTCTGAATTCGCATTTACGGACACGTCGACGCTCGACTAGCTTCGCATTGTCATAGAACCGCTCCCATCGACCGCCGCCTTGACTCGAGGCCGTTCTTATTTGACCCCGACTCACTTCCCTCCTCTCATCTCTGCTCTCCCTCGCCGCCACCATGTTCAGAAACAACTACGACAACGACTCGGTCACATTGTGCGTCTACGACTGATGCAATACCTTTGCACCCCCCCCCCCCCCCAACCGCCCCCATAGTCTACCGACACCTGCTGAAACTGACACTGTATAGCTCCCCACAAGGCCGGATATTCCAGGTCGAGTATGCCGCCGAGGCCGTCAAGCAGGGCTCCGTCGTGGTGGGCATTGTCAGCAAGACGCACGCCGTCCTGGTCGCCGTCAAGCGCAATGCCGAGGAGCTGTCGTCGTACCAGAAGAAGCTGTTCCCCGTCGACGAGCACGCCGGCATCGCCATTGCCGGCCTGACGTCGGATGCCCGCGTCCTCTCCAACTTTATGAAGCAGCAGTGTCTCGGCCACCGCCTGACGTACGGGACCTCCATGCCGGTGCGGACGCTCGTCGACATGATTGCCGAAAAGGCCCAGCTCAACACCCAGCACTACGGCCGCCGGCCCTATGGCGTGGGCCTGCTGGTGGCCGGCGTCGACGACCGCGGGCCGCACCTCTTTGAGTTCCAGCCCAGCGGCATGACCGACGAGATGGTGGCGTTTGCGATTGGCGCGCGCTCGCAAATGGCCCGCACGTACCTCGAGAAGAACATTGCCGCCTTCGCCGACAGCGGCCGCGAGGCCCTCGTGCAGCACGGCCTGCGCGCGCTCAAGGAGAGCCTGGTGCAGGACCGCGAGCTGACGGTCGACAACACGAGCGTGGGCATTGTCGGCTTTGTGCCGGCCGCCGCCTCGGCCACGGGCGCGCGCGAGGTGGAGCCGTTCACGGTGTACGACGGCCAGGACGTCAAGGCGTGGCTCGACGCGGCGGCAGACGACAAGGCAGAAGGCGACGACGCGCCGGCACCAAGCGGCGGGGCCGAAGGCGAGATGGAGGTGGACCAGTAGGGCAATACCGTCGCTCGCCCGGTCGGCGAGATTTGTGGAATACACTAAAGCGGAGGCGTCGATGCGGCAGAGCGACAGAGTGAGAACGAGCGAGAGGGAGCAGCGTGTGGACGATTCTCTTTTGACACACAAGCCACTTGTACTACTACAAACATACGACGCGCAAAACGTTCCCATAAAATGTGCCATACACGTGCTACGCAACAGCTAAACGTGTCACAAAAAAGACCTATATGACCCATATTACCTATATTTAATGTGTTGAAACTAGGGAGACAATAACGTCCAACACACGGTGTAGACCAAATAAAGACGCCGTTCAAAGTCGACATAGGAAGAAGCGCTATTCAAGCATGCATAAATTCGTGAGAGCGGCAAGAGACACCAGAGAGGCAGGAGAGACACACATGGGCGCCGTCTACTGCTTGTCCCACGACAGCTTCAGCACGGATGGCGCGACTTTGTAATCCCGCAGCGCCAGGATGGCGTCCTCGGCCGTCTTGGCCTCGACGATGATGCCCGCGTTGCCCTCCGAGATAAAGCCCTCGTCGACGCTCGTGCGGATCCACGCAAAGAGCCCGTCGTAGAACCCGTTGATGTTGAGCACGCACACGCCCTTGTTGTGGATGCCCAGCTGGTTCCACGTCGACGTCTCCAGCAGCTCCTCAAACGTGCCGTAGCCGCCGCTCAGCGCAATGAAGCCGCTGCCGGGACCGGCTTGCAGCACCTCCTGGGCCATGATGCGCTTGCGCGTGTGCATGTCCTTGACCACGGTCGTCTTGCCAAAGACCTCCTCGGCGGGAATGGCCAGGCTGTCGGTGCCGTCGGTGCCATCGGTGCCGTCGGCGGCCTTGGCCTTGGACGCGCCATTGACCTCGCTCTTGGGCTCGCCGTTGGTGCTGTCGACGAGTTGCCGTGTGTCGCCGCCTTCTGCCTTGGCCTGGGCGGCGGCGGCGCGTGTGCGGGATGTGTAGTTGGGGTCCCGCTCGTACCGGACGAGAGCCTCAGGGATGATGCCGTGAACCGAGTCGGGGCCGGCCAGTGCGACCAGGGACCGGGCCAGCTCGCCCATCAGGCCGACCGTGCCGCCGCCGTATACTGAACGTCCGAAAGTTAGTGGGCCGGCTTCAAGCAAGTTCGAGAGACGGTCATGGGAAAGTCACGGCCTACCTAAGCCAATGTTGTTCTCGGCCATGACCCGAGCCAAGTCCCGCGCCGCCTGCATGTACACCGGGTTCTTGCCCGGGGACGAGCCACAGTACACGCAGATCTTGGTCTTCTTGGGGAGCGAAGGGTCGGCTACGTCGTCCACCGAAGTCACCTGTGACAGGTTCGAGTGCACAGTGGACGTTGCCGTCGGCGTCGACGTTCTGGACGCCGACGGCATGGGAGAGGCACCTCCGGACTCCATGGCGGGCGACAGCTGTCGATTGAGGGTAAGGGATAAGGGGGAAGCGAAGAGGGGTGGAGAGGGGGGTGGAATAGGAATGCTGTTGTCGATGCTGTAGACGTAGGCGCGACAGAAGACGAGAACAAAGGGTGACAATCTCTGTAATGTAAAGAAAATAATGCAAAGAAAATAATACGAGCCGAAAGGAGCAAATATCAATTCCAGGCAGGAGCAGAAACAGTGCCAAACACAAGACGGAAGGAGCTGATGGCTGGTGTTATAAATGGCAAGTTACAGAAGCTCGTTGATGCACTGGCTCACCAAGCAAAAGGCCGATCGTAAGCGGGAGCCAATCACAGAGCCACGCGAGACGGTCCTCAGGTGCATTGGGGGAAGGACCAAGACAGGGCGATGACGGCGCCACGGCAGGAACGGCGAATGACTCGAATGACTCGAATTGGGGCGCTATGCGCCGAAAACAGCAAGAGCGGGTGGGGCGGGCGATTCGTTGACGTGCCATAAAGGTATTTCTGAGAATTGTTCGAGATGTCTTCACTTTCAGAGATGGAGAAAGCCAGCAGCGGACTTTAAATCAGGTGTTTACTGCTGACAATGATCTTGCCATTTGTTGTAGCCGTTACGGTAAAGAATGCTGGATGGCTGTTATGACCAAGATGCGAAACGTGCTCGTTGTGACGCCGCGTTGACTGAGTCACCAATTCGTATCTGTTTATCTTCTCACTTTGTCTTTATGGCCTCGTATCTCCCCATGGCCAACGCTTCAGCTGTCGGTCAGGGCAGCCACACAGCCAGGAGCACGTATGCGGTGCGCAAGTGCGCATATACGCTGGCAGGCGGAGACATGCGCTCGTGACCTCGACAGCCCCAAACGGCGTCCGTAATGCACGCACGGAAGGGACAGCTGATGCTCGGTGATCCGCCAAGACAGGGCTGCCTTCCGTCGAGCAGCATCCGACACCCATGGCCCAGAAACAGCGATGCAGATGAGATGCAACACTCCATCGATCCTTGCTCGATGCCAAGGTGGTGTTGACCAAAGCGTCTCCGGCCCATAATGCACCTTACTCAGTACCGTGTAGACGAGCACGCGACCTGGCATCGGGTCGCACAAACCCTGCTTGCTGGTGTAGGTATGTTGTGCATTGGAAGAGGCAAACACAACATGGGAACCGTACGTCGTGATAGTCGCTGTCAGTCGCTGTCAGCTGCTGTCAGTTGCTGCCACTCTTGGCCTGTAAGTGCGCTGCAAGGGCCTGAGCTTCAGCGCATATGCATCTTTACGTAATGCTGGTCGTGCACCCAGCGAGGGTCGTTGCTTCCCGCCGTGCGCCCAGCCGCGGCGTTGATTCGCCACCGAAGCTTCCGATTTAGGCAAGCCCACACCCACGCAACAGGCCTAGACGGAAGTCGTCATTGAGGCCTCGCTGCACAGCAAAGACGAAGACGGCAAGCACGACGCGCTAGCAGACCCCATCCATAGCGTTCCATTGCGCGACAGCACCCAAGACGGCAATTTGCAGCAAGCACGTTGCTTCGCCCATTCCAATCCCCCGTTCTAACAAATTGGCTTCCACTCTCCGTTCGCAACGAGCAACGTGCAACCGTGCCACATCTGACCTTTGCGGAGCGCAACACTAGCAGGCCGTTCCATTCGACGTAGCTTGTGTGCCTTGTGTCTCTTGCGTGCCCAGTCGTCGAGAGTCGACGCTCTACCCCTGACCTCCAAGTCGCCGGACTTTTTGATTCTTCGACGCTTCGACGATTCGACACATCGCCATGCCGGAGGGAAACGCAGCTGCGGCCGCCGGCCAGGAGGAGCCGCAAGGTGTACGTTGTCAACGGCTTGTCTCGGGGTCTGCAGTTTGTTCGAGGCGTGTGCTAACCCCCCTGTTGTCCCTCCCCAGCAGACCTCCATGATGTCACGCATGCTGCAGATGGGCGCCATGTACTTTGGCATGCAGCTGCTCATGAAGCAGTTCCTGCCCAAGCAAGACGCTGCCGCCACGACCGCGACCACCACGGACGCCAGCGGCAACGTGGTCAAGGTGCCCGTGTCGACGGGGGCCATCCCCGCCTACCACGCGCGCCCAGACCGTCTCGACGAGGGCGCTACGTACAACCCGACGCCGCAGCGTCTGGCCGCCATCTGGCCCGAGGACAGCAAGCTCGACATTGTCATTGCCGTGTCGCCAACACACCAGGCCCGGCCGCTCAACGCCGCCGACTCGGACCCCGTTGTGCTGTCGGAAAAGGCGTTTGGCCTCGGCGACTTCAAGGACAAGCGCTCCATCGACGCGACGATCCAGGTGCCCAAGCAGGTGCAGAACAACGGCACGCTTTGGGGCCACTTCTTCATCGGCCTCGCGGGCGCCGAGCTCGACCCGTACAGCCCCAGCTACGACCGCGCGGCCGCCTACTGCTTTGCGTTCCCGCTGACGCAGTACATTGTCAAGAAGAAGGCGTTCAAGACGCGCAACCTGCTGGCCGGCAAGGACGGGGCGGGCGGCGAGGGCGGCGAGGTGGAGGCGGAGGTCGAGGAGGACACCTCGCCCGGCCCCATCGTTGCCAGCTACTACCACCCCAACACGTCGCTCTCGTTCGTCCCGTCCAGCGGCATCATCGACTACCCCAACACGGCGCCGGCGATCCAGCAGTTTGTGCACCCCGAGGCCACGGGCGCGCGCGACGGGTCGGGGCAGAACTCGTGGTACTACCCCGTGCTCTTTGTCAACACGTTCTGGCAGCTCAAGACGCACATGACGCTGCTGAACGACACGGTGACCACGCTGCCCATGCACCTGGACCTCGGCAACCTCAACGACTGGCAGTTCAAGCTCATGGCCAGCATCGAGATGAGCGGCCGCGAGTCGGCGCGCCAGGCCGCGTGGGGCAACCAGCTGCCCGGCGGCGGCGACGGCACCGAGATTGAGATGGTCAAGGAGATTGTGCTGGACACGAACCCGTACCTGCTGGCCGTGACGGTCGTCGTGACGGTGGCGCACCTGATCCTCGAGATGCTAGCCTTTGGCTCGGACATCTCGCACTACCGCAAGAAGAAGGACAACGTCGGCATCTCGGTGCGCTCGATCCTGGCCAACGTGTTTATGCAGACGGTCATCTTCCTGTACCTCATCGACAACTCGCAAAACACGTCGTGGATGATTCTGGGCTCGCAGGGCGTTGGCATTGTGATTGAGCTGTGGAAGATTACGACGGTCGTCGACGTGCGCGTGCGCGACGCGCCGCCGGGCTCGCTGCTGCCGTACCGCATCGCCTTTGAGGACAAGCACAAGCTCACGGAGACCGAGGAGAAGACCAAGGAGTACGACGAGATCGCCTTCAAGTACATGTACGTGGCGGCCGTGCCGCTGCTGCTGGCCTACGCCGTCTACTCGCTCGTCTACGACACCCACAAGTCGTGGTACAGCTACGTGATTGCGACGCTCGTCGGCTCCGTCTACGCCTACGGCTTCTTGATGATGGTCCCGTCGCTCTACATCAACTACCGCCTCAAGAGCGTCGCCCACATGCCCGGCAAGGCCATGATGTACAAGTTTGTCAACACCTTCATTGACGACCTCTTTGCCTTCACCATCAAGATGCCCTTCCTGCACCGCCTGGCCACCTTCCGCGACGACATCATCTTCTTCATCTACCTCTACCAGCGCTGGGCGTACCGCGTCGACTACACGCGCGTCAACGAGTTTGGCCAGGGCGGCGACGACGGGGACGCGGCCGAGGCCGAGGCCGAGGCCGAGACCACGACGACGGCCCCGCCGCCCAAGCTGGTGACAGCCGCTGACAAGAAGACGGGGACGGAGACGGCGGCCCTCCCTGCAGCCGAGGCGTCTGCAAAGACGTCCGGCACGGATGCCAAGGCTGGCAGTGCCACGAAGAAGCGGAAATAAAGTCGACTCTGGGGAAAGAAGGTAGGGGGGGGGACTGGCCAGGACGGAGGATGGAAGAACACGGCCGGGGTTGCAAACGTTCTAATGCGGTGGACATGACAAGTTCCGTGCATCGTTCGGTTTTGTCTCATTTGCGCACTTTCCTACCTGACTATACTCTTTGTCGATACAGACATGCATAACAGGTAGAACCAGGGTCACTCGAGGATTTGTAGGATACGTACGAAACGACTTGATAGACCATCGGCCACGTACGAAGGCCTCGCCATATATGGAAACAAAGGTCATAGACGAGAGAAGGCGCAGTTTAGGCGCCGTAGGGTAGACAGTCTCAGAATACCAAGCATACCCACTGGAATAAAGACTACGTATCTTGCAGCTTTCGGTATGGCCCCAAAAGAGGCCAAGATGCAACCCAAAGACCCTCGGGTCCCTGTATTCGCGGCCCTTTAGCGCCAAAGGCCCTAGCCGCAACCTTCGCCGCTCAAACTGCAGGTGGTGTGTGCCTCACGGCTCAGGGCTGGTCACACAGTGGCGGACGATTGGCGCCTGGTCAGTCACCGCCTGTTGCGCCTTCCCAGTGCTGAATACTACGGCGTTAGCGCTGAGGGTATTAGTGTGGCTCGAGTGGGCTGCGGTTTCCCGTTGGTAATTACACCACTGGGTCATGCTTTCCCGCCTGGGACGCGTTGCTGCGTCGCACTTGCCGCCCATGATGTAGGACGCGGTTGCCTTCGTAGCGATACGATGATACAGTGGCCTGTCCTGGTGGCCAACTTCGCTTTCCTCCTTTCCTCTTCACCTTTTGCTTCTGCATCTGAAAAGGATCATCACAAAAACCGCCCCTTTCAGCAATACGTGGCCCACGAGGCAGCCTTGCCGTCCCTGTCCATCTCTTTCACCTGGCGTTTTGTGCCGTTTTCGTCTTGTGCAACCAGTCCCTTGCTTCTATATATTCACTTCGGCTGGCCTTCCATCTGCTTTCATCGCCCACCTCGTTAGACGTTTCCAGTATTGTCTTTCAGATACCCAAAACTCTCACACTTTTATTAGACTCATCAAAGACCCCAGACTCTTAGACGTTTATTAGACCCGTTACAGCGTCTCTCGTTTTATCGACAACATCCCCTCGAACGGAGCTCTCCTCGGCCTCTGACATCCCGTGTCTCACATCCAAAGACCACGACCATGTCCCTCTAACCTTGCGAGAATCACCATAAAACACATCGAAATATACAGTCGGGCCCGAGAGACCGGACTCGTCCCGCCACTTTTCAACCCGTCCTGCCCGCCATGGACTACACAAAGCTGCGGGCCGCCGCCCTCCGCGACGGCGAGGACGAGGAAGCCGTCACCGTCGACACGCGCGCCCTCATCGACAAGGTGCTGGCCCGCTACTCGGGCGAGTGGACGACGCTGCGTGAGCTGATCCAAAACGCTGCCGACGCCCAGGCCACGACCGTCAAGATCAAGTGGGAGACCACGCCCTCCACGTCTGTGCCGCTGCCTCTGCATGCGGGCGCCGCCAGCAACCCGAATGCCCTGCTGCGCCATACCGTCCTGCATCATACGTTGCGGCGGCTGCTCGTCGAGAACGACGGCCAGGCTTTTACAAAGACCGACTGGGCCCGCCTGAAGCGCATCGCCGAGGGCAACCCGGACGAGACCAAGATCGGTGCGTTTGGCGTGGGCTTCTACAGCGTCTTTGCCGACTGCGAGGAGCCCTTCGTCCGCTCCGGCCGCGAGGCCATGGCCTTCTACTGGAAAGGCAACGCCCTCTTCACACGCAAGATGGCCGTGCCAGACGACGCCGTCGCGCCCGACCAGGCCGGCAAGACCACCTTTGTGCTCGACTACCGCAACGCCACCACGGCGCTGCCCAATCTGCTGTCCGTCAGCCAGTTCCTCGCCACCTCTCTGACCTTTGTCGCCCTCCAGCGCATTGAGTTCTGGGTCGACGAATGGAAGATTCTGGATCTGCACAAGAAGCTGTCACCAAGCGTCGCCGTGTCCATCCCGCGCAACCTCGATGTACGCACCAAGGAAGGCCTGATGACCGTGGCCGGTGTCGACCGCTCCAGCGCCCAGATCGATGCTCAATACATGCACGCCGTAGCCTGGAAGCCGTCCGCCGCTGCGAACGGCTCGGCGTCTGCTTCTGGTTCCACGTCGGGCGGCAGCAACCCGTCCGGCAGCAGCAAATCAACCGACACCTACGGCATGTCTGCGGGCGACATGCCGTCCCTCCGCAGCTTCTTCTCGCGGCTGACGGGCTCGTCGTCCTCGTCTTCCGCTCAGAAGGAGGCTCGCAACAAGGCCGCGCGCGAGGAAAAAGTCGCCCAGGATGCCCTGCTAGAAAACCTCACCGGCACAGGCCGCGCCAGCATCTTCTTGCGTGTCACGTCGGCATCGGTCAAGACCAACGTGTCTGCCAACTTTGCTACAGAGCTGGAGCGCGCTACAAAGAAGCCCCCACCCAAGACAACCAAGATGGCCATTCTGACGTCAACCTACGACGATGTCTTGGCGTCTGAGGAAGCCATCAAGGCCGTGGGCGCGATGACGACAGCGTCAGCTGCAGCAGCAGCTTCTTCTTCTGTTTCAGCTTCAGCGGCAGCTACAGCTACGACAGCTCCGGCGACGGCGAAGCCGGGAAGGTTGTCACACAAAAAGACGCCGTCAACCGCCGGTGCTCTGCCGCCTCCGCCAGACTATACGCCGGCCATTCCCCCCGCAGACATCTTTGCCTCGGTCCTGCCGAGCAAGAAGCCGGGCGGCCGCATTTTCATTGGTTTCCCGACCATGCAGACGACCGGTGGCGGCATGCACGTCTCGGCCCCATCGCTGATTCCAACCGTGGAGCGCGAGGCCATTGACCTCAACGCCCGCTGGGTGCGCAACTGGAACATGGAGCTGCTCCGCGTGTCCGGCATCCTGGTGCGTCTGGCGTTCATCAACGAGATGGCGGACCTCGCCGTCAAGTTCCGCCAGTTTGTCGAGGCCAACCGCGCTGCCAAGGCGGCCCCTGGTACGGTGGCCGTAAACAGCAGCGTCGTGCCTGTGCCCACGGCCGATGAGGTCGCCCGATTTGTCCCCGAGGCCCTGCACGTGCTCAAGACGTACACCTTTAGTGACTCGACCCCGAGCGCCTATGTCGGCCAGATCATCGAGGAAGCCTTCTGGACGGCCTATGCGCTCCCGTCCCTGGACGTCTTCTCCAGCCGCGGCGTCCTTTCCACGGCCAAGGTGCGCATGAGCAACGTCGAGCTGAGCAGTTTTGTGGACGGCATCCCCGTCGTCGTGGAGCAGATGAAAGACGACCCGTTCATCAAGAAACTGCATGACTTTGGCATCATCCAGGACGCCACGTTGGACGACGTCAAGGCCGAGCTCGAGTCCAAGCCACTCAACCGTGACCAGCTCGTGCACTTCCTCAAATGGACCAGCACGCAAACCAGGAAGGGCGAGCTGAGCTTTATAGACATTCAGAAGCTGTTGGGCGCGGCGGTTGCGAATGTCGTCGATGAGACAACCGGCAGCTCGACTATCCTCGAGCTGCACAGAATCAAGCACTTTCTCATTGGCAACAAGATCCCGGCCAATCTGCCCATCCCACCCAACACCCTTCCACTCTCCATCACCAACTCCATCGCAACGACGCAGCTGCAGGCGCTGGGCTGGAGTGCGCTGGACATCTTGCCGTGGGTGGAATACCTCGTGGCGTCCCGGGTGCAGCTCGGCGCAGAGTGCAACCTGACGGCTGATCCCAACTTTGCCGCACAGGTTCTTCTTGTCGTCTCCAAAAACTGGGACAACACCAGCTTGTCAAGCAAGTCGAGCATAGTATCCCTGCTCCAGGAACACACCACAATGCCCACCCGCACGGGCATGCGGAAACCTGAAGAGGCCTTCTTCCCGTCCGTCAAACTGTTTGATGATCTGCCTGTTGTGGCGCCCAACTGCCAGCACCTCAAGGACAAGTTCTTGCAGCAGCTTGGCGTCCGCAAGACCATCGATCTCGACACCATCTTCACGCGCCTGCTCAGCCAGCCGACCCCCTCCGTGCCCAGCACCGCCACCACGTCTACTGCTGGTGCCGCTGGCACGTCGGAAAAGGCCGCTCTCGCTGCCCCAGCCAGGAAAAATTGGAGCCATGTCGAGCTGATCAAGTACCTCGCGTCCGTCCGCGGCGACATCCCTAGCAACGACATCAATAAGCTGCGCAAGACGGCATTTCTCCCGGCTGAGGCCGGCACAGATGGTCCAGGGTCGCAGTTGTCCGGTGCCACGCTGTACCGGCCTGACCAATTGTACGAGCCGTCCGCCGCCGTACGCGAGCTGGGCTTTCCCATCGTGCAGTGGCCCGATCAGCCCGGTAACTACTACCGCAAGTCCAGCGCCGAGGCCCAGTTCTTGACCGCACTGGGCCTGCGCCACCATCCAAATGCCAGCAACCTGGTTGAAAAAATGGCGTCACCCAGCCAGTCCCTGCGCGACAAGGCGCGCGCCTACTTTATTGAACACCACCAGACACACGGCTACGGAGCGTACAATGTTCGCGGCACGAACATGGCCATCATGCCCATCCAGGTCAGCGGCGGCAGCAGCAGCGAGAAACAGCCACAGGAAGTGCTTGTGGCGCCCTCGGCCTGCTACCAGAACGCCGACGCCGCCGTCCTCGGTTTCCCCATCCTACGCAAGGACTTGCAGCCACACGCCGCCAAATTCGGCGTTTACCTCAATCCGCCCATGGACGAGTGCGTCAAGCGGCTCCTGGCCAAGCCGCCGCGGTCAAAGGAAGATGCTGCCGTCGTCTTCAAGTACTTTGCGACCCGCCTTGCCGACTTGTCGGGCAACAGCCTCCAAATGCTGAAGAAGGGCGCTTTTGTACCCGTCGTTCGCAAGTCGAGCGTGACGGCGTCTTCGGCCCCCGTTCCGAACGCCAACGGATACCCAGACGATAAGAAGACACCTGCTGCTCGTGGGCAGTCGACCCAGACAACCATTGAACACGTCTCGCCCGAGTCCTGCTACCTAGGCTCGTCGGCCACATACGGCGACATCTTTGATTTTGTCGACTTTGGTGTCAACGGCAATGCGTTTCTGTTCAAGTGCGGCTCCAAGTCCGAGCCGACCAAAATCGAGATTGCCCACCTGGCGTGCAACGAGCCCGCGCGTCTCCTCAGCACAATGCAAACAACCGAGCGCTACTTGGCCCTGCTGCGCTCGCTCGCCGAAGAGCTGCCGCGGCTTATGAACGACCGGGAGCTGCTCCAAAAGATGCAAAGAGCGCCGTTTTTGCTCGCCTCGCGGGAGATCAGCCCCAGCCGCCCGAACCAGCAGAATGGCCAGGGGGCGTTCAGCACGTTGTTTTCTGCCCAGGACGCCGGCAACGACGACGGTGGCGACGACGACAGCGACGAGCCGCCCATTCGGCAGTACCAGCTGGCGTCGGCGGCCAACATCAGCATCCTGGACGACTACATTAGTTACCGTCTCTTCAAGGACAATCTCATGTGTGCGCCCGAGGAGGATGCCCTCGAAGCGTTCTACCTAGCGCTCGGCGCCCAGAAGCTGAGCCAGGTCGTTACGGAAGACATCCGCATCGGCGCCCACAGCCCCAGCCAAGCCGAGGCCGTCAAGCTCCGCTCCTTTGTTATCGAGCGGTCCAAGATTTTTTTGTACGAGTACCAAAAGTACCGCCACGATGCCATCAAGCACGACATCCGCTGGCTCGAGAAGAATTTGGCCGTCGAGATGGTCCAGTCCGTATCGTTGCGCCGGTCTCTGCGCCATAGCAACGAGACGCACACCGAGAAGCGGTCGGCCGCCAGCGCGCGCAGCAAGGGCTCGGGCTTTGTGCTCTACGTCGCGTCCAAATCCAGAGTCGACATGTACCAGGTCGGCCAGGCCATTTGCCAGCTGGTTCTGAGCCGGCCCAGCCAACAGGCCTACTTCTTCTTTGAGCCCTTCCTCAAGCTGGAGCTGCTCGACCTGCGCGCCCGCGGCTACAACGTCGACCGCATCCTGCGCCAGCGGGCGGCCGAGGCGCGAATTGCCGAAGAGGAGCGCCGCAAGGCGTTGGAGGCGGAGCAGGAGCGCATCCGGGCCGACGAGAAAGAATGGGCCGAGCGGTCGAAGCTAGCAGCAGCGGCCCAGTCGTCGCCGGACCGTAAGATGCCAGGTGGCTTTGCCGACGACGGCGACAATACGCCGGTGCATGATTTCCCACCTTCGAACCCGCAGTTGTTGCACCAGCAGCAGCAGAACGCCATCAAGAAGAGGGGCATCTTTTCGGGCCTGACGCGTCGCCTGGGTCTCGACAACAAGCAGGACCACGAGCACAGTTCTGACGATGGCGGCCACGCCGAGGACGAGCGGAGTGCGCGAGGCGGCAGTGAAAGTGCTGGAGGTCCAACCACCAGCACACAGCACGACAGCAACAACAACGAGGAGGGCCGCGTGACCAACCCGGCGGTCGTGCAGCAGAACATGCTGAACGCGATCCAAGCGACGCGGCCGTTTGGCTCGAACTCGCTGTATACGCCGCCCACGACCAACTTGGTCAAGGAGCAGGCGACGTACTGCGACAGCAACCATGCGCACGACCTGGCCATGGTCGCCCAGGCGCCGCGCGGCATGAACGTCTTCCTGGCCCGCGCGGTGACCCTGCCGGCGGCGGATTTCTTGGCGCAGAACCGAAGCGTCATTGCCACCTTTGAGGCGCTTCTGCGCGACGTCGCGGCCGTCTACGACCTGGCGCCCGACGCCGTGCAGATGTACTACGATGCCACGGGGCCCACGATCGCCTTCAACACGCGCGGCAGCATCTTTTGCAACCTGCGCTACTTTGTGCAGCTGCACGCCCGCAAGATGCAGGCGGCGGGCGACCGCGGTGCGCAGCAGGCGCGCGTGGACGCGACGGTGTGGTGGTGGGTGGTGCTGGCGCACGAGCTGGCGCACAACCTCGAACAGAGCCACAACGCGGTGCACAGCTACTACACCGAGACGTTTGTGCAGCAGTACTTCCACAAGATGACGGCGCGCGCTGCGTCATGGAACAACGCGCCGGCTCGCGACCTCGGGGCCGTTGCGGGTGCGTCGCGTCTCGTGTCCGCCAACGACGGCGGCGACGGCCCGTCGGCGCCTGCGCCGCCCTCATACGATCAGGCCACGTCTGCGAGCCAGCGTCCGTCGAACCTGATGGATTAGCACATCGCACATGTCTCGCACGCGTGTTTTACTATGATGACAAGTTTGGAGTTTAGGCGGTTTTTTATTTTCTTTCTGTGCGGATTTGGTTGCTTTCTTAGACTTGTCCGTAGAGGAGCATGTAGAGGGCGTTCGCATGTCGCCAGAATCTAGGCGAGAGATTTGATTTTATGTTTTGTTATTTTTGCCACTCCTTTGCAGTTCGATATACCGTTTTATAGAACTCTCCTCTTTTGTAGACAGGACGGTTTGACGTCGCTATTCAATGTTTTTTCGCATTTTCCGCTTCATAATTCGATGCAGCGATACCGCCGCTCGGGGTTGGTCGTTTATTCGAGGTCGGCTGCTAGCTGGGCCGCCGATTCGGCGGCGGCGGCGGCGGCCAGCTCCGCTGCACGGCCTTCGCGCGCCTCCTCCTTGAGCTCGCTGTCAAAGATGTCGACAGACAGGCTTGCCTCGACAAAGTCCTCCAGCTCTTCCGAGACCGTTTTGAGCTTGTCCGTCACCGAGGCACTGGCCTCGAAGCCCACAATGTGCCGCGTCGGCGGGTTTTCGTGGCCGCCAATGGCCGTCAGCGCGTGCACCGTCTCGAGTACAAGGCGGTCGAGCGCCGGGGCCGGCAGCCGCGGGTAGCGCACGGTGGGTGTGGAGGGTGCGGCGGATGCTGGTGCCGCTGTGGACGAGGGGGCTGACGCGGCCGATGCGACGGGCGACACGGCCGGTGGCGACGCTGTGGATGCGGCGGAAGCGGTGGTCGAGAAGCCGACGTTTTCGCCGTGCAAATCCAGCACGCGAGTGAGCAGGTCACGCACACTCGGCGTGGGCGCCTCGATCAAGTCGGCCGCCGGGGCCGTGCTGCCACCTGGGCCCTGGCTCTCGGCAGCCACGGCCGCTGCCGATGCGGCCGCCGCCGCAATTGCAGACGCCTCGGCGGCCGCCTCATACTCGGGCATGGACGGCGCAAAGGTGATCCGGTTGCTGAGGGTCTGCACCTCGGTATTCGGCTGCACCACGGTGACCTTGATGTTGAAGGGCGCAATCTCGTAGGCCAGCGAGTCGCAGTAGCCCTCGAGGGCCCAGGTCGCGGCGGTGTGGATGGGCATGCCGGGCATGCCAATGTGGCCGCCGATGCTCGACAGGACCACGACGTGGCCCGTCCGCTGGCTGCGCAGCTGCGGCAGCGCGGCCTTGATAAAGTTGACCTGCGAAAAGAAGACGGTCTCGAACTGGTCGCGCACAATGTTCTGGCCCAGCAGGTTGGGTGTCTTGCCGCCACCGCCACCGCCACCGCCGCCCACCTCCTCGACGGCGCCGACCACGGCCGCCGACGAGCAGCACAGCACAATGTCGATGCGGCCAAACACATGAACGGCCTCGGCGACGGCCGCGCCGCACTGGCCCATGAAGCGGCCGTCGCAGCGGATGCCGCGGATGCGGTCCTTCCAGCCCTCGCGGTCCTTGTAGCGGCCGGAGGCCGGATTGCGGCATTCGTCGGCGAGCTCGCGGAACTCGGCGCTGATGACTTCGTTGTCGAGATCGTGTGGCGGCAGACAGGCAACGACATAGTCACCGTGGGCCAGCAGCAAGCGCATAAGGCGAATGGCCAGCGGCGAGAGCGCCTGGGTGATGAACCAGGTGCGGGGCGAGTTGTGCGTCGCTGCTGCAGTTAGCGGAAGGGCTCGACAGACGTACTTGGAGGAGGCGACACTCACGGAAAGACGGTGGAGGGATGGCATGCGAGTGCCGGCTGGCGGCAGCCTCAGCGCTCTTGCGGTCCGCCATTGCAGGCGGCGGTCATCTCACGGTCATGGATGAGAGGAGGGCGAGGGAGCGACGTCGCTAGGAAACAAGCCGCGACCAGGTGAAATGATACAACGGAGAAGGGAAAAGGGAAAGGGCAAAAGGGGAAACGAAAGAAAATGGAGAGACAAAAGAAGGACGTGCAACTGTGCTGTATAAAGCCAAGTCTATCCAAGAGGAAGCGAGAACGAGGAGAACGGCCAATGAATGTTTCCGCCGTCGGGTGACGTGCAGGAGATCATGGAGGGTTGGCAATAAGCGGATGGTTAAGAGAGGGCCGGGGTGCGGTGGATGTTGTGGAGTTGGAACGATGCCGTCTGAGAGTGTTATATTGCAGAGCTCCAAAAAAGTGCGGAGAAACGTTTCTGATAGGGACCCCAACGTTGATTGGCCTGGGCCTGCCGTGGCAGATCAGATTTTGGAAACAACGACCCAGAGTCTCGGGGCTGTTTTAGGCAGTCGCGGCAATTGCAAGTCCCGAAGCCGAGACTCGACGGACGCAGGGCCACGGCATGCGGCAGGCAATGGTTCATGGTTGCTTTTGTGTGGCCATGCACAAGGCCATTGCAATCATATCAGTTACAGGCGCATCTCTCATGCAAACTGGAATTGGACGAGGTTGACAAGGCTGTGATACTGGCGTGCAGCCTTGTGGCCAAACGTTGTTGGTTACACAGCAGGCAGGAGCCATGCAGTCGCCAGCATCGTCCTTCCTTTTTACAACAAGTACCACTCGTCCTTTCCATGTCCGACCAGTCAAGTAATACGTCGCACGACGAAACGGCGTACGCTCTTTCCAAATTGCCCCGTTTGCCGCCGAAACGGAAGGACCAGCCCCCACACGTGTGTCGATGCTCTTGTTCGGCTGCACCTACCCCACGCCGTGCCTTCCCACCCCCGCGACATTTGTCTTGCGAAATATAAATCTGGGGAAGGAGCCCAGGCGTCTTGTGCAGCGCACATTCTGCTTGCGAAATAAAATGAGTCACGTCATGGCCGCTGGTTGGCTGGTGACGGCTGCAGCCTCAGTCTCTTTGGTATTGGGAGCCAGAAACGCGCTGGATCAGGCGCTGTTCCGACACCGGCTAGTTGTGTCTTGCTGTGCGCTTTAATCGCTGCTAAAATTCGAATGGCGGGGACAGCAAGAACGACCCAACACGTAATTCAGGCGTCCGATGTGTCAATGCCTTAAAAAGCGACGGTTGCTCTTTCCACGTTGTAATTTGAGTCCTGAGTCACCGGTCCTCCTCTTTCTTGTCAATCGATCGTGCCTTCCTGTTCAAGCGTTTGTACGAGGACGTGTTCAAACGGCAACCAGTGCACCTTCCTGTCCGCATCGTCTCCGCCCCACTATCGCCTGTGAGAGCTGCGACCACATCTCCCAAACATGCCTGGACGCAACGACATCACGTACTTTGGCGCCGGCCCTGCCCTGCTGCCCACCGACGTCCTCGAGCGTGCGGCCGCCGCCCTCGTCGACTACAACGCCAGCGGCCTGGGTCTTGCCGAGATCTCCCACCGCTCAGAGCCCGCTGCGGCCATTGTACGCGACGCCCGCGCCGACCTCGCGACCTTCCTCGACGTGCCCACCGACGAGTATGAGGTCATCCTGCTGCAGGCCGGCGGCACGGGCGAGTTCTCCGCCACCGTCTACAACCTGGTCGGCGCCTGGGTCCTGCGCGAGCGCGCCAAGCTGGTGGCCCAGGGCCTGCCCGACGACGACACGAGCCCCGAGCTGCTGGCGGCCCTGCGCGCCAAGGTCGACAGCGAGCTGCGCCTCGACTACCTCGTGACCGGCAGCTGGTCCCTCAAGGCCTACCAGGAGGCCCAGCGCCTGCTCGGTGCCGACAAGGTCAACCTGGTCGCCGACGGCCGCAAGGAGACCGACACCCGCAGCGGCACGCCCAGCAAGTTCGCCGCCATCCCCGACGAGGCCGCCTGGGTCGGCAAGCTGTCGCCCAACGCCGCCCTCGTCTACTACTGCGACAACGAGACCGTCGACGGCGTCGAGTTCCCCCGGTTCCCGCCCGCCCTCGCGCCCTCGGCCGGGCACACCACGGCGCCCGTCGTCGCCGACATGTCCAGCAACATCCTCTCGCGGCCCGTGCCCGTCCGCAACTACGGCGTCTTCTTCTTTGGCGCCCAGAAGAACCTGGGGTCCACGGGCATCACCGTCGCCGTCGTCAAGAAGAGCCTGCTGCCGCAGCCCTCCGCCGACCTGCTGCGCGCCCTGCACCTGCCCATTGGCCCCATTGTGCTCTCCTACGAGACCATTGCCAAGAACGACAGTCTCTACAACACTCTCAGTATCTTTGAGTACGTTTTTTTTTTTTTGGTCCTCGCTTCGCTCGCTTTTTTAGTTGCTTTTCCTCGCTGTTGCTTGTCCTCGCTTGTACTAACGAACCCAGTGCCTACATCGCCGGCCAGGTCCTCAAGAAGCTCCTCGCCGCTTTCCCCGACGACAAGGCCGCCGGCCAAGAAGCGGTCGCCGTCCGCAAGGCCAACCAAATCTATGCCGCCCTCGACGCCCACCCGGACGTCTACCGCATCGCCCCTACCCCGGCTGTCCGCTCCCGCATGAACATTGTCTTCCGCGTGATTGCCGGCGCCGACGGCGGTGACGCCGCCGAGAAGGCCTTCCTCAAAGAGGGCACTGCGCTCGGCCTGACGGGCCTCAAGGGCCACCGCAGCGTCGGCGGCATCCGCGCGAGCAACTACAACACGATCAGCGAGGCGGGTGCGGCGAAGCTGGCCGCGTTTATTGACGACTTTGCCAAGAAGAACAAGGCTTAAGGTAGGCGAGGTGGAATTAAAATAAAAAAAGGCAAGTAGCACCGCATAGGAGGAGCATCTACTAGGACTTGAATTTATCTTGAAGAAATGAGGTAAGGAAGTGGGTGCGAAAGGCAGCCAAACGTGTGTGAAAATAGCGTTTTGATTATACTGCTTCATTTGTTGTGGTTTTATATTTTTGAAAAGCCCATTACCTCGCTAGGTTGGTCTTTGACATAAACAGCCTCATTTTAGTATATTGCCAACAATAGTACATGTTTTTATATGTCTGCTGGTGTAGAGTTTACAATGGAAATACGTAGTTTGTGTATGCATTTTATTTTTTTTATTTTTTTTAAAAAAAATGGTACAGCGATGAAAATCACATTTTCTTTTATTTTATTAAATTCCAATTTTTTATTTTATTGTTTTGGATAACGAAACCTTTTCGATTCACAAAATTAATTATTCAAAACAATAGTGTTTTTCTAATTCACCTGTTTACTTGAAAGATCCGCTGTGTAAAACGTAAAAATAGACACGGTTGTGCACATCATTCCTCAGTTCTTTTTGACCCTCACTTCTTTTGATTGTTCCTAAACCAAATTACTGAATAAAAAGGATACATAGATTCGTTACCCCGAGAGCCCGAGAAGAATATGACAAAAGGCATGCGCAATACAAGAAACAAAAACTATTTAATATAAATGAGAGGGAAAAAAAACAGAAACAAGATTCATGGTAGGGCATCGACAAAATCGTTCCAAGATAAACAGCCGTCCGAAGTTATGACCACGATGGACAAGACAAAAAAGGAAACCATAAGCTACTTCCGTCGTGGTATTACTTGCGGTCACTGTCGTATCGTTAGTGTCTGGACAAGTACGCGGTGTAGAGATGGACAAGGGGACCGTGTACTTACGTGCTAAGTCGTCTTGAGAGGGTGTGCAGCTTCTTGTCGTTGTCGGCCTCCTTGGTGGCGCGGTCGAGGGCCTGGGCGCGGTCCTCTTCGTTTTGGCGGACGACCTCGTCGTGGCTGGGGGGCAGGCGCTCATTCTGCAAATCAACCTTGCGGGCGTCCTCGAAGCTGCTGATGGCGTTCTTAATGCCCTCGGCACCGAGCATGAGCGTGCCCGCGGGCAGACGGCCGCCGGCGACCGTCTTGAGCTCGGTGACGCGCTCCGACTCCTCGCGCAGAACCTGGAAGACGCGCGACAGGCGGCCAATGGCAAGAATCTTGTTCTTGATGGCGCGGCGCTTGAACTCAATGGACTCGGGGTCCATGCCGGCCGTGCTGCCGAAGCCGGGCGACGTGGGCGACGTGGTGCCGCCGCTGACGGACGAGGGCGAGGTGATGGCGCCGGACGAGGGCGAAGGCAGCGCGCCGGCGGCCGCCTCCTCCTTGAGCTCCTCCTCGGAGCAGGTGCTGAGGATGGCAATGAGCATGTCCGTGATCTTCTCGCCGACAAAGGGCAGCGACCACGTAAAGACGTCCATGAAGTTGGGCAGCCAGTAGGGGTGGGGTGTGCAGTTGAACTGGCGGATGTTCATGACGTTGTTCTCGTACTTGAGGACGGCGGCCTTGTTGTTGTAGACGTCGAGGTAGTTGGGGGCTGAGAAGATGGTCATGACGCTGGGGAATCCGGTGGTGCGGGTCTTGCGGTACATGCGGTAGCCGGCGTCCTGGGCCTCGTGGGCGCGGATGATGGACAGCAGGTTGTTCTTCTCCAAGAAGGCGCAGGCGGCCTGGTACGAGAAGAAGTAGGAGCAGCCGCGGACGTGGTTGTGCAGGAAGTAGTCGCTCGTCTTCTCCTGGCCAAAGTCCTCGAGCGGGTCCGCCCACAGGATGTCGCACATGAGGCCCTGGGTCGGGGGCTCGCGGAAGCGGTCAATCTTCTTGAGGTCGTCGAGGGTGTGCAGCTCGGGGCTGAGGCCGCCGTGGATGCAGAGGAACTGCTTGTTCATGACGGCCGCGAGGGGCAGGGAGCAGAAGGACTCCATGCAGGCGTCGTAGACGGTCTCCGAGTACTTGTGACGGCACTCGAGCTTGAAGGTGAAGTAGTCGGTCAAGTGGCGGCACTCGTGGTTGCCACGCAGCAGCCAGAGCGTCTTGGGGTAGTGGATCTTGAGCGACCAGAGGTAGAGGACGCACTCGATGCTGAAGTAGCCGCGGTCGACGTAGTCGCCCAGGAACAGGTAGCGGGTCTCGGCCGGGTCGCCGCCGACCTCGAAGAGCTTCATGAGGTCGTAGTACTGGCCGTGGACGTCGCCGCAGACGGTAATGGGCGCGTCCATCTCGAGCAGGTTGGGCTCGGCGCGCAGCAGCTCGGTGCCTTTGCGCAGGATCCAGAGGGCCTGCTCCTCGGTGAGGCGGCCCTCGCGGTAGAAATGCTGCTTGAGGAAGGCGATGTTGGGCTTGGTGTGCGTCTCGTCCTGGAAGAACTGCTCGTCGGTGGGCTTGTATGTTGCGGGTGCTTGGACGTCTGCAGAGAGGAGGGAGAGGCCGAGGCAGAGGTTAGCATTCAGCATGGTTTTCGGTGTGATGTCAAGGGGAACAGGATGCCCATCGCAACGCACCTTTGCATACGCGCTCGGTCGTGTTGACGCTGGTGCCGTCCTCCATCGTGTGGATTGAAAAGTCAATCTCAGGGATGGGCTTCTTCTCGGTGATGGCACGGATGGCGTTGTCGACCTGGATGTTGCGGCGCTCCTCGTAGGCAGACGGCGCGGGGGCCTCGCCAGCCGGCCTGTCGGGATCCATGTTGCCGCGTGGGAGAGGGGAGGAATACGAAGAAGAAGGGAAGACGGGAGGAGGACGAAGAGGTGGCGGTGCGAATTGAGGCAGCCGGTGGATCAGATCAGTCAACCGTCAGGATGCGCCGGGACAAGACGAAGATGGTCGGTGGCAGAGGCAAGGAGAGGGCCGTGAACCGCCGAGGCTGTCACACGGTCGTCGGGATTCGCTGTTTCTGGGGTCACGTTTCTAGATCACAAAGTAGAACGTCGTGAACGAGGCTCCGCTGGAAATTGCTTTTTTATGACCTGCGTCCCTGCGGCCGGTAATGTCTGGCCTGGGGGTCTGTCGGTGAAGAAGAACTAGCTTGGGTCGACAGCAACAATCGGTGGGGCGCGGGGGCGACTTTCAGGGTCGAGGGGTGTGGGATAAGGGGGGGGGGGCGCGTGCTTTTGGTCGCCAACGGCCGTTGATGATGCAGAGACGAGAAGGGGAGACGATGTGGCAGATGTGTAAATAGGAGAGCGGAGAGGAAGGTCGGCGGAAAGTGTTGCGGAAGGAAGTACTTTGTACGATGACCTCCGCCAGACGCCGGAACAATACTATGGGGCTGGAAAGGCAAGACCGATCGGGCACAAGCGTGTTTGGCACGAAAAATACGGAGTGCACGTATCTTTTAACGGGCAGGTGGCAGGCGAGCAGGTTAGGGGCGTTCGAGAGCAGGAGCGGAGGACGTTCGTTCTTTCCAATGTCCAACGAGCGCTTTGCTTACTTTTTCTTATTTTTTTATGGAGACACCAATGTAAGAAAACAAGGGGAAGGAGCCTGGAACATGATGAAGAGGGGGATATGCACAAGGCAGGAGCGAGGAGGGATGGAGCCTCGAAATGGATTTTGCTGTTTGGCAGACCGTGGCAGGTGCGGAAAGGAGGGGCACGATTGCGAGGCAGACCGTAGGGAAGGAGCTGGCGGCGCTGGCAAGAGAAACATGCGACTTTGGAGCTTGCCTGAGCTAGGGGTGTTTTAGTTGCAATTTACAGTGTATTTATATGCTTGTAGTGTGTGCGGTGCCTGTAACGAGACATCAAAAGAGGAGAAAGTGGCGGCGCCTAGCGAGGTCGGGCGGGCAGCCTAGAGGAAGAAGGTTGGAAGAAGTGGTGCTCGACACTGGGACTTGAGCGAGGCGTTGATTCTGCAGCGAAGGCGACCTCGACCTATTGCAGTGACATCCAGTCGCAAGCAACGGCTGGAGTGAGACATACCAGAGTATCGGAAAGCTGTTGAGGACATCTCGACATGTTTGGTGTAACGCCCTGCTTTCCGGGTTGGTAGCTGTGATGCCACTTAAGCCTTGTTGGACGTTTCAGTATGGAAATCTGCAGGTCTTTTTGATGTATGGCATTCGTCAAATTTAACTGCTTTTGTTTTATATACATTCTACTTTGAGCGCGATTGCACGTCTCTCCACGTTTTAGCCCACGACCTGCTTGAGCACCTCGTCGCGCGGGTAGTTTGTATTGCGCCAGCGTGAAATAAAGTCGTCGCGCGCAGCTGTATCACATGTTAGCCCACAATGACTTTTCGGGTAAGGGTTCAGGACAGAGAGCTCACTGTATCCACCGCACATGCGGCGCACGCCGACAAAGGCGCTGCGGCCGTGCATGACGCGCCAGTTGTCAAAGATGAGGGGCGTGCCCGGCTGCAGCTGGGTCCAGTACTCGACGTCGGCCCGCTTCAGGATGGCCTGCCACGTGCGGGCGGCGTCGTACCAGCGGCCGGGGTCGATGCCGTCGGCGTCCGGCCCGCCAAAGGGCACAATGCCGCGGTCGTCGTTGTTCCACCGGATCCGGTGGATCCGGTTTTGCGGCGACGCTCCAGTGGTTTCGCGGTCCTGCTCGTCCAGCACCTCGATCACGGGATACCGCCGGTCGGGCGACAGCGTGATACCCTGGTTGCCGCTGGCGTGCCAGGGCAGGCGCACGCGCGTAAGAACGTCAAAGTCCTCGGGGTGCTCCTCGCGCAGAAGGCGGGCGGCGTGGAAGCCGTCCACCAGCAGCGAGGAGCCGCCTAGACTGGCGCCCGCCGCCGGCTCCGGCCCGTGGTGGGACAGCAGGTGGAACGCCTGCAGGCCGGCCGGGTCGGTAAAGTAGGTCGTGTCGGTGTGGGCAGGCAGCGGTAGGTTCGTGTAGGCCGTGTCGGCCATGGCGAGGTCGGGCACAAAGTCGTAGAAGCCGCCATAGTGCGTGACGCGGATGAAGGCGATGCGCTCCAGCAGGCGCTGGGTGTCGGCTGGGTCGGCAAACGGCGTGCCCTCAACAAAAGCAAAGCCGTAGCGGCGCACAAGATCCGTCAGCAGGGCAATGCCCTCGTCGGACGACGTGTCCATGACGGCGTCAAAGTGCACTGTGGGCGGACGGTCGGCCACGTTGCTGCCCCAATAGTGGAAGTCGACCGCCTCGGGCGACCGGTGGTTGTTGTTTCGGTAAAAGGTGATAAAGTCCCATGGGTAGTGGCTTTTGTGGTTGTCGCCAGACCCTGTCACCCTGTCATGTCAGCACAAGAAACAGTCCCGGGACGAGGTGACGATACAAGTTGTCGTAAAGATACCGTGATGGTAACGTACATACGACATTCAGGCCCTTGTCGTCGGCCTTGACTTCGAGGGCACGAACATCGGCGGGGATCTGCTTGGTTAGACTTTGTTCTTCATGGAATGGAAAACACTTTGACAGCTTTTGTATGTGCACACTTACTTCGAATGTGTCAAAGTTCCGCTGTGACGTATCCTGGTTGACACAACTCGAGCAACGGCAGTTGTCTCTGTCGCTGTTAGTGGGTTGCTGTGTGGCCATCTGTGTTCAGTATGAAGTGCATACCGTAGCCAGAAGTTTGGTCTATGAAAGTTAGCCAGCGTATTTAGCGTATTTTCGTATAAAAATGATGCTCCGTGACTCTACTCACAACTCGGCTCTCTTCGTGGCCTCGGACGAGGCAATCTTCACCGACCGGTCGGTCGGGGTCACTTGCACGCCGGAACCACTGCTGAAAGACCGAACGGCCCGCCGCTGGGATGGAGCAGTAAAGCTTCGTGAGCAGGGGAGTGGACGGAAGGAAAAGGACCGGGCAGACAGCCGTGCCGCCGGCGTCAGAATCGCAGTAGGCGCCTGGTGTCCCGATCTCGGCAGCAACGCCGGTAGACGGAAACGAACTGGCATGGCGGGGCGCTGGAAACACGGGGAACACACAAAAATATTATAGTCAGCGCGTGTGCTTGTGACCTCGACGGGGTTCAGTGAGAGAGCACTTGGCTTGAGATGTGTCTTTTACAAGTCGTACAACGTTGAAGTTTGCATGTAGTTAGCTATTGCGAGTCAAAAGGCTGGGGAAGGTGCCAAGCTGGAATTCGCCGCTAGGACCTTCCTACTCTGGGCGCACTGGGACGCGCTTGTGGGCGAGCGCACCTGCCGTTAGGTCCTGTTCCTCGGCAAATGACGGACCTCCCGAGCGCACTTACCACTGAGGCTGCCCCTAAAACAAGCCTGTCTCCTGTGTCTCATCACGTGCGTGTCATTGCTTGTTATGTGCCCGCCTTTGCTCCACTGACGCCGGACGCTTTGTCGCGAGAAACAGGTTCCAGTTGAAAGTTCAAGACACCAGCGGGACGAGATCATGTGGGGCCGGCTGCTTCAGACGGTAATGTGTGAGCCACCATATGGCTGCTTGACATCGCTCGTTCGAGATGGTAAGCCAGGCGTGGCTGAGAGTAAATAGACAAATAATGCAAAACGAAAATTGATATCCAAGCTACATCGCCCCTGTAGCAAGACGGACAGCAGGGTTTTGTAGAGAGGACGCTGCCGTTGGTCAAAAGCGTGTAATCCGATTCGTCGTGGAATCCTTTAAATTTATCTCCTGGTAGTTGTCTCCAGGCAATGTACTTGTGGCTATGCTCGTGGTGTTGTTCAACTGCTCTGAGAGCGGTAGCCACGCTTGTATTGCCGCTCGAAAGTCTGTTCCCGAGTCTTGCCCACATGCAGATATTCCATGAATGCGACGAGACGGTAGAGATAATAAATGCTGCTGCAATGTTGTAATATGAAACATAGAACGAGGAGCAACGACGAATGTAGACTAGCACGGCCTTCCAGGCACGACAACCGAAAATTAAACCTGTTATGACAAGAAAACCAAAAGGGAATATCCAAAACAAGCACCCCAACCGCAAGACTCTCATAAGAACTCTCCAACGACAACGAGAGCGCCTCTGCTTCAATGATCCTCAACCTCAGCCTCTATCCCAAAAGCTTGCTCCAGAACGACTTGGGCCGTGACTTGGACCCCTCCAGCGCCTCGGGTGTCTCGAGGATGGTGTTCCATGCCTCTTTGCCGTTCACAAACAGACGGTACTGCAGCCGGCTGTGTGACCCCGCGGCTGCGTCGCCGCGGTCGGTGGATGCGGACGGAGGCAGGATCGTGATGGCGCCAAACTTGGAGTTGCCCCGGTAAATGTACGCAATCTTGACATCCTCGCTGCCCCATTGGAAGTAGCTCGGCACGGGCGAGTAGAACTGGCTCAACGGGCTCGCCGAGAACTCGTGTACGGCCACACTGGCGGGCCAGCGCGCAGGTGGTGCAGCCGGGTCCGACGCGTTGGGCGCCGGCGGCGGGAATTGCGTCGCCGCAAACTCGTGCCGGTCGCCCGACAGAATCACGACGCCCACGCCCTGCAGGCCGGCATCCCACATGGCCTCCAGAATGATTTGGCGCTCGACCAGGAATCCGCCCCACGTGTCGCGCGTGTTAATGCGCCAGTTCTTGGTAAACGGCACCGACGACGCCACAATCTTCCACTTAATGCCGCGTGGCTCGGGCCGCCGCAGAAACGCCAGGAAATCGGCCAGCTGGTCTGCGCCCAGCATCGTCTTGTTCGCGCTGTCAAAAGGCATCGAATTGCTCGATCGGTACGAGCGTGTGTCCAGCATGAAGAAGCTGGCCGGGCCCTGCGAGAACTCAAAGTACGTGGCACCCGCCCGCGCGCCGCGCAGCAGACCCCCGGCACCTGCCTGGCGGGCCAGCGGCGGGTTCGCCGCCGTGTGGTAGTGGTGGTAGGGGTCCACAGCGGCGTGGTAGATACCCGTCTCCCGCTTGTCCCAGTCGTTAGCGATCTCGTGGTCGTCGAGCACATGGATCCAGCTGAGGTTCTGCGCAATCGGGTTCCAGTCCGGCGACGCATACACCTGGCGGTACTTTTGGCGGTAGTCGCTGACCGACTTGCCCCACCAGCGCGGCGTATCGACATAGACAAAGTCACCCAGAAACAGCATGAACTGTGCACCCAGTGACGGCAGCACGCGTGCCAGGTGCCGCGTGCCCGGGATCGCCAGTGGGTGGTCCAGCGGCGTGTACGGCACGCGCGAGATCATGCACGACGTCGCCACAAACGTGAAGTTGCCGTCGTGCAGGGCGGGCGCGACGCCCGCCTTGAGTCCCGACACGAACTCGCCCGAGTGGTTGTTGGAGGTCCGCCACTCATACACGCGCTGCCCCGGGTGCGGGATCTTGACGTTCACCACGACCGTGTAGTCGGTGCTGTTGTCCGTCCACCGCGCGCCGCCGGCGGTCTGCCACAGGGGATTGTCAAACGGCGGCTGCGCGTCGCGCATGCGGAGGTCGATGGAGACGGGCATTTTCGCCTGATCCGGCTCGCGGATTAAGAACTTGGCCTCGGTGTCGGAGACGTAGCCGAGGCGCACAAACGAAAGGTCGTCGGCCGTGATGGCGTGCTCCGAGTACAGGCGGTCGGCTACCAGAGCCACGAGGATGGTGTTGGTGAGGACGGCCAGGAAGGACAAAAGCTTGCTGGGGCTCGGGACACCCAGGAGCAGGGTGCGTAGACCGTTGAGGGGCCTTGGCTGGATGGACGTGGAGCTGGTGATATCAACAACCTCCTCTTCGATTCGTTCCTCGTTGTTGTCGTCGTCCACAACGGCCTTTTCGGCCAACAAGACTTGCATCTCCTTAATAATTTCAGCCTGCGGCTGCGCCAGGTAGCTCAAAACGAATGACGGGATGTAGATTGCTATGAGAGCAAACACAAGATGGGGAATGATCTAGGCAGTGTTAGCGGTGAACCATCGATGGACGACAAGAATACAAGAACAACCAACAGACTCAACATACAGGAATGAGAGCCCATCGCAAGAAAAAGTACGACAAGAAACGGATCAGAACCGACGTCGCCGTCGTAATCTTGGTCTGGACCGCCATGGTACCAGCTTCTGTGTGTCGCGGCCGTTGTGGATCTAGGTGGCCCGATGCGAGTAGAGCACGGCGCAGCGAACGACTTGCTCGACGAATGTAGCTGCTTTCGATCGCTTTGTGGGCGTTCCCCTGTATATGGATGCGGCTTGCTGTCGTCAACGTTTGCCAGGCGAAGCAATCAAAACAGTCCGAGTGATAGCGTTACGCTGGGCATCAAACACTGGTCAGGTTGTTGAGCATCCGCAGTGGTGGGCAATCGTGTTAAACGACAATGCAACAACGCTGGAAGCTAGAAGGCGGCAAACATGTGCAGCTTGGCCTAAAATCTGTTGCTGGTGATGTTTTGTTAAGGTTGAAGAAGCTCAAAAATGAATTGTGAGTTGCGAGATTTGACAGCAGACGAATACGGAAGGTCGAACGGTTGTTCTTTGACATGGGCAGGACGGGAAGGAGCAACGCGCTGGGGCGCCTGTGGGGGATGGGCCAGTTGCCGGAGCTTAATTAATGATATCATTGCATCGGTGGTAGTGGCCAGTGGAGCTTCTTGAAACCCTGCTCTAGGCCAATGTCGTCAAGCTTTCGGCGGTCGTGTTGTGTCGCGCCTTCCCCCATTAGCCCATTGGCTGAGCAGATCGACGAGTGTGTAAGGAGCTGTCCTCCAAGCTCAAGTCGCTGCTTCTCTTCTGTAGCGTCAAATGCGGACCCACTTCTCTTCTGAGCTGGCCAGTTTGTCGCTCCTTCCCCTGAACGAGTTTACTCGGTGCTGGGAAATTGAAAATCCGCTAAAACTGGAAGCTGTATGGTCGTATTACAGGGGCCTTACTTCGCCGCTAATACTGGCCCATTTAACTCTGTAACCATTCGAGCCAGGGGGTGGACAGCAGACCTATCAAGCCTGTCCAGCGTGTCCAGCGTGTCCTGAAGCAATCCCTTTTCAAATGCTCGCGCCGCGTTGTGGGCCATCACAGCAAAATCCCCTTTTTGCAGCATCGCCTGTTTGGACATTTTCACATTCGACAAAACGTCTCGCGTCCCGCACACGACCATCCTCCTCCACCGCCCCCTCTCCGGACGACGACACCAGACAAAAGACACAGAAGATGCGGTTTTCCACAATGCTGACCGGCCTCGCGGCCTGGTTTGCGACGGACGTCACGGCGACGGCCCTGACCTACAAGCTGGCAGCTGGTGAGAAGGCGTGCTTCTACGCGCATGCCCCGACCAAGGGCGAGAAGATTGCCTTTTACTTTGCGGTAGGTCGGCATGTGGAGACGGCACGGAGATGGTGGGCGCTGTGCTGACAACAATAGGTCCAATCGGGCGGTTCGTTCGACGTCAACTACGAGGTCGTCGACCCCAACGGCAAGATTCTGCTTGAGGGCCTCAACGAGCGCCAGGGCGACTTTGTCTTTACGGCCAACGAGATTGGCGAGCATCAGTTCTGCTTCAACAATGAGATGAGCACGTACACCGACAAGTACGTCGACTTTGAGATTTCGGTAAGTCAGGAGGCAGCCCTAGACTCTGCACACACATACCCCATGTCCGTCGCACACAGCTAATGCTTCTCCCCTTCCCTTTCCCAGGTCGAGAACGAGGCCCGCGTGGCCCTCCCGTCCAGACAGGGCAGCTCCAACGAGCAGACGAGCGCGCTGTCCGAGTCCGCTTTCAAGATCTCCGGCCAGCTGTCGACGATTACGCGCAACCAAAAGTACTTCCGCACCCGCGAGAACCGCAACTTCAGCACCGTCCGCAGCACCGAGAAGCGGATTATCAACTTTAGCTTCATCCAGTCGGGCCTGATTGTCTGCATGGGTGCCCTGCAGGTCTTTGTCGTGCGCTTCTTCTTCCAGGGCGCACGCAAGGGCTACGTTTGAGCGAGAACGGCCATCACGCTCTCGCACGCTGTACGAGACGAGCACTTTACATCTTCTTCCACCTTGTGTTTTATTGTTTCCCTTTTGTCTCGATGGGCGTGATGCAAAAACGACTGGCGTACGGTATAAAAACAAATAACGATAAAGAGATGGAACTTTCCGACGCGAGGAACATTGGATGGAGAGCGCATTTGCTGTATTACAGTGTGTACAAATACCACGAGAGATGGCATTGCCACCATGTGAGGAACAAACTTAGAAGGCGTCGACGCAGAGAGCATGCTTTTTTTTAATACAGCCACGTAATGAATGTTCATCGTTGCATCGTGCAAGTCAACACATCGACAGCATGTCACGTGACCATAGCCGTAAATTGTCACATACGTTTCGTAGGACATGCAAATTGTTGTGGTGCCGTCATGTCGTGAAGATTCGTAGATAGTCGAAAGTAGCAAAAGCTTTCATCCATGACATGAATGTGGCACCTTTCAAGCCATAGGGTACAGTGGGAATGCAAGTTCATGATACAGTGTCGATTACAGTGTCTTGTGACTATAAACACAGTACAAATGGCTAGTAGGCCCCACAAAAAAATACCAATCTCGAACCGCGTAGACTTTACTGTGCAGGCAACATCCACCACCTCTGCCATCTTCAACTTGGTGCACAGCGACATACGTCCTCGTCGCCTACATTTGCCATCGTCGTCCGCACTCCTACGTTCGCTCGAATAGTATTATATATTCTTCCACAACAACGGTGCGGCCAGATCCGGCCGACCACATCGCGCTCTCCCAAAGAAGGGAAGCGCGTTGACGACATACGGGACGACACCGACACTCCCTACGGACCACTAACATGGCTTCGATTGCGTCGTCACTGGCGCAGTCGCTGCCCAAGCCCAAGTACACGGGCGAAGACGAAGAGGCGCCGGTGCGGGCACAGCGAGGGCCGCGTATCGTGAGCGCGGCGGACCTGGATGAGACACAGGTGGTTCTGAAGGTGAGCACACGGACGGCATGGAGAGGCACAGACGACGAACCATGGGACCAGTTTCTCGCTAACCAACAACCAACAGCGAACAACGGCACCGCCGTATGGCCAACGACAGGGCTGGCGGCCACGGGCGCCCGAAGACTTTGGCGACGGCGGCGCGTTTCCAGAAATTCCGTTCGCCCAGTACCCGCTCGACATGGGCCGGCCGGGCGCCTCCGCCGCCAAGACCAAGAGCAACGCGCTGGCCGTCCAGGTGGACGGCGAGGGCAAAGTCAAGTACGACGCGATTGCACGGCTGGGCCACGCAGACGGCCGCGTGATCCACACGTCGTTCAAGGACCTGATTCCACTGCGGCAGCGCGCCGAGGCGGGCGACCTGAACCTGGACCGCCCGGACCAGGAGTCGGTGGCCGAGACGACGGAGCGGACCAAGAACGCGCTGGCGCTGCTGGTGAGCGGCGCGGTGGCCGCACAGAAGCCCAAGACGCTGGCGCACATGGGCGGCCAGCGCAAGGAGGCAACCTACGTGCGGTACACGCCGGCGTCGCAGTTTGGCGACAGCAGCACGAAGCAGGACCGCGTGATGAAGATTGTCGAGCGGCAGCGGGATCCGCTCGAGCCGCCCAAGTTCAAACACAAGAAGATCCCTCGCGGACGTATGTTTCCTCTCCCATTGTCCCGCACCGGTTTCGTCCTGTCTACTATCTATCTGCTAACATCGTTTACAGCCCCCAGCCCTCCACCACCCGTCATGCATAGCCCGCCGCGCAAACTGACGGCGGCGGACCAGGAAGCATGGAAGATTCCACGTACGTATTTGCCCCCGCTGTTGTGTTGTTGATCATCCACCCCAATGCTGTCCACCCGCTAATTCTTTTGTTTTCTGTTTCAGCACCCATTTCCAACTGGAAGAACCCCAAGGGCTACACGGTTCCTCTCGACAAGCGCCTAGCAGCCGCTGGCAAGGGCCTCGAGGACGTCACGATCAACGACAAGTTTGCACAGTTTTCCGAGGCACTATTCATGGCGGACCGACACGCACGCGAAGAGGTGCGCCAGCGCGCACAAATGCAGCAGCGTCTGGCCGAGAAGGAGAAGCTTCAAAAGGAAGAGCACCTGCGCGAGCTGGCACAGCAGGCACGTGCTGAGCGCGCAGCCGCCGCAGGTCCCTCATCTTCACGGCGGCCAGGGCGCGGAAGGGCACGGTCGCGGTCGTCGTCGGGCAGCCGCAGCAGCTACAGCGATTCGCGGTCGCGGTCGCGGTCGCGGTCGCGGTCGCGATCGTACGACAGTCGCAGGCGCAGTCGCAGTCACGGCGGCAGCGAAGAGGAGGAGGACCGGGCCGTGCGTGCACGAGAAGAAGCGCGGCGCGAGAAGCGGCGCGAGGAGGAGCGCAAGCTGCGACAGTCACGCATGGGTGCGGAGCGCCGCATGCAGGTGCTGGCGCGTGAGCAGAACCGGGACATTTCCGAAAAGGTGGCGCTGGGCCTGGCGAAGCCCACGGCGTCGGCCGAGGGCATGTACGACTCGCGGCTGTTCAACCAAACGAGCGGCTTCGACAGCGGCTTCAACGAAGACAACCCATACGACAAGCCGCTGTTTGCAGCGCAGGACGCGATCAGCAGCATCTACCGGTCGCGTGGCGGGCCCGGCGGCGCAGGCGGTGACGACGACTTTGACGACCCGGCGGCGGGCGACGCCGAGATGGCCAAGATTCAAAAGACGAGCCGGTTCGGCGAGGCGCTGGGTCGGGGCACGTTCAAAGGCGCGCGCGACGTCGAGGCGCGTGAAGGTCCCGTGCAGTTTGAAAAGGAGACGACGGGGCTGGGCGTGTCGGACAGCGGCCCTGCCGGCAGCAGTGCGGCTGCAGACCCATTTAATGTGGACAAGTTTCTGTCCGAGGTGGAACAAGGACAGGGCCAGAGCGGCGCGTCAGCGGGCGGGAGCAAGCGCGGCTACGGATTACAGGCTGACGGTGGCCCTTCATCACGCCAGCCCAAACGGGCGCGTGTGGAGGACGACGACTGAGCGAGACCGGGCCGAGAAGGGGACAGTGGCATGGTGCTTTTGGCACACATTTTGGGTTGATTTTGGCTGGATAGCATTGCATTCTAGGCAAACGGCATACGTGATTTTCAGCCGAGCATTGTTTCTTGTACATTTGGATTCGGTGATGAGCCATGTACTAGTCTCTGAACAATTGTGTGAATTCTATGCCTGTTATTGAGGCTGCTGTTAGCAACTGTTGGTTCATGCACATGTCGCTTCGCAAATAGCCGTATGGCTGAGCAATTCGGTTCAGCAGCGGCTTGATGGAGTGAAAGACGGGCTCTTTCCAGATCGTGAAGCACGACGTACTTCGTACGTCGAAGTGCCGTTGGCAAACCGTGCGACAGTATGGGGTGATGAATTTTGTAAAGGCTGTTTAGGCACGATCTGTAATTTCGCAGCAATCCTCAGCCGAGTCAAATCTTACCATTCTCGTATTCTGGCCCCGGGTAGTGTCACACACCACGCCACGGCACCAAGTACACACAATGTACGAAATACACTTCACTTCAGCAGTTAACAGGGTGCAGTGAGAACCCAAGATTCGACGTTGCAGTCGTTGCCTGGCCTGCTCCCCACAGAAGGACGTCGGTCACGAAGCGCCAAGAAATCAACAGCCGGCGGGAAGGGAAAAGATCGTGGCGTTTTGCCATGCACGATCTTGGAGATAATAAAAGTGTGGAGGAACGGCAGGCCATCGTGCACAGGTGGCGCCGAAAACCTTTCCGATCAGTTGCTCCTCGTGTTCACAAAATGCCACAAAAGGCCGGCTTCGTCAAAGACCCGTCTTGTCCCAGAATGGAATGCTTTGCGAGGTCGATTGGCTCTTCCAGCGGCCGAACCGGCTCTTCGGGGTGTAAGCCGTGAGACTGGCTTTTCTGTGCCAGCCATGGTAGCATTGGCCCCTGGCAAGCTTGTCCAGAGACGGACCCTCAGCGTCCATGAGTCTGAAGGTCAGGACAGGTTTCGACTTGAGTCACTGGCGTGTCGTTTGGTTTCTCGTGGAATTCTTTCGAGTCGTGGAGAAGCAACCTTCTTCGTCCTTTACGTCGTATTTTGTCGTGTTTGGCCAACACTTCGACTGCCGCTATACCCGAAAGTGGAGGCCAGCCAGCCTTTTGGCGGCTCCCATGGGCGGATGGACCCCAGAAGAGGCATCGTGAAAAGTCGATAAGGGGCAATGATCGGACGTGGAGGAGAGAGGGCGAAGAAAAAAGAAAAAGAAAAAAGGTGACAACCCGAAAGGGGAAAAAGCGTTGAGCAAGCCAACGTGGACGGCGGGTGCTTGTGGGAAGGAGCGACTGGCTGCCGTGTAATATCGCGGGCATGTGGAATACTTTCCACCATTGCGGCATGCATTGCGACGGATGGATCGGCTTGGCAGAAAAGATGCTTTGCGGTACTACGAGCTGTTGTTCCTTTGCAATGACATGGTTATACGCTGCCGCTTGTCATGATGGAGTCGACTGTGAACAGTCAGAACAGTCAAGATGTTTAATTGAAGGCGCCCATTCGCTGTTGCCGTATTCTGTATCCTACACGGTCCCTGGATTTTCGACAAGGGTACGACGCATGGAGCAGGTGCGATCGCCGCTTGACGAAAGTCCACAGCTCAAACCCGACAGCCACGGGAGACCAGGTTCGGTGTCAGAATGCCCTGACGCTCCTGCATCGAAAAGGGGATCAATTGCCCGGAACGACCTCTTCCCATGGTGGCCACACAGTAGTCGGGAAGGTGCCCGTTTTTGTTCCTTCCTGTTCCTGGGACGGCAACCGCGGATGCATTGTTCGACAGAGCTAAGCCTTTTGTTTGTTCTCAAAGTTCCACTCACCAGCGCTTGATCTCCCTAGTGGGCGCAATGGCGGCCGCGCCTTCCCCTTTTCTGTCGAAACGTGGGTGTTGGGCGCGTCACATACGTTGTATTGGAAAGTTTTGGGTCGCCCCTGCCTTTCCTGACTGCTGGTTTTGTTTACTGGCTTTGGCCTCTCCGTACTTTATTTTCAGTCACTTTTTCGCTCCCCTTTTCTGCGCCAACACATGCCATCGACCATCGTCCTATTTTTGGACATCCTTCTCCCTTTCTGCACGTCGCTTTTGCGCTGCGTCTCTTGTTGTATTAGCGGTCGGTGAGTGAAGCCGAGCCACTGTCAGGCGGTTCCCTATCACATTCTGCGTCTGACTTGGGGCCCACTTGCATTGCGTACGCGGCTCACACCCAAATGGGAAGGAAGGGTCTTCCTCTCTTCTCTCATCCCTTTGTCGAGCCTTCCCTCCGCCACGCCGTCGGTCCTTCTTAGCGATAACGACGGTGGATTATTGTAGCAGTGACAAGAAGCAGGAAAGACCGAAGCGGCACTCTGCGTAATTACTATGTAGGCACGCCCCTGCCGTTCGTCAATTATTGTGGGCAGGAGGGTTACTTGTGACCTTGTCTCTTGTATCTTTTTCCGATGGTGGGATGCCCTCTCTTTCTCTCTGTCTCCCTTTCTTCATATCTTGGTCAAGGCCCCATTTCTTCTCCTGTTGCGCATCGCATATCATAAACGGGTCCGAGGGGCGCGTCCTTTTCTACCTGCGAATCTGAGTCGTCGTATGACATACACGGTACTTATGTTATGAGTATTTAGTCTGTTTCTTTCCACCGGCTTTTCGTGATTGGGCACTGCCTTTGTCTGGCATCCCATCTTCTTGTCCTTTGCTGAACGACGGTCTTAAGCTTTGTTGATGTCTTGTTTTTTATTCTGTTAGTTTCACTCGTTGAACACCTCTGGTCGCTCGCTACTTTGCGCTCGCTTTCCCTTCCCAAGTCTCTTTTCACTTATACGCCTTCGTTCCTCGTCATCTCGACATCCCTCGTTTCCTCGTCTTCGCATCCATCAACTCCTCACCAAAATGGGTCGCAGGTACTACGAGGAGTACACGGCGCCGTGGTGGAAACCGTCCGGCTGGACCAAGAAGGTCTGGGCACTCGTCATAGGCAGTATCACGGCCATCGTTGTGATTGTGATTGTGGTGGCCGTTGTTGTTACGCGCAACAATGCCAACGCCAACAGGTATCCCGACTACAGCCAGCTCAACTACACCCTCAAGGAGACGTTCTCGGGCGAGTCCTTCTTTGACAACTTCAACTACTTCACGGGCTACGACCCGGCCTCGGGCTTTGTCCATTATGTTCCCAAGGAGACAGCGACGTCGTTGGTACGTTTCGAGCCGTGCCGCACCCCATCACAGATTCCTTCGTAGGTCCTATCACGAGATGCGACATGCCTTTGCTGACATGCTTGTTCTTTTCCTTTAGAACCTTACGTCCGCTTCGAGCTCTTCGGCCGTCGTCAAGGTTGATACGTCTGTCGGCCCTGGCTCGACGCCCGATGCCTCGACCGGCCGCTTCTCCGTCCGCCTCGAGTCCAAGAACCAGTACAACAACGGCCTCTTTATTTTTGAGGTCAAGCACACGCCGTACGGCTGCGGCACGTGGCCGGCGCTGTGGCTGACAGACCCCAACAACAACATCTGGCCCGCGCATGGCGAGATCGACATCATGGAGGCGGTCAACCTGGCGACGACGGGCAATATGATGACCCTTCACACCACAAACGGCTGCACCATGGAGTCGGTCAAGCGCCTCATGTCCGGCACAGTCGCACAGACGGACTGCTACAACGGCACCAACAACAACGCGGGCTGCGGCGTCGACGGCAGCGCCGCGACGTTTGGCACGACGTACAACTCGGACGGCGGCGGCACGGTGGCGGTGGAGTGGCGCGACGCGGGCATCCGCATGTGGCAGTTCACGTCCGGGTCGGTACCCTCGGACATTACCGCCGGCAACCCGAACCCCAGCGCGTGGGGCACGGCGCTGGCCGACTTCCCCAACACGAAGTGCGACATTGGCTCGCACTTTACCAACGCCAGCATCATTGCCAACATTGACCTCTGCGGCTCGCTGGGCGAGGCCAAGTACCCAACGTCGAGCTGCCCCATGAACTGCGTGGGCAGCCACAAGTGCATTGGCGGCTCGTCACCGACAAACTGCACGGACTACGTGGCGAACAACCCAGCGGCCTTTGAGAATGCCTTCTGGGAATTTGGAAAGTTCCAGATTTATCAGACGTCGTAAGGAGGGCACACGGTGATGAAAAGCATAAATTTGCTTTACTTGTATTTATTTTTATTTATTTTTTTCGTGTCGTCTGCAGTGTTTTATTTCCCCTCTTGCGTATGAAATTTGGTGTATACAACGAGCGTTTAATATATTTGCATGCTGTTTTCACAAAACTTCTCCTTTTCATGTATTCGTTTGACAAATAAGACGGAATCGAAACGATTGTGCGTTAAAGACAATATATATATACAGGGACAAAGCAGCGGGAAGAGTTGTTCTATCCATAAAATCGTACAACAAGCACAAGGAAGATTTCAAAACATATTCTCAGACATGTCTTCCCAAGGCCTTGTGCCATTTCCCATCTGCAGCCCCAATTTTTGCGATTTCCCGAGAGAAGAGAGAGTGCCCCATCCGTATCTATATGCGACCAACGCCTCTAACCAAATAAAAAATCAATAAAGGACAGGCTGGAGCAGGCTCCTAAGATTTCATGCTTTGTTTCTCTTTTCCTTTTCTGTTTCTTCTTCTTTTTAATCGTCACTCGGTGGCATGCGCAGGTACGCGTCGATCGCCGCCGAAAACGCCGCAAAACCCGCACAGCCAATCGCCGCCGCCTGCGGGCCGGCGTTTCGCGCCAAAATCGCACCGGTCAGGCAGCCAGCTGCCACGCCGTTGCCCATGTCGTTCTTGGCCCGCAGGCCCTCGATGCCGCACTCGATGCCGGCAAAGAGGGCGCCGACGGTACCAAAGTTCCGCGCACTGGAATAACTGCGGCTGCCCATATCGCGGAAACCCGTGGCGAGCTGCTGGCGCAGCGGGATGGACGGCGGCTCTACGTAGGCGGCGGCGGCGCCGGACACGGGAATGCTGACGGCCGGTTTTGGTGCCGACGTGGCGAGTGTTGCTGGTTTCAAGGAGGATGTGGAGGAGGATGTGGAGGTTGCTGCCGCTGCCGACGTCGAGGCGACTGTCGACGTTGTTGCCGCATTGGTGGCTGCCGTCGTGACAGTCGTCGGTGCTGCGGCGCCCGCGCCAATGACCGTCTTTGCCGCTGTGCCGGCGGCCCCAGTCGTGGACGTCGTTGCTAATGACGCTGCCGCCTTGCCACCTGCTGCTGCCGCGTTCGCCGCTGGTGTGTTTGTCGGTACCGGCGTGTGGTACGGCGTGTCGTAGGCCATCTACAAACCGTAATGTCAGTCGCAGTCACGAGACACAGTCGCAAGGGACAGTGGACCGACCGATGCCATAAACAGGCCGAAAATTCCACCAAGGGCAAACCCGGCCACGCCCGACAAGGCCGTCTTGGCAAAACACGAGTCCATCACGGCCTGCATCCGCTTCATATTCGGGTCGTTGGGGTCAATGCCCGGCGAGCCCGCGCCCGCGCCGCCAAGGCCGCTTCCGGGGAAGTTCATGATGTGAGGGACGAAACGGGCAAAGGGGAAAAAAAAAAAAAAAAAAAAAAAAGGTATCGCTCAGTCGTTGTCCCTGTCGAAAACAGAGTCGGATGTCGCTGCTCGTTCGTTGTCGTCAGTTGCTATTGTTTTGTTGTGCAGCCCCTCCTTGTTAGGATGTTGTAAATTTTACTATCGCTCTATAGATAGTGCAGGGAGGTGCCACCCGCATACTTTTCTTGCGCTTGCCCCAAGGAAAAGTTCTTATCGCATCTAGCCTTTCTGCCGCTTCTGACCGCTTTCATTATCACTACAACGGACAGCTACTTCGTACAACTTACACAGTAAATACAAGTCATAAATCGAAACGACGACATTGCTGAAAATGATAATTCTGCTCTTCGTCGGAGCGCCCTAGTAAAGATGAAAAACAAAGCGCGAAGCATTGTAAAATGAATATCCATAACAAGAAAATACACAAAAAAAAACGTGGACTGGTATGGTGCCCTAACAAACAACCCGCCCCCGTTTTATACGATAAACACCGCCAAGAGATACCGTCCCCAATCCCAAATGCCCGAATTGCGTCAGCCCCAGGACACCCACGCGCCGGCAATACCAATCGCTGCGGTATGAGGTCTGCTGTCTGCTGTCTGCTCCAGTTTCGCTCCATAATCGATACAGATGCTCCGTGTAGAATAGACTCTAGTGGAGGAACAGGTCTTCTATTCCGTTCCTAAGGCCCCGCGTCCTATCCACATGATCCAGGCCGAGGAAGTCGTCCTCTTGCGTCGCCAAGTCCCAGAGAATGTCATCTACACCCGTTAGTTTACTGTCAGGCCAAGGGATCGAAAGGAGCATGCATGTGCTCGGTATGGTCTTACCATCATTCAGGTACTGGGGCTTGGAGTACGGCATACGACGCACAAGCGCAAACTTGATCTTCTCAAAGCTCTTGCCCTTGTAGCCAGTGCGCGCCTCCAGGCGCTTCCTCGTCTCGCTAAACGGCTCGTTCTCCTTGAGCAGGAAGCGGAAAGGGATGCCGTGCACCTTGCTGGGCTCGTTGTGGAAGTGGAAGACCTGGATGACCTGCGGGTCCTCGGCCTCGAGCTCCTCGGGCGGGATGCGCTCAGCAATCAGCTGCGAGTAGTCGTTCAGGCTCAGGACAGGGTAGTCTCTCGGCAGCACGCGCGAAAATTTGAGTCCGCTTGTTTCGTAGATGCGCATCCGGCCGCCCTCGGCCTCGTCGGGAATCTTGGCCTTGCGCACCAGAGCCTGAATCAGGTCTTCCGTGTTGCTGTTCTTGCTGACGAAAAGGTCAAAGGATTCCTAATCGGTGTTAGCATACGTGACAAGGCTGAGGTGGAAAGGACTCTGAGGCGAGGACATAACAAAACAGAAAAGACAAAAACTTACGTCCTTGGAGATGCCGTCGCTGAGAAGAACAAGTCTAATGCCCTTCTTCGTCTCAAGCTCCGCCAAGCTCATCTCCAGCACCTCAAAGTACAGGGCGTCTGCCTTCTGCGACGTGCCGAGCGTCGCGTAGCCCTGCGGACTCAGGATGGTGTTCAGGTTCTGGGCCACGCTGCGCTTGACCACGGTTCGCGGGCTGCCCGACGCATTGTTGTTGACAGTGTAGAACCGCAGGTGGGTCGGCTCGACTTGGAGCTGCTCACCGACGCGCTCGCACAGCTGGTCGTAGGTGATGCGGACATTGAGCAGCAATGCAAACGCCGGGTACTCGTCCGCATTGCATCGTGCAGGGTGCGGCATGAACTGGACCTCTCTCTTGTGAAGCAGGAACTCATAGTACGTCTTGGCATCAGTGAAGTAATCCCACTTCTTGGCCACAGCCCCTGACTTGTCGGACGACTTCTCGCTGGTCGTCTTACGATCCAGAAACGACGACCGTTCCGACGACGACTTGCGCTCCGAGTACCGCTGGAAGCAAATCACATCACCGTCCTGCAACTCCGCGGCTTTCAGAGACTGCTTGGCTTTAAGTGCCTCGATCATGTTGGGCTTGATTTCTTCCCAGAGCAGGAGCTTGTCCCCATCAGTGAGCTTATCACCCCATCCCATCTTCTTCATGATGACCGGGAACAGCTCCTCGACCTTCTTTTCCTTGCTCAAGTAGACGTGCGTGATGCCGGTAATGACCTGTTGTTCAATGTTAAAGTACTTGAGGAAGAGAAGGATCAGGTCGTTCTTGACGACCTGGCCGTTCGGCTGGCTCTGATATGTGGGCCAGATCGCCTCGCCGTCCGGCCCGACGTCCTCCGCCACCTCGGCCCACACACGGAGCATATTGTCTCTATGCGAGGATATCCGAGTGTACGTCTCTTCGACGGTCAGGTGCGTGTCCATGATTGGCTGGTCCGGACGAATCGTCTTGTTTTGACGGTTGACCATCACCCAGAGGCGCACCCGCTTCGGGTCTTGCGACATGTCCTCGGCAATCGTGGCAATTGCCTCCTCGACTGTTGACGTACGCAATAACCGGTAGATGCGCGGTGCGGACGCGTCGGTGTCGGGCAGGCTGTCGAAGCTGGTCAAGTCGAACCCGGTGTGCTGCTGGAAGGTGTGGTCGGTAATAACCTTCATGCCAATGTACAGGTGCTGTTCATCGCGCTCCTTGCGCTTCGCCTCGCGGAGCTGGGCCTCGTCCTCGAAGCGGGTCTGGATATGCCTGGGAATGTCCGTCTCCAAGACGGGGGTCAGGATCTTCTCCACGCGGGACTGCCGAATGTACACGAGCATGTAGGCACTGTTGGGCCGCATGATCGGCATCTTCTTCGTAGTGCCTTGCCGCATGTACGGGTTCTGCAGCGGTGGATAGGCACCGCCGTAGTTTTCCTCCAAGACTTCGCGCTTCGTCGCCTTGGTGACCTTCTCGTCGTCGTAGCGGTAAAACCATCCATCCTTGGTCGGCTTCAAGAACGCATAGTAGTGGCCGGCATCCAGCTCACCACTGTGGACGAGGACACCATGCAGTTGGTACGTCCAGGGCTCGGACTTGTCGGCGTCTTCAGACAAGTACGGTGCAAGGTCGATGACGTCGGGAAACTCGTGGCGGTCATTGACCTTGGTTGGCGCGTCCTTGTAGTAGTCATAGAGGAAACGCTTCAACTGCAAGTGCAGAACGTCGGGGAAGCTCTGGAAGATGACACCCTTGTTGGCGTCTTGCAGCTGGTGCTTGTCGCCGGCAAAGTACTTGTTGTCGCCGTCCATCCGCTCGACGCTGATGTAGTCCTCGAAACTGGCCTGTAGGTCCTTGTTGCCAGTGACGTTCAGCTGGATGTCCCAAAAGTCCTCGATACGGCTCGACTCATACTCGACGTTGATACACGAGATGTACGTCTTGACCTTGCCACTAAAGATCTTGGACAGCAGGTTCTCGTCGGCCGTGCCCTTCATCTTATTTTCCATGCGCTCCATCAGCTTGCGGCACAGTTCCTGAACGTCTTGCTGCATGTAGATGTGTCTTGACTCCCAGCCGAAAGATTTTGTGAGCTCGTTTGTGCCGACGTCTGTTTTGGAGGTCTGCAGCTGGTAGAATAGTCGCTGGAGCGTGTATGCACTGTTGCTAAAGGTTTCTTCGGACTCCGTAGGAATGCCGTAGATGGCCTAGATTGGTGCGCGGGGGGGAGGGGTTTGGGTCAGTTATGCCACGCTTTGCGACGCGTCAAAATCGATGGGGAGAATAAAAACGGTCAAAACTCACCTTGCGGAAAGCGTTGGTAAAGTAAAGGGACTGCAGAAGGGAGTTCAGGTAGCATGTGGCGCCCTGGTTCTTGAGACCAACGAAACCCGTCTCCTTCTTGGAATCATAGTTGACAAAGCTGTGCCAGAGCGCACCGGTCTCGTCCTCGACGACGCGGACGTAGGCGGTGATGTTGACGGACTCGTTCTCGATCATGGGCCGCTGACGGTCCTCCCAATTGTGGAGCATTTTGCGCAGCTCGACAAAGCGTGTGAAGCCCCAATCGCCCTCGTCCTTTGTAAAGCGGTGATGCGCCGTATGCGTCGCGTATATCATCGGGTCGTTGGGGTTCCAACACACCAGCGCAAACTGGACACAGCACACCCAGTCATCCGGGATCTCGCTCGGCTCGAACCCGTGCTCGAGGTACACCGATACATAATCGACGTTGTTGCCGTGCGGGAAAAGAAGAATGCGCCTGCGAGGAGAGGTCGGTTTAGTATTCCGCATCTATAATGTGAAGCCGCAGGCGCGACGTCTTCGGGTCAACCTACCAAGGAAAGCCGCCAGCCTTGAAAACCGGACCATGTTCCTTTTTCTTCAGCGAGCGCCAGTTGTCGACCGTCCATGTGTCAACAACATCTTCCAGGATGGGAGGTTCATCGATGAGCGGCGTAAGCACCAGCTCCTTCATGGAGTCGACTAAAATCCAGCTGGTCAGTATTCCAACTCCAATCGTTCTCTGATGGCTGACAAACAAGAGAGAGGTTTGTCGGACGTACAGTCATTCGCGAGCGGCTGGTCGGGGTCCGTGTCCATCTTGGTCGTCGGGACCTCCGACGCAGGTGCAGTCGCCATCTCATGGTCGGAGCCGCTATTTGTCAACGTGATGTCGTCGGTCTCCATCGCGTAGACGTTATCTTCCGGGTTCATGTCCTACGAGAGGGTAGCATGCGAGTTTAGCCAAACGGACTTTGACCTTGCCAAGCGCAGCGGTCGTGGGGCCGGGATGAGGGTGAGAGGGTGGGAGGGTGCGTTGCAACAATGTGGAAAAGAGATTGACACCGCGGCCAAGCGTAAAGCAACAAGACCTCGATTGTGAAGGGCGGCGTGGCAGCGTAGATGAGCTCTGAGCTGACGGTCGCGTGAAGTGTGACGTGCGAGGCGCAGCAACAGCCAATGGGTAGCTCGAGGAAGCAAGGTGAATGCAAGAGGTGACGGGAAGACGGGGACGGACAAATCGTCAAGATGCGTAGGTGACGAGGGTGTAGGTGAGGAGGAGAGGTGTGGCGTGGCGATGCTGCAATGCTGTAACGTGGGCAAGAACAATACTCACCATGATAGCCGTGTGTATAGGGCAGGTACGCTCTTGATTCGAGACGGAAGGCGGTGGCCGAGGTGGGTAGGGAAGGAGAGCCCGGTGCCGGCGTTGGCGAGTTGGAGAGGAAGGAAGCAACGACGACGATGCGACGTCGGTACGTTCTCAAAGACGGCAGGTGCGGGTGGCGGGTTTGCGGCTCGAAGGAGGCAAGCCACGAAGCGTGGCTTGAAGTCGGAGGCCGAGGAAACGAGGGGTATCTGCCGAAGAAAGGCGCCTCAAGACACGAAGAAAAAGAGATGTGACAGTGAACAACAAAAAAAGGAGGAAGCGTAAGGTCACCAACACAGAAACCAATGTTCGTTGTGTCCTTGGAGCCGACCAAACAAATGCGAGGTTGAGGAAGGAAGCAGCAGAGAAGGCAAGCCGCTGTGACGCGAGCCAGAGCCGGCGGAGGTATGGAAGGTGCGATGCAGACTGGGTCCCGCAGAGAAAATTTGGTAGGCAGGCGTGGATCGTGGGGCGACCTTACAGGCGGGAAGGGGGGAAGGGGGCCACCGCTGACTATTTGTTGGGATGCTGGCTGGTCGTTCCTACCAAGCACGGATGAGCTTTGCTCTTGCCACTCGCTTTTTCAATTGTTTATTTATTTTTGGAATTTTGAACGTGCGTGCCAAATGTGAGGCAGGTCCGAGAGATCGAGACGGTAAGAGGAAGGAGCTGTGCGCACAGTTGGGGTCAATGAAAGAAAACATCCAGGCAAAAGCAGACGACTGAACAGTATAATGAGAGCAGAGCATGGACAAACAGAGAGGGCGGAGAGAAATGTGGCGAAAGAGAAGGACGAGGCAAAGGCTGTGCATGCAAAGCCCTCGACTACGACATATGTGCCAGGCGTTCCGAGCCAAGGCAGCGCAGTAGAGATGATCGGTACATGTATCAGCTGCAAAACTAGGTGTAAAAATAAGTATCCACTAACTGCATACTCGGAGTGTAGGTCTACCTACGCCGTCGCCTGGCAAGCCTAGCCAGGCTTGGACCTTCCCCATGCTTGCCTGCTAACCTTACCTTGTCCGTCCCACTGGCTCGTGCTTGCCTCCCCGCTATGGAGCCCCGCCATGACGTTTTAGTGGTCGTCATTGTCTGCCTGCCTCTGGCTGAATTGACAGTTTGACAGGTCTTGCAGCTTATGACTGAAGGTTTCGAGACAGCATCGCGAACCAGGCAAACATTGTATCTTACAGCCTTGCTTTGGTAATATAGGTTGTCTGTCCCCACGATTCATTTGTTGTTAGCCACCAATGCCGCCCGAGAAACGAAGAACAGGTGCTTCATATAGGAGAGGGCAGCAGGTGCTACTTCTTGTATCTCACGAACACTTGCAGATATGTTCTGAATCAAATATATGCTTCATGTTCTTAAAGACTGATAGTGCCAGAAGACACGCAATATACGTCGTAGCCTCGTTGTGAGCCCCATGTGTCTTCGCCTCGTGAACTCCCAAGACGCAGTGTAGGATAGGATTCTCCACGTGACTTTGTATGTAAGCTGTGTTTCCCATGAATGGCTACTACGAGCACTTGCCCATTGTAAGACATCCTCCCCGCTGGAGCTTCGACGCCGACGTCGCGCGGAGCTTCTGTAGCGTAGCCTTTCCAAGGACTATACCAGCGCAGAAGCGCTGTCGTGCGGGCCAGTTCCAGGCCAGTGTGGGGTTGGGTCGCACTTTCTCTCTCACTGTGATTCGCAGACGACGAGCGGCAACGGCGCAAAGTGCGCTAAAAAGGTCTGTGTAAGAGGAGGGAAAGCACAAGTAAGAGTCATATTGCGGGCCACCTTCCCTGGTCGTGTGTATGCAGTTCTGGAGCTTCTGGCCGAACATCGCCTCACATTTGCATGTGGTGGACCGACAAAAACAGCACTTGACATGCAACCGCCCACCACCTCTACAATTTGTTGCCATCGTCTCCCAATTCGCATTTTCGTCCACTGTGCATCCTACAATACACTTGAAAACAGCTTGGCAGCTTGACACCGCTGTTGTCGGCCCCCAAAGATTGCCTTTCTCGTCGCCCTATCATCTGCATCGCATCGCCAGCTTGGATTCTGCAGTTTGCCGCATGGCACGATCTGCATGGCCTTATCCACACCACGGATGGCTGGCCAGGCCGGCAGGGCCACCCAGGCCGTCCGGATGAGAGCGTCAAGACGAGGAGCCAGTGCACTGGGTGGCCCATTGTGCTGCTTACCGCCGTCGAGACACTGCACACGCCGCTCAATCGCTGCTGCAACGTTAGCCCAGACGCCGCCCTCACCCAGCACGCGATGGCGGCCCATATCCGTTTTGGATGAGTACGTGCCACCCGCCCAGCTTCGTTTACAGAAGAGACTCACAAGACGTACCATGGCCACAGCTAACTCTTTCGCTTCGCTAGCTGGGTTGCAAAGGAGGCCCGGCCGATCAGCCTGCGTCAGCTTATGGTCTTTGGCCGCTCCCTGACCGAGGCCCGCCTGATCAGCTCAGCCAACTACGTGCGGACCGAGCTGCCGACGCGGCTGGCGCATCGCATCCGCGACATCCAGCAGCTGCCCTATGCTGTCGTGTCCAACCCACACATCAGCGCCGTCTACGAGCTCTACTACAATGCTTTTGACATGTTCCGCAAAGTCAAGGAGATCAAGACGCTCGACGACAACGACGTGCTCTGCGACGTCATCGGCCAGACCCTGCAGGCCCACCTGCCCGTCATCCCCAAGCTGGCCATGGGCATCCTCGAGTGCAGCGACCTCATGCCCGCACGCGACCTCGACAAGTTTATGAACACCATTTTGCGCGCCCGCATCTCGCGCCGTGTCATTGCGGAGCAGCACCTGGCGCTGACCGAGACGTTCAATGCCTCCTGGTACTCGCCGGGTGCACCGCTGCCCGAGGGCCACGAGTTCATCGGCGAGGTCTTTTTAAAGTGCCAGGCCCGCGACGTCATCGACCGGTGTGCCAAGGCCGTCTGCGACCTCGCCCGCAGCGCTTATGGGCCCGACGTGCAGGTGCCCGACATCCAGCTGACGGGCCACCTAGACACCACGTTCCCCTACATTCTGAGCCACCTCGAGTACATCGTTGGCGAGTTGCTGCGCAACGCCGTGCAGGCGACCGTCGAGCGGAGCCAACGACTGTATGGAAGCCAAAACGGCGGCAGCGGCAGCGGCGGCGGCAGTGGCGCCGCCGCCGCCTCGTTATCGCACACCAACGGCGTGCCCCCGCCTCCGCCACCCATCGAAATCACCCTCTGCGAAGCCGCCCAGCACGTCATCATCCGCGTCTCCGACCAGGGTGGCGGCGTGCCCCACGACATGATGCCGTACCTGTGGTCCTTTAGCAAGGGGAAGCACTCGCAGCGGCTGCTCGAGAACCTCAAAAAGGTCCCGCGCATGAGCGCCACCCTCCAGGAGCTGCGCGTCGACGAGATGCAGCAGCCCCCGAGCCGACACAGCACCACACACCGGCAGGACAAGCCGCCGAACGTGACGGGTGACCCAGACCACCCCCACGGCAACTCTTTGGCGTCGCTGTCGCAGCGACCACCCAATCTACGCCTGGGCATGGGCCTGCCGCTCAGCCGCGTGTATGCCGAGTACTGGGCCGGCAGTCTAGAGCTGCACAGCCTCGAGGGCTACGGTGTCGATGCATTTTTGCAAATCTCCAAGCTGGGCAACAAGAACGAGCAGCTGACGATGCGGGCGAGCATGGATGCGGTCTAAGGACAAAGGGAAAGAGCACAGGAACGACGGACGATTTGTTTTGAAAAAATTGCTTACTAGTTTGTGTACATTACCATACGCATTGTTCTGGCGGGATACTCAACAGGCGTTCTTCTCTGGTGTCGGTCTGCATCAGCACTTCTCTATCAGGGGCTGGTTTGTTTGGACAAGCATGATGCATCTTTAGCAAGCCCCTTCCTCTACGTATTTTCTTACTTTCGTCTTTTTTTTTTATCACATACGACTTCTTGGAACAGCATCACGTAAACCACATGGTTCCATAACTGCTTTTATGGACAACCAATCTCATTAATATGGTATCAAAGAAGGACTGCCCAGGTTACGTCGTGACTAACAACACAGTAATTCTGGAAAGCTAAAACGGGATAACATGATAATAAAAATAAAAAAAAGACTCGCAAAACAGCCGCACAAAAAAGAAATAGGTAGTGGGTCGGAGTTCGAAGGGGGTAAAAAAAAACAGCTTTCGCGGCGTAATAAAAAAATCAACAATAATAATTAAGACAACAAGTAAAAAACACAACTCAGGGGTAGTATACTGTCCGCTTCCTTTTTTTATCCGCCGTGGTAAGAAAACAAGAAGCAACGAGGCAAACAGAAGGGACAGCAGACTAATGTCTTTGTCCGAAATTCAAGACTCCCCTCTTCTCCATTCACCATTTTCCATTCTCCATTCTCCGTTCTCCATTTTTCTACTCTTCCGACCCGGGATACGCGGTGATCAAAAAAAAAGAGAAAACCTCTGAGTCGGCTCGCATGCGCCGACAGGCAAGAGAAGAATCATAAAGAGACGTAGAAACGCAGAAATGGAGGCGTCGAAATGCCGAACACTAAACGCAGAGAGAGAACCCCCGCTTGTACCACGTTGACGTTTTGTCCTTGGCACCAGTTCCTTTTCGTTTTCGTTCTTTTCTTAGTCGTGTGACGAGGCCGGCCAAACGAAACAAGAGACAGTTCCAGTTTCGTCTAGTTGCAGGCCGCCGTTCTCGAAGTCAGGGGCGAGTCCTAACGGCGACCATGGCTGCGAACGGCGGTGCCCTGCATGGACTCAAGCTCGCCCTCCAGCTGCTTGATCTGGGCGTGGGTCTGCTCGAGATCCTTGTTAAGACGATCGCGCTCCGCAATGAGCTTCTGCTCCCATTGCCGGAACCGCTGCTCCTCGATCTTGACCTGCTCGGTGAAGCGCTTGCGCAGCGCTTCCTCCTCCTCCTTGAACTTGGGGTTGTCGAGCTTGCGAGGGCGGGCTTCACCAAACTTGCGCGTCTCCATCTGCTGCGCGCGGTAGGCCTCGTAGTGCAGCTCCTCGGTGGTGTGGATCAGATCCAGCATGTGTGTGCGGATCAGGATGGACCGCAGCTTCTTAAAGTCGCAATGGTCCTCGTTCTCGACTTCGGCGACGCCCCACGAGTACTGGCGGCCCTTGACGATGCGGCCGTCGCCCGTCTTGACGTCCTTCTCGGAGCCGATAACAGCAAAGGGCATGGCGACCATCAGGCTGCGGGCGTGCTGAGCAGCAGCCTCGTCGTCCTCCTCGACGGGCGGCTGGTAGATCTTGATGCTCTGGGCCTCGATGACAGCCCGGATCTGAATTTGTTAGCAGAAAGGTATGAAAATAAAACAATGAAAAGGGCATTGACAGGGGAAATTTGGCACAGCCACGTCCAACGTACCTTTGCCTTGAACTTGGCCAGGTCCGCAGGGCTGAGAGTATCAGCCTTGGCGATGACCGGGATCAGGTTGACTCTCGAGCAGAGACGCTTCATGACCTCAATGTCGAGGGGCTTCAGGGTATGGCCGGTGGGGCGGATAAAGTAGAGGCAGGCATGGACACGCAGGTCAATCTTGTCCTGGCGGCGGGGCTGCTGCTCCTGGAGCATGTACGACTCGTGCTGGTCGTCGAGGAACTCGATGATGGGCATCCATGAGTCACGGTTGTTGACGTAGTCGCCGAAGCCGGGGGTATCGATGACGGTCAGGCGGACTGGCAGTGTTAGTTGTGGTCAGAACGGATGTCCTGCGAATGTCATAAGAGGGGGGGCGCGAGAAAAAGCCAGAGTCTCGCAGCACAAGAAGCAAGGGAAGACAAAAAGAGGTCCCGCCCCAATGCTCCCATGCCATGTCATCGTTTCGCCTTGCGGTGTTCACTTACCCTTGAAGAACTTCTCCTCCAGCTCGGCCTTGGTAATCTCGATCTCGACGGTCTTGTCGACCTGCTTCTGGTGACGGCGCTTGTGGTCGGCATAGTTCTTGATGGTCGTCGAGAAGAGCGTGTTGATGAACGTAGTCTTGCCCAGGCCAGATTCACCGGCAACCTGAAAGAGGGGCGGTCAGCAAGAATCCCGGGCATGGCACCGAATGCACCATGTCTCCTCCGGGGAACAGCATCAGCATCAGCACCAGCATCAGCAATTGCTACACACCATAATCGTAAAGGCGGCGCCTCTCTTCGCGACAATCTTGTGCCGCTGGTTCGGCAGGTTGGCGATGCCAATCGGCGATGCGCTCTCGGCGGAAGCGGCAACAGGAGGCATTGTGGCGGGAGCTTTGTGCGGGTTTGTCGAGGTTATGATAGAAAAGGGGGAGGGGGCCTGGTCCAACACAATCGTTCTTGCGAGTCGTGGCGGTGCAGGTCGTCGAGAAATTCGATTCGATGCAAGCGTGGTGAGCTGGGCAGCGTTGACAATAACAAGGAAACAAAAAGGGCAGAATGGCAGAAATGGAGTGCAGGAGAGCAAAAGAGGCTTTGTTTGTGTTTCTGGCGTTTTGTTACCTTCCCCTGAACAATTAGGAGAAAAGGCGGGAAGGAGAAGCTTCGCGGCTTCCTTCAGGGGAAGTGTCCAAATTTCCAGTCGGGTGCACGGGCCAACCTAATCCAGGGGGGGAAGGGGCCACCCAAGAGGTACAAGTATGTCGTACTAGAGGGTTCCCCTAGTGCTCCCTTTCCTCCATTTTTATTGCGATGGCCTTGACTGTTTAGGTCACTAAGACAGGGGGAGGCTCTTTCCTTCGTTCCCCCCCTTTTTCGTTCTTGCTGCTCGGCAGTGGGAAGTTAGAAGGCGTAGTGGGGGTCTAGCCCGATACGGAGGTACTTTGCAAACTAACAAAATACAGTGAGTACTATGTACCTAGCGATGGTTCACCTCTTTCCCCTTTAACGGAGGAACTGGTCTTCCCCGCCTTCTGCGGCACCGGACAATCTATCCTGCGGGCCCGCTGTAATTTTCTCGATAAGGATCCGATAAGTATCGCGATATGTTCTGGCGATAACAAATTTTGGAGGCGGATTTTCTGCAGTTTCTGTGATCGACAACCACCTCGTTCGCACGCCCACCCGCCAAGATGAAGACGGAGTTCAAGGTTGGTGTGCTCTACAGATTGCATTGTATTGTGTTTGTGAACTTACACTGACATCGCAGTTCTCGAACCTGCTGGGGACCGTCTACTGCAAGGGCAATTTGCTCTACAGCCCCGACGGCACGCACCTCTACTCGCCCGTCGGCAACCGTGTGACGGTGTTCAACCTTGTTGAGTGGGTCTCGAGCTCCCGGTGTTCTCTATGATGCAATACGTCCGTCTGCCTCTGCTAACCGCCGCAGCAACACGTCTTATACGCTCCCGTTCGCCCACCGCACCAATATCGCCCGCCTTGGCATCACCCCCCGCGGCAACCTTCTGCTGACCGTCGACGAGGATGGCCAGGCCATTCTGACCAACCTGCCCCGCCGCGTCGTCCTCTACCACTTTTCGTTCCGCGGGCCCTGCACCGCGCTCGCGTTCTCGCCCTCGGGCCGCTTCTTTGCCGTAGGCCTCGGCCGCAAGACGGAGGTGTGGCACGTGCCCTCGACACCGGACACCAACGCAGACGGCGAGCTGGACTTTGCGCCGTTTGTGCGGTTCCGGACGTACGCGGGCCACTTCGACACGGTGCAGCACATTGCGTGGTCGGGCGACTCGCGGTTCTTCCTGACGGCGTCCAAGGACCTGACGACGCGGATATGGAACTTGGAGCGCGAGGAAGGGTTCAGCCCGACGGTGCTGTCGGGCCACCGGCAGGCCGTTGTGGGCGCGTGGTTCTCGCGGGATCAGGAGATCATCTACACAGTCAGCAAGGACGGCGCGTTGTTTGAGTGGCAGTACCTGAAGCCGCCACGGCCAGCTGGAGAGGAGAGCAGCAGTGACGACGAAGAGAGTGACGACGACGACGACGACGACGACCGAGACATGCGCTGGCGCATAGCACAGCGCCACTACTTCCACCAGAACAATACGAGCCTGCGGTGTGCCGCCTACCACGCCGCATCGAACCTGCTCGTGGCCGGCTTCTCGAGCGGCGTGTTTTGTCTCTACGAAATGCCTGACTTCAACCTGATCCACACGCTCAGCATCTCCCAGAACGATATTGACCACGTCACGATCAACGCGTCGGGTGAGTGGCTGGCGTTTGGCGCCTCCAAGCTCGGCCAGCTGCTCGTGTGGGAGTGGCAGTCCGAGTCGTACATTCTCAAGCAGCAGGGCCACTTTGACGCCATGAACGCGCTGGTCTACGCGCCCGACGGCCAGCGCATTGTCACGACGGCCGACGACGGCCGCATCAAGGTGTGGGACATTGCGTCGGGGTTCTGTGTCGTCACGTTTACGGAGCACACGAGCGGCGTCACGGCGTGCGAGTTTGCCAGAAAGGGCAACGTGCTCTTCACGGCGAGTCTCGACGGGTCGATCCGCGCGTGGGATCTCGTGCGCTACCGCAACTTCCGCACGTTCACGGCGCCCACGCGGCTGTCCTTCGCCTGCATGGCCGTCGACCCCAGCGGGGAGGTCGTGGCCGCTGGCTCCGTCGACTCGTTTGACATCCACATCTGGTCCGTGCAGACGGGCCAGCTGCTCGACCGGCTGTCGGGTCACGAGGGCCCCGTGTCGACACTGGCGTTTGCGCCCGACGGCAGCGTCCTCGTCAGCGGCAGCTGGGACCGCACGGCGCGCATCTGGTCCGTTTTCAACCGCACCCAGACCAGCGAGCCGCTGCAGCTGCAGGCGGACGTCCTCGACATGGCCGTGCGGCCCGACTCACAGCAGCTGGCCATCTCGACGCTCGACGGCCAGCTGACGTTCTGGTCCATTGCCGACGCCGCGCAGGTCGCCGGCCTCGACGGCCGCCGCGATGTGTCGGGCGGCCGCACGATCTCGGACCGGCGCACCGCGGCCAACGTCGCCGGCACCAAGAGCTTCGGCTGCATCCGCTACAGCACCGACGGCAGTTGCCTGCTGGCGGCCGGGCGCAGCAAGTACATTTGCCTGTACTCGGTGACGACGGGCGTGCTCCTCAAGAAGTTCACCGTCAGCGTCAACCTCTCGCTGAGCGGCACGCAGGAGTTCTTGCACAGTGGCAAGTTGACCGAGGCGGGTCCGGCGGGCGCGCTCGACGAGCAGGGCGAGCTGTCGGACCGCGAGGACCGGCTGGACCGGTCACTGCCCGGCTCGAAGCGCGGCGGCGACCCGTCCGCGCGCCGCAGCGTGCCTGACGTGCGCGTATCTAGCGTGGCGTTCGCGCCGACGGGCCTAGCGTTCTGCGCGGCGTCCACCGAGGGCTTGCTGGTGTACTCGCTCGACACCACGCTGCCGTTTGACCCCTTCGACCTGAGCATGGAGATCACGCCGGCGTCGACCCTGCAGGTGCTGCGCGAGGAACACGACTACCTTAAGGCGCTAGTGATGGCGTTTCGACTCAACGAGGCCGCGCTTCTCCAGCATGTGTTCCTAGACGTGCCGCACCAGAACATCCCGCTCGTCGTGGCGGGCGTCCCGACGGTGTACGTGGCGCGGCTGCTGCGGTTCGTGGCGGCGCAGACGGAGCAGACGCCGCACATTGAGTTCTGTCTGTTGTGGATCAAGGCGCTGGTGGACCGGCACGGCGCGTGGCTGACAGCGAACCGGGGCAAGCTGGACGTGGAGCTGCGGGTGGTGGCGCGGGCAGTGGGCCGCATGCGCGATGAGATCCGGCGACTGGCGGACGAAAACGTGTACACGGTGGACTATCTGCTGGACCAGGCCAGGGCACGGCAAGCGACCAAGAAACTGGCGGCCGCCCAGCCGACGGCTGTGGTGCCCGCGCTAACACAAAAAGGAGAGAAGTACAAGGCCGCTGAGGAACCACACGCCGAGGTGGTTGTCTTTGATGACGGCGACGATGGCGAGGAGGGTTGGTTGGGGATGGATTAAGACGAAGGTGGACTGTTGGAAGTGAAGTGGCAACAACATTGAAAACGGCGTTCCGGTGGGGCTGCTTTGTTATATGGTTATATTTTTGAAAATTATACATATAATTGCATCTGCGTTGCATCGGGCATCCACCTCTCATGCACATACTTTGTTTCGGTCGAATCTCTGTGTTATAGGTTTGCATTCTGAACTTGAATCGGATACTACGATTGGTCTCAAAACCGACATGTTATTGATAATAAAATGGTCATGAAATATTCATCATTTATGGCCGTAGGATGTCAACTACCTGTTAAAAATGAATAAAAAAACGTTGATGTTTTCCCCCAATGGTTTTTTGTCTTAGTCAGCTTATGTGATAAATGAATTTACAATTTCTACACATATTTTAGATTCAATGACTTCGGCGTTGGCGTTTTAAAGAAATCAAACGACATCAACTACACTACCCTCTCGACCGATCCCAAGATCCATTACCACTCCTCGGGACTTGCTGAGGTGGCTGACCATACGCAGGATGTCTTTGTTGGTCGTATTGTTGCTGCTGATACCCGTGATGTTGTTGATGCTGTTGTTGATGCCGATGCTGGTATTGTTGTGGCGGCGGTAGCGGCGGCGGTAGCGGCGGTGTTGCTGCAGATTCTGACCAAGCAGAATTTGGCAGCAAGTGAGGCGGTATGGGCGGAGGCCATGGTCCCTGGTAGCCTGGCGGGGGAACAGGCAGTGGAGGGACAAACGGAAAGCCAGCAGGCATGCCCAAGTGTGGTGGAGGTGGAGGTGGAGGTGGATGCGGGAAGACGGAGAAGGCAGGATGCGGCGCTCCTCCATACGGCGGCAGCGGCGGCGGCTGGTGGTGGTGCTGCAGATGGACCGGAACGGGCGGCAGACCGTGCTGAATATGGGGCGGCGGTGTTCTTCCTAGGGTGGGATGCGGTTGACCGTCGTTGTCATCGTACTGTGCCCTTTGCGGCGACCGTGAGTAGCGGTATCGGTCGCGAGACAGGCGTCTCCTCGGCGAATTCGATCCGCTCCACGACCGAGAGCGACATCGGCTGCTTGATCTGGACCGGAACTGGCGCTTTGACCTCGACCTCGACCTCGACCTCGATCTCGACCTAGATCTGGATCTGGATCTCGACGTAGATCGGGAGCGATGGTGGTAGCGGTGACTCGGCACATGTAGACGTGACTGGCTCTTATCCTCTCGTCGTCTGTCTCGGTTTCGACTCTGACTCCGCCTCCAGCTCCGACTGTCCTTTTGTCGAGACGTCGATGTCGCCCGGCCTCGGTCAGGACTGACGTCTGGCTCTGCGAAGCCAGCGCCACCGAGAGTCTTCCAACGTCGCCGACGCTCCTTCATGCTCTTGCAAAAGGCACGGGACCAGCCATAGTAGGTGTCGCCACCGACAATGTCGCCCGACAGGACATCAACATCGATGCGTTCTCCAAGGGCATTCACGTCCGAGTCGATGTCGGCAGCGGCTGACATCTCACTGTCCTTGCCATCCTCACCGCCCTCACCGCCCTCACCTTCATACATGCGGTCAACGTCGGCGAGCAGGGCACGCACGCTGGCTTCAAGGGCCGGTGGTGCGGGACCGGGCGCAAGCTGCAGCGGTTGCAGGGCGGCCGGGTTCATGGGACGTGTCGAGTTGGGCTCGAGGACGTGGAGCCATGTGGCGGCGGGCCAGTCGTACCAGGGCACGGCAGGGTCGCCATGGAGGGCTGGCAGCAGGAAAGGCGCTTCTTTTGTTTCTTTTGCTTCTTTGGAGGCGCCTGTACTTGTAGCACCAGCAGCAGCCAGCCCCTTTTGGTGTTTGCCCGAGGCCTTGTCCTTGGCTTGTTTCTGCAGCGCCTCCTCGGCCCGGCGTGGTCCTTCGTCGATGGCTGTTCGAAGCTGCTGCAGCACGTTGTCACCGACGTAGTTCTGGGAGGCCCACAGGTCGAGCAGGTCGTTTAGCTTTGCGAGCTGTTTAGGGGCACGGACAAACGCTGCGGCGCTCGACACGAGGGGCAGGAGACTGGGCTCGATGTTGGCCACAAACGGCGGTCTCGTCGCGTTGTCGCCGTCCGGGGCGGTGCTGCGAAACGCGACGTGGTACAGGACATCGCTGATCACGTAAAGGAGGTGAAGTCGTTTGCGGCGTGCCGAGGTCGGCTTGGCTTCCGTTTCGGATGTTGTGCGTCGTGTCTCTGGCGAAAAAGAGTGGGCGAGCGCCACGAGGTAGCGGCCGACGGCGGCAGTGCGGGCAGGCGAGTGCGTGACATGGCGCAACATCCAATGCTTGCAAGTCTGTGTAGGGGAGGAAGGAAGAAAACGACGAGAAAATAGGTGGCAAGCCACCAAGAAGTCGAGAAGCGCTTAGCGAGGCTCAGGAGAGAGAGAGATAGTGGTATACAAGAAAAAAAAGAAGAAAAAAAAAGGACGGCGAGAACAGTACGGGAAAAGACGGGCAGAGACGGGCAGAGACGGGCAGAAGCGGGAAGAGGCGGGCAGGAGCGTTGTCAAACCTGGACATTGGCAGGCGAGCAGCGCGCCGCAGTAAGAGCCAGCAGGCCAGCAAACTCGTCAATATCGGGGCGCGAGCAGGGCGCGGGGTCCGGGCGGAGGAGCACGGCGGTGAGGGAGGCTGTGGCGATGGCCAGCTGGGCGGCCGTAGCGGCCATGGCAAAATGTGATGTGGTAAGAGGCGGTCTGCGGTGGACGTGTCACCTTGAAGCCGGAAAATGTCGTGATGCGATGCGAGGTCGATGCACTCGAAGGCTATACATAAACTGCTCTTCAGGGCGCGAGTCGTGCACACGCGTCAGTTTGGACTAGACTCGCAGACAGGGCGACCATTGTCTGTCGCGTGGCGTGTCGGCGTAGTGCCGTGTATTGACGTAGATGGACGTAGACTGGCGTGCGTCGTGAAGGCGTCGTGTTGGAGATGTTTTGTTTACGGAGATTCAGGGATGTTGAAGCATGGTCTTGCGGAGGATTGGTCTTGCCGTTTGGGGATGCGAGAATTAAAGTGGGGCTTCCTGCCCACCCTAGCACTAGAACCGCATTTCGAGGAAGCTGCCCAGGACAAAAGGCGCTAACGGTGTGCTGTGAGCCGGCCGCCTCAGCCTTGGGATGTTGTGGCGGCGACGTGACGCTGTAGTCTCACAGTTGTGCGTTTTGGCGGGATATAATATCCTGCATATTTATGAGTATTGCCTGGATCGGAATCTTTGGGTCTTTTCGTACTTCTTTCGTGGTTTTCGGTTACATGTTTTAATACAATACAAGGAGCCAGTATGGCTCCATGATCTGCCAATCTAGAGTCGAACCCCATATATCAAATCGAACAATATCCATACATGACTGTGTGCCACCTAGCTTGCTGGTGACTACATACGGCAGTCGTTCCTTTAATTTTGCCGCTGTTCGGCTACCACCCGGTGGAGTGCGAGCTCGAGTCAGATGGGCCCAGGCCCAGCCTTTCCCCTCGTCAGTTTCTCCGTCTCGTCGTCTCTGTTACTCCCACCGCTCAGCCCGTTCGTCTCGTCACGAAAACCGGTCACCTTTGGGACTCCGAAACGGCGAGCTCGCCTCGTATTTGCTCTTCTCCAGCACGCGCTGTGACTCGGTGGCCGGTGCGTGCCGCGTGGGCGCTGGATCGGCGCTGGAGGATTCCTGGCTGGGCGAGCCGACAGTGTCCGTGCGGGCGGCGGCAGCCGACTGGGGACTGGCGTTTTGGCGTTCTTTCTCGAGGGCATCGATGACCGACTTCTTGCGGCGCTGTTCGGAGAGACGGGCCTGGCGGTCGGCGTTGATGCTCCTTTTGGCAAAGTAATAGGCAATGCCGCCGGCTGGGGGAGTGTATTAGTAGGCGGCTAGACGGTGAGACGGCGAGACAAAATCAAGGAGGAAAGCCACGTACCTGCACAGAGGGAGCCCCAGCCGAGCCTGTTGAGATGTGTTGTCAGTAAAGCGAACGACAGGAGGAGAGATGGCCACGACCGAAGACAAGATCAGGTGATCGAGAGTGGCCGTGTGCCGTGGCAGAACATACCAAAACGACCGTACCTAGGACACCAACGTTAGTCACCATGCTCAGTGACAGCATGCACGGACAGCGGCGCCGTGCGGAGGAAACGATACGGCGTAGACTAAGCTGACTCGAGTCGACTGAAGAATTGGAGCTTTTGGTTGCTTACCGTATTCATTTTGTGCGGGAGTGTGCTAGAATACTTGCGGTATACTGAGGTAGGCTTGCGAAGGAGAAGCAAAGCAGACTGAGAAATTTTATTTACGGCGCAATCGTCGTATCAATTGGCCATTGACGGCCAAAACAAAAGTTGATCGGAGTGCAGAATAAAAAGCGCTTTCCTCGGCAAAGAACGACGTCAAAATCGTACGATGTCATCGCATATGTACAAGTGGGGATGTCACGTGGCGGACGAAAAAAAGGGCACCTGCTGCGGAGGAGGTCTGTCTGCAGCGTTCTAGCGACCTGTAAGTCTGCGCTCACACGACAGTAATCTGTTCACTCACACATGCTAAATCGCAATGTAATAACTGACGGAAAGGTTATGTACACCATTCATAAAAATTAAAGTCTTGTTCTCATATCTGCCCTGTATTTCGGCACCCAATCCTATTGCAGGTTCACAAACAGACCGCCATCGACGAGCAGCTCAGCACCAGTCTGGGGAAACAGTTTGCTGTTAGCAGATGGCCGAAAAAAAATACCACCAAAATATCATTGGCAAAGGACATGCAACCGGATGGTGGCTCAAGAAAAGGGACGTACCACAAAGCTGCTCAGCTCCTCGCAGGCCAGGAAGACTGCCGGCCCGGCCATGTCCTGCGGCAGGCCCAGGCGGCCGAGCGGCGTGCGGCCCTCGACGTACGTCCGCTTTACCGGGTCCGCCAGGTCCACGTCGTTGAGCTGCGTGCGGATGGTGCCGGGCAGCAGCGAGTTGCAGCGGATGCCGTACTTGCCGAGGGCCACAGCGCACGACTGCATCAGGCTCTTGACGCCGGCTTTGGTGGGCGTGTAGTGCGTCTGTTGGCCGCCGCCGACGAGCGCCGAGATGGAGCTGATGCCGATAATGGAGCCGCCCGCCGGCGTCTGGTGCAGGGCCATCTGGCGACCGGCCGCCTGGACGGCATAGAACGCACCCGACAGGTTGGTGCTCAGCGTGTGCTCAAATAGCTGCGGTGACAGGTCCAGAAACTCGGCAAACTGGCACACGCCGGCGTTGCTCACAAAGACGTCGAGGCGGCCTTGGTGGTCCGCCGGCGCAAACGAGGCCACAATGTGCTCGACAAACTGGCGCCCCGTCTCGGGCATGGAAATGTCGCCCGCAAATGTCACCACACGGTTCTCGACGACCTCGCCGGCCGGCAGCAGCGCCGCGGCCTCTTTCAGGAAGCTCTTGAGGTGGGGCTCGTCGCCGGCGCCGCCGAGGTGGTTGATGCCGACCTTGGCGCCGTGGCGGATGTAGTCGAGTGCGATGGCCTAGGCGGTTGGTTAGATGTACAGATAGATGGGAAAAGTGACGGGCCGAAGGAGACTCACGCGGCCAATGCCCGTCAGGCCGCCAGTGATGCCCGCGACCTTGCCGACGAGCAGCTGCGGGAGCGTCATGTGCGTGGTGGATGTAGGACGTAGGTTCGTCGTAGAGTCGTCGAAGAGAGTGGTAGATTGGAATGTCAGTTTAAATCGTGTCGGTGGGCGACTACTGTGGGAATATATTATTATGAAGATGCCAAATCAGGAAGAACGGTGACGACAAAGGACTCGAACGGGAAAGAAGCGACGACCACATTCCTTGTCAAGAAACAGAAAGAAATAAACGAAGGCAAGAGCTCTGTCTTCCTCTCCCAGTTGTCGCGCTCTCGTCGCTCTCTAATTGTCCTGCCGGCTTGAATAGTACCGACCTTTTGGACGGCGCGCGGAGCGGGGTCTCTCCAAGGCTCGTTCTTTATGTACGAGCCCGCTCAGTGCTCCCCACTCCCCACAGTCCTCGCTAAGCTCAAACGCGATGGGCCGAAGCTGACCGACGAAGGGCCCTCGTGCGAATTCACACCGAAAGACTACGGTACACGTTTTGGGGGACTTGACTTGGGAGCTTTGGTTCTTCTTTTTTTTTTTTTTTTTTTTTTTTTTTTTTTTTTTTGGCGTTTTGTGCGACAGCGTGGATTTTCATAGACGGGAACCATGCATCCTTTAAGGGCTATTTAGTGGCAGCATCTCTCATGTTGAGCTTGAATAAGTGCCAAAGAGGAATATAGAGGCGAGGTTTTGCATAGTCAGGCACTAGCTCGTCTACACGACCTTGATTTATAGTCGGGGCTCCATTATGTCCTATTGCCTGCGTGGGATCCTTATACCGTCTAACCAGCATAGCGGCGTGCGTTCACTTTAAAACGGAACATGCAGCAATGGCACAAAAATGTCAAAAAGAGCAACCAGTCCTCTCGACGCAAGCTGAACCCAGGCGCAGATGGAGTTCGTGATGTCACGTAAAACTCTCGTTTCAAAGACAGAAAAATAAAGTCTAGTGAGTTGGTATTTCTAAGCAGGGTAAAGAAATTGGTTGATGATGAACGGCAGGTATAACATGGACGATTTATAGTTCCTATTAGAATAGAGCGAACAAACTTAGGGAGTGGGCGTGGTTATAGAGTGGCAGGGAGGTCTTTCAGGAAGCAGGTATCGCCGAACAAAGACACATATCCCTTTTGTCTAGTAATCGAAGCGAAAGTCGAGACGCTTGTTGCCCTCGTCCTTGGTCGTGTTAATATAGTGTTCGCGCTCTTCGGGCGTCCACGCATTCCATATCTTGTCGCGGCGGGCGTTGACCCAGCGGTAGTAGAAGTGCACCGCCACATACAAAAAGATCACGCCAACATTCAGGCCGATGAGGGTGCGGTTGCCGCGGCGGTAGCGGGGTGCGTCGTCGGCTCGGTATATGTTGGAGTAAATAACACCGCCCGCCTGGCAGCACATGTTATACATTGCGGTCGAGACGGTGCGGGTGCGCACCGTGTTGGCGTTGCGCGAGGCCCAGCCGACCTGGACGGAGTGGTTCGAGGGGTAACCGAGCAGGACGCTGACAAGGGCAAACACGACCCACTTGTTCGCGGTCGTGATGTCGATGCAATAGAGCGCGATAAGGCAGGGCAGAGCCCAAAACTGGCCGAGGAGACCGTTGAGGGCCAGTCGGCCAGACCAACCAGCAAAGAGCGTGCCCAACAGCAAAGTGATCATGGAGAGCACGTATGTAGGAATAATAAGCAAGTTGGTCTGGAAGGTTGTGAAGCCGAGGCCCTTCAAACTACAAGGTGTAAGTCAGTGTAAAGAAAGAAAGACAAATAAGACAACAACAGCAGGGCGAGCGCACCTCAGAGTCAGATACTGGGTTGGGGGGCCCATGGACATCTGAAAGGTTAAGCCAATGGCATAACTGGGTCGGTTAGCAAGTCTTTACTGTGTGAGATTTGGTGTACGGGAGCAAAGACCTACATTGGCCACATGTGGTAGTCCCTGAGAGCGTGGTACAGCAAGCGAGGTGTGATGGCTTGTCTGTTGTGCATAGAGCCTTTGGACGGGTCGTCCCGGAGAGCGCGGTTGACGATGATGGCTTCCTCGCTGTGCGACAAGACGCGTTAGATATATACGGAGTAGAAAACACAGCCGAAACGTTAAACAATCAATCACTGAAATGGCGGCATAATGTGAACGAACCGCTCGGTGAACCAGCCCTTCTTTCCGCGGGGAAAGCCACTGGTCTGCGTGGGACTGGGAGGCATAAAATACAGGGCTGAGACGCCGACAGCCAGCGTTATCAGGCCTTCGATGAGAAATAGGTAGCGCCAGCCCTCGACGCCATTATGGCCATCCAGGTGAAGAATGCCAAAGGCGAGGAAAGCACCAAGGATAATGGAAAAGGTCATGGTCGCCCACCAGCGGGACAAGCGGATGGGCAGTTCGGCGCTGGTGTAGAAGTAAGAAAGGTAGAGGTTCATCTGAAAGAAAGGTTGAGGTGTATGAGAACTTGTTGTTCACAATGACTGGAACTGGAAACGTCACTGGGGGGTGGGTTGGAAACGTACGTCCGGAATGAAACCGCCCTGGAGGATGGCGAGAAGAGCGCGGGTAACGAGAAACGAGGTCCGGCCATTGAGCTTGTACTGACACATGGCCACGACACTCCACAGGACCATCTGCATGGGAATCCACCGATCAGGGCCCATCCTAAAGCAGTTAGGAATGCTGTGCCGATGCAGATGTAAATTGCAGAATAGAAAGAGGGGGCGAAAGGGACTTACCACTTGGAAACCAACTGCGACGGCAGCTCGGCGCACATAAACGACAGCAAAAACACTGTATTTCCCAGATTGTAGTCGTTGGTCGTCAGACCCAGGTCGGCGAGCATGTTGTCGGACACGGCCTGGGCGAGATTGACGCGGTCGATCTCCAGGGCCATGAATGCCACGCAAGTAAAGATGAAGATGCGAACGTCAATCTTGCGCACAAGGGCCTTCTCCTCGCGCCAGGTCCAGCGCGCAAGCGGATCGAAGCGATGGATGTTCTCCCAGTCAGCACGCGGTCGGTACTTGATGGCCAAAGCCGGGTCGTCGTAGACGGACGGCTGGGTGGCAATGGCATCGAGATCGACGGGCCTGGCCTTTTCCCAAAAGTAGCGCCGCGTGGTGTCGATGGGCACGCCGAGAGGCGGTATGTCCGCGGGGTTGACGACGACCTGGGGCGTCTTCTTGTCGTCGCCGGAGCTGGTGCCAAGGTCTTCGGCTGACGCGGTTGGCACAGACGCCGTGGGGTTGGCCGACCACAGCACAGTCGGCATGATGTTGGATGGTGTTGGGCAAGTGACCCTGGGGTGTTGCGAAGCAGCCTCAGAGCTTGCAGAAACAATAGCCAATCCGCGATGAATTTCGCTTTTCACAGGTCGTCAGAATCGCAAAGTGCTCTGGGGAATGCTCATCAAAAACAGCCTCGTGTGATCGGCGTCTGCATCGACCCTCAACTTTATAGAAACGAGGGACAGGTAACCAGTACCCCCGGAATGTCGCCATCGCAGCTCTCTCGTCATCTGTCAATGGGATGACACATGTTGCTGGCCATCTTCAATCTTCATCCCCTCCCCCCCATCATCAGAGTTCATCTTTTTGGATCCGAAACCGTCATGATCTCGTCTGCATCTGCAATCCAGCCTTAGCGGTGTGTTCGCACGCTTCTTCGTCCATTGCATCGCCCGTCTCGCTTATGTCGGTTGGAGGCCGGTCCCCATATCTTCGGGTCTCCGGTAGTAGTAGGTTGCGTGCACGTTGCCCCCCCTCCATCTTCAACTTGAGCACGTCAACCGGGCGGTCACCCCGACCTCGCGTCTCATCAAGGTACGGCCATCAAAAATACGACGGGCGGTGCCGGACAAGGGTCATAAAGGAAAGGGGCAAAGAAGCAGACCAGCAGGCAAGATATGTTCGTACAGCCAGACGGGACAGGACGCAAAACGTCAGCAACGAGCACCCGGCACCAGGCTGGCGATATCTTGATTGTGAAATGCGCGAAAGATGATACGCTGGCCATGGATAGTGGCAGACATCGTCCGAGGGTTGTGGGGATACGTCGGGGTGTTGTTTGGCTTCTGATTGGCATGCAAGGTCGATTTGTCGATTTGTTGTCAATTGTGCCAGCACAATTCCGCCATTGCATTGCCGGCGATGCTACGGAAGAGCTGAAGGATCTGAAGCCTACAAGGCCCGGCCGGGACAACAAGCGGCCCTAGCAAGGTGCCATTGGGGGTCTCGTCGAGGGTGCTATGCCGACATCTTCGCATGGCGCTAAGAATGTGGTAGGTGGTGTTCGCAATTGACGACCTGCCTTGTACAATCCATCGCACCCTAATCCCCTGGCCTCCGCAACCTATCGTGTTTGTCATGCTTCCTTTATTAGCCTTTTCGTTGCTTTGCCACTCGGGCCTCGGGGCACGTACTCGCTTGCTTGGTTGGATTGGCGACATTGATTGTGCAAACTAGAGTGCAGATAAGATGCTGTCGAAGTACACCTGTCATGACCGTCCATAAAACAGACGGGATGCTAGATGCAAGGGGCCGAACATGGCCAACAAAGAAACCCAACCGGCCAAGGTCGTGTCGCGTTGACATGCCGCCCGCGAAACACTTGGAGCGCAGCCAGCACACCATCTGCTGTGTAGTTGCGCAACGGCAACAGGAGAAACAAAAGGCATACCGTCCGCGCACTCCAACGAATCGACATAAGAAAAACGAAGCAAGACACCAAACAACAATGATAATAATAATGGTAGAAAACAGAATAATACATGGACCCTAGGCCGCACTCCGTTTTTGTAGCCTATTGATTTACGTACCCTTCTAGCGAGTCGTTTTGTCGTCTCATTAACACCGCGGTGGCCGGACAGATGGTGGCGCTGTGGAGGTCGAGGCACGGATAAGGCAAAGCCAGAAGATTCGAATGAAAGAATACGGGGGGAGGCCGGGAGTGACGACGACGATGGCCAGAGACGGCCACAGCCAACTTTCCCAGGGGAAGGAACAAGCTCGTCGCGCTTTTGTACAACGCCCGCCCTCGACAGGAAGGTGCGCGGCTTGTAATTACAGTTATGTTTCGTTTACTGAGTTGCTCTTGCTTCGTTTGCAGGTTTCTGACCAAGGCGACAGGAGCGCTCGCGCTGCAAACGCTTATGTAAGACTCAGCACACCAAAAACGAGTACAAACAAAGGCAATTTATAAATGTCCACATACTTCCCCGTCGATGCACCTCTCGTCTCTTTATCTTGAGCAGAAGAAATCCAACGACCGGTTGTAACAACCCTCCTGACGTGCAGGCCGACTGCTCTGTGCAGACACTGTGTTTTGTGACGCCAGTCCTTGACACTGGGCGAGCATCCATCCTACAATCAGCTTAGTCATATTCTTCGTCCAACATCATGTCAAAGAACACGCACAGCCTCCTGATGCAAAGTCAACAAAGAAGGCAAAGAAAGGGTTTGGACAAAGCAATGGTCGCTTTCATTGCTATTCCACGGTCAATAAAGCCATCGCATCGCCGCATCCGTCTGCACGGATGTCGGAATGCAGAATGTGGAGTCTGGCTGCCTCTTCTGACTCCAAGACTTCATTTTGCTCTCCGGATATCAAGCGACCTTGTTTCCGTTTTTCAAATTCTTTGCTCTACATATATCTCGCTCTGCTCCTCTTCCTTTTCTTTTCTTAAAAACGTTGCAACCCACCTCTTCCTCTTTCCCTTTCCATTTCTTCACATTTGTTTTTTTTTGTTTCAGTATACTGTGTACAACTGCATCCTCTCGGCTTTCAGCACCTCTTCAACCTTCTTTGCATTCTGTATTCCTCAAGGGAGCACTATCCGTCACTCTCCACCAGCACGATGCATCCTGACTGGCCAGAAACCCCAGCTGACTTGGTGCCACTGCCGCAGTGCCCAGGCCCGAAGTTGCATGCATTTGATTTTAAAGGTCCTCAAAATATTGAATTCGTGCGAGTCCTTGGACAAGGCCTTCATTCTCATGTTTTGAAGGTCAAGATCAAGGGCCAGGAGTATGCGCTCAAGCTGGTACGTATTTTTATTTGTTTATTTTTTTCGGTTTTCTCTTAAGTTGTAAGAAGGAAAGATCATATATAGCCAAATCGTCAACCGTCCTCCGAGACGCCCCCGTATTCTGCCAGGTTTCGTTTACTAACACACCTCGCTTTTGTATAGTTCCGTTTCGTGTACGAAGAAAACTGGCAAGGCCCCGGAGAGGACTTGGTTAATAGTACTCGCGAAAAATTAACCGTCCTTGCCCAGTACTCGGACCCGTTTTACAGCGAATGCCGCGCGTTTGGGCGTCTGCACGAAACAGGCCACACCGACCTGGCCGTCCCTTGTTATGGCTATGTCTTACTGGACGAGGAGCATGAGCGCAAGTTGACTGAGCAGTTCAAGCTCGAATACAATGGTAGCGTTGATTTTCCTGGCGACGAAGACATGCGCGGGCTCTATCCAGGCGAGCGCAGCGGCAAGCCGCCGCCGCTCCGTGGCATCATCAAGAAACTCGGGTCCACCGTAGACCCCTGGAGCCCAGCCAATCTCACCGTGCGCACCGCGCGGCGGCTCCTACGGGACACGATCCGCCTTCACCAGCTGGGCATTTTCTACCTCGACTTGCGGCCCGAGCAGCTTGTGGACAATGTGATGTGCGATTTTAGCACCGCATTCACTGTTCCGCATTTCATGGCCAGCCCCGAGCTAAATCCCAAACTAACCGAGAAGGATCTGGCAGCCATGGAGCACGAGGTATTCCTGTACACCATTAACGACTACTGGAGTGTTGAGGAAATGATTCTTCGGCATATTGCGTGGCCCCGTCAAACATCCAAAGTCTACGAATTGATGACTGTGTTCCCCGGCGGGGTGCGGGGACCGCATTGCCCAAAGCCGTATTACCATCTCCGACGCACAAGTTCTCGTGTTGAAGAGATGCTTCGGATTTATGCGCTGGCCGATCCCCGGCAATTCGACTGGAAGGCCGGTGCCGCGCTCAAGGACCGCAGTAACCATAAATTGCGGCTGGCTAAAACACCCAAACGGTGGTATCTTCCATGCACGCCAGAAAAGGCGCTCAAAATGAAATATGATCGCATGTTATGCTCCACGCTGGAATGGTTTGTGGATGATGCCGGCTTGATTTTCCCAACCAAAAGAGGATATGGTACTTATATACGCCAGATTCAACAGGAAAGGAAAGAAACGAACTCTGAAGAAACGGGCGTACCTGAATTAGCAGCCCTCTAGCGCTCTACTGGGGCTTGTGTCTCCCTGTTTCTGTTTTCTCTGTTTTTGTTTTTGTGACTGTTTGGTGATCATTGGACGTACATTTTCAATGCATATTGATGTATTTATTTGAAACAAATAGACAAAAAAATAAGGAAAATTTCAACCATGACAATGGCAAATAAAACATATGCAAAACAAATTCTTAACGTGCGAATGAAAAGGCGCATTCAAAACTGGACCAGTGATCTAAATGAAGACAATAGATGAAGAGGAAAAAATAGAGCGAAAAAGGAGAACAGATAAAGGGAAAAGAAGAAAAGTAAAACTCGCCATGTACGACCTCTCTGTGAGCCCTATCCTACTAAGCCAAGTCCTTCACTTTGCACATTCGATGTACAATCAGTTTCCATTATTGTAATGAAACCAAAAGTCGGTCTGCAGACGAACGTCGACATTCACGTTGCCCAGAGAAGGTGTCGGCATGCTTTCTCCACCGGCAATTCCACCGACAGTTACAGCGGCCTGTATTGTTGGATCCGCCGTTGGCTTCACAAAGGCCGAATACCGGTGTTGATGAGCCCATACACTCCCATCGATCAGCCCGAGAGTGTCCCAGGTATCAATGGGGACAATCTCGTCATTCTTGACGAGCTGGCGGTGGCCATCGCTCAGCGACAGCATACAGAGCCACCACAGGGCCAGCTCCGTGGTCAGGTAGGAGTTGAGCCCAGCGCGTGGCCCGTTGCTCATCTCGCCCAGCTCGTCCAGTTCCGTGTTCCAGGGCACCGGCATAACGCGGGCCGTCCAGTCAGACCACGCTTCGGCCGATTTCGAAGGTGGTGTGGCGCCAAAGCAGCAAGCCACGAGCTCCTGGTCCGTCTGGATGTAACCATACCGCGTCCCGGCCTTGGAGCACAGGTTTGCCAGCTGTCGGACGGGCCACTCTTGCTCGTTATTGGCACTTGCGGGGTCCTTGATGAGCGTGCTTCCTCGCCATTTGACGCTGGTCCGGCCTAGACCGACGACCAAAACGTCGCGCCGGTAGTTGCCCAGCTCAATGATGTGGTCGATGGTGGTCCGTTTGGAAGCCGTCGCGAGCTTGGCCACGGTCGAATTGTCGGAACTGGTGTGCTTGTGGTGCACGGCCGCGCCGACGTGTAAGGCCATGGCCTGCTTTGCGTACTTGACCAGTGGCAGGACGGTTTTGTCGTTCCAGCCAATGATGTTGAAGGGTCCACTGTCGTCAATGACTGTGAGGCCCTGTAGCTGTTCAGTGGACGGCACGTTGTCGATGATGTGCGGTGGCAAAGCTGTATCGAGAATGTGCCCGTAGCTTTCGTTCAGAGTGCGGATATTGAACTCTTTCCAGAGGCTGACCGTAAAGCCGGGCCAGTTTGCAGACTTGGTGTTGCCCAGCGTTTGAGACGTGCACGGGATGTAAGGCTTGTGCCGAACGAGGCAGTCGCGCAGTGTCTTTGTGTGCGAGCTCATAGTAGCTGTTGACGAGGTGTTATGTTAGGGATGTGTGAAGACGAAATTTTGTGGTGGGAAGATGTGTGCAATGTAAGGACAACTTTGGTGTCTGGGGTCTAAGGTCTCACCGTCTGAGATTGTAGGAGAGAAACAACAGGAGTGGGAGAGGCTGTTCCTTTATCCTTGCCTCGTTCTCTTTCCGTTCCTTTTCTTTTCCTTTGCTTTCCTTCTCCTTTGCTTTCCTTCTCCTTTCCTTTACCTTCTCCTTTCCTTTACCTTCTCCTTTCCTTTACCTTCTCCTTTCCTTTACCTTCTCCTTTCCTTTGCTTTCCTTCTCCTTGCTTTCCTTCTCCTTGCTTTCCGCCTTTTCTTACATTGATCCACAGTGCCGGGCATCCATCTGCAGCTCAAAGCTATGAAGCTCTTTTATGACAAGTCACGAGGCTGAAGAAGATTCAGCCCAATTGCCCAATGTATAGAACTTTATAGACTGCACGACCTGTAACTTTTTTTCTTGTGTTCTCATTCGTCCGCCTTTGCATCCCCTCATATTTTCGGGGCCCTGTATAGCTATTGGCATGTTTGCTTCCGTCAAAGCAGCCTGCCCAAAGCGGTCTTGTTGGTATACCCCTGCTTGCCCCTGTTGCCCTTTGCTTGCTCGTTCTGTGGCTGTTACACATAAATATAGAATGCCCCATACCAGAGCAGCCGTCACATCCTGCGCCGTGCATCATGTATGCTGCACACTGTGGAAATGGCGGCAAAGACAGACTGCGTTCAGCCATCGCATTCTGGGAGCCCATCGTCCGTCTCACCGTCAATCTACCTGTCAGTTCATTATACAAGTGAACACGGATTTATTCACAGGCTGATGCAAGTCGTGATAGCCTCACCTATCCCTGCCCGGACACCCCGAGCAGCGACACATCATCTTTATGGCATCGCAGGGACTCTGGGTGTGTGGGTGTGCAATACGCTCTTTCACCTCTTTTTGTCTTTTTTTCTCTCGTTTTCTTCCGTTTTATCTTGATTTCTTCGCCTTCATTAACTCTTTCGATTAACGATAACACATGAGTTTGAGCCTTCCTCTTTTCTCTTGTGAATGGTTAGTTGTATTTACTCACTGGTTGGCTTACTGAGTAATCACGACGTGCGTCAACTAGGTACATTCATAGAGCGCCTCACATGATTATTCTGTCGGTGCATACTTTATTTTGTTCATATTCGTCGTCGCTGTGTTTCTACTCCCAACCCCGTTCTGAAGCCCAGTTAAATTACCTGCTCTTGTTTCAGCTACTTCTCGTTGTCATTATCGTTTCCCGCCCTTCGGCTTTCTTCTCTTTCTTTTATCTTTTTGACCCTGCGCCTTATTTGCCCCGCGGCTCATTCCTTGAGATTTCTGCCGTCCTCACCATCTCTCTATTACGCTTCCGTCTCTTCCTTAGAATGACGTACAGGGATGAGCAGCAAGGCGATGAGATCGGCTGGTCCGCACCGTCTGCCAATACAGATGTGCCTTTTGCCGCAAATATCAGCAACAACACAACGGCCGCCGCGACCATGACCGCCATGTCCAGTGACATCCTGCCTCACCTCGTTCCCCCGACCGAAGACGAGGCCACGATGTACTACAGCGCGTTCCCTTCCACACCCCGACTCCTCGGCCGGACTTCGGCGGGCATCCGGCCCTGGAGCCTCCGCATCCTTCACCCAGGCCCCTTCACCACGTACCAGCACCTTGTGATGTCACCCATTGGACAGCACCCCATCCTACACATCTGGGATAACGTGGAGCCCCACATCGTTTCAGCCATCAGCGCTCTGCCATGGACCTCCGTCGATGTGTGGCGCATCGGCAATAACGATCTGCAGCCTCAAGAGCGTCCCGTCGTCGTATGGGTCGGTATCCCAAGACACCAAGCCGAGAACGTTCACTGGGATATCATTGCCCACGTCTTGCGCTCCTGTCGTGCTGTCCTTGATGCAGCGGGCCTGCCCGACGTTGAGGTGGAGTTGCGCACATCAGACGTCATCCAACTTCTGGCCGACAACAACAGCGGAACCGGCAGCGACAGCGCCCCCGAAGTGCTCGACCCGGCGAAACAAGTCGATTTTCCAGATGTCATGAAACCGTTTACGACAGCGATAGGTCAGCCCATTTTCCCAATGGAGCGCGACACAATGACGGGAACGCTCTGCGTGTTTCTCCAGCCGACCAAACGAGCGGCTGGTGGTGACGACACAACGAGACAACTCTGGGCGCTATCATGTCGCCATGTTGTCTTTCCCAATGTTCTCTACAGAGAGAACTTGCACTACGACGCGACATCATTCTCAGCAGCGTCAGGACGGAAAGCCATCGCCAGCCCGCGCCAGCATGATGTCGAGGCCGCAATGGACAGCCTGGCTAGCCTGGCCGAATTCTCCAACAAGTTCCTCACAACAGACACGCAGCACACGACTCAGACCTCTCTGCTCCGTGAACAACTCAATCTCGCGGCTGCAACTAAACTGCAACAGAGACTCCGCCCGTTCGAGAACTCCGCTGCCCGGGTCATTGGCAAGGTCTTGCTATCGCCTCCCATCGGCGTCGGTGGCAGCGACGGCGACGGCCGGCGGCAACAGCCATGGACACGTGACTGGGCTCTGATCCAGCTGGACAAGGCGAGGTATCCCACGGCCGCATGTGGTCGCCTCATGAACCAGGTTGACCTGCGTACGTCTGACTCTCAATACCCGACCAAGCTTCGGCGGCTGTTGAATCCGAAACCAGCCAACACAGTGCGCTTCGAATATCCCGAGTCTGGCCTCCTCCGGATTCACGGTATGATTCCAGTGGCAGAAATGAAAAGCCCCAAGATGCTCGATAAGGACGACGAGGAGAGCATCCTTGTTGGCAAATACGGCGCAACGACGGGTCTAACTTGGGCCGCTGCGTCCGAGATCCTCTCAATGGTGCGGCACTACCTGCCTGATGGTGGTTCCCTCCAGTCCAGAGAGTGGGCCGTCAAGGGCTCGCTCCACGACCGGTCGAAACTGTTCTCCCAGGCTGGCGACTCGGGGGCCGCCGTTTTCGACATCGAAGGTCGCTTTGGCGGTATGTTGACTAGGGGTGCTGGCATATCCGGAGCGATCGATGTCACGTACGTGACGCCGGCTGAGTGGCTGCTGGCTGATATCGAGCGACACCTTGGTGTGGAGATGGAGTTGTTGTGAGGTATTCGGAACTGTCAAGAGAGAGTAACGAAGTTTCAATGGTTAGTCTACCCAGATTGCTCTCTTTCGGAAGGTATCTTCGGCGCCCATACGCATCTACGTTATGTCCGAAAGGGGAAGGAGTTTGCAATTGACTCAACATATCACGATCCATTATCAGCTGGTATCTGTCTTTTCTGGCCTGTTCTTGTCCCTCTTTACCCCCGTAGTGTCATCAGTAGGCATTCGCTGAGTATCGTCGAGCCTCTGCAGTTGGCACACGCACAATGCTTGGCCAGATGTTCTTTCTTGCCATTCTGTCCTCCAGAAGGTTGCACTTGGGGTACTCCTATTTGCGCGAGGTCGTATATGCATTGATCCCTGTAAGTTAGCCTTGTAGCGGGGATAATCCCAAGGTCATAGTACCGCCGTATAACAGTAGATATAGTGAAATTAGCGACAAACGATTATTCGGACTTACTTACACTATAAACAGGAAACATGTAAACAAACCCGAACCTAGTTAAACGCAATGCAGCTAAGCAATTCAGTACACGTGACTCGGCATTCGCCGTCTTAGTAGGAGCCCTCTTCCCTGCTTCGTATTTTCTAACGCCTAGGAAACTCGCTCGCTCTAGCCCCTGGGGTTTGCAAGGCGGTGACGTCGGGCTGTGAGCGGCAATGCAATCTTGCCCCACCTACTGTAAAACATACAGTGCACAAGCAAAGCAATTCCACCGTTCACTATTCCAAGAATGCAGGCACCTTAGGGGAAGAGCGACCCAGGTGGCCACCATCACGACGACCACAATTACAACCACCAACACGGGAACAAAACAAAACAAATCGTGTGGCAGGTGCAAGTGACATCGACTTGCAGGAACGGAAAGCCAGAAAGTGCCACACAACACACAGACACCTGGAACCGCGGCTAAAAGCATTCCTGGAAGGAGCACTCCCAACAAAAAGGGGCCAAAAAATAACATACGCAGCATAGCCGCCTCCAGTGGTTTCTCACTGCAGGTGCAGCCCAGCACTCACTGTGAATAACACAGATACACCACACGACACCATACCTCCTTCCGTTTTGATTCCGCCGGCACCCATGCCTCGTGTTCGCACTTGACACTCTCTCACGAAGCGGCTCTTCTTTCTTCACCCCTTTCCACCATCTCGACGACCGTCCCATACAGCACCTGTTCATTCATCCCCATCCATCCCTTCGGCCCAACGGTGGACGGCCTCCCATCGGCATCCCACTGCATTCTCCGCATCCCACCAGTGTCCTGTCTCACCTCGCGCACCCTGTCCCCCAGTCCCGCCTGCGCCTTGCCCAGCGCCATTTACTCGACTTGTCTTCGCCCTTCATTTCGTCACTCGTCCAAAAACGTCAAGTTTGCGTGGGCAGTATCACATCGCCAACGTCAAAACGTCGCATTCGCTGTCACCTCCATGCTCGGCACCTAGTCAGCCTCGATTTCCCTTCGCCCCACCTCGCATGGGCAGCGCTCTTCCCGTCCTTCTCCCTCCCCTCCTCCTCCTCCTTCTCCTCCCTCTCTCCCTTCTCCTCCCGTATCATGCCTCCGCCTCCCGACGAGGAAGGGCCTGATGGCTCGTCCATTGTGAGTTTCCAGCGGCTTTGTAGGTTATCACATCGTTCTTTTCCCCCAGTACTGACCCCTCTGCGCAGAAGCCCGTCTCGTCCCTCCGAGCTCGCTTCGAGAACATGGGCAAGCCCGTCGTCGTCGGCAGCCCTACCATTGCATCTCCCCATCCCTCGCCACTTCCGTCGACGACTCTCAGCCGACCCATCTCGCCGGCTCCGAAACCGGACCGACTACGTGGTCCCGCATCCCCCATACTGGGAGACCGGCCCTTTGCTCAGGCGCCGCCGCCGCCAAAACCAAAGCCACACGATCCTTCGACCGCTTCCACTTCAGCAACTCCAGCAAGTCCAGCACACTCGCCAACATGGCCTGTCGCAGCCTCAACACCCGACACCAGCATCAGCAGCCTCAACCTGTCTGGCAACCCAGCCCTCTTGCGCCCTTCCAATCGTCTAGGACCCCCACCACCGCTCAGCCCACGGCCCATTGCGCCGCCCTCTCTGCTTGTTCAACCGCCGCAGTCACCTCCCAAAGGCCGCGCCGGCAACCTCGCCCCGTCCACCGCCGACCAGTCCAACTTCTTCCTCAACCCTGACTCCGTCGTCAAGGCACCGCTCTCCCCCTCCTCGTCGCCGCGCCTGCCCAAGATCCCCAGCCGACCGCACACGCCCACGTCACTCGACGCCCGGAGGTCGCCACGGCTCTCGCCGTCTCAGCCGCCGTCACCGCCACCGCCGCGTCGGTCTGCCGAGCTCAAGCGTGAGCGGGACCAGCGGGACGTCGCCCGCGATACTGCTATTGTTGCGCGCGATGCATCATCACACAAGGCTGCAGCACCGCCGCCCATAAACCGGACCGACAAACCCAAGATCCCCTCGCAGCAGTTCAATCCCACCCCCATTGTCCTGTCACGGGCACCCACTTCTCCAGCCGCCGTGTCCACGACTGGCTCGCCGCCCGGCAGCCGCAGCACGGCCGACAAGCTTTCTCCCTTCAGCACGCCGCCGAGCGGCGACGAGATCATCAACGACGACCAGCCGCCCATGCTGCCTGCACGGCCACGCTCGCAGCTGCCTCCCGTCGAGCGCAGCCACCCCAAGCCGCGGCCGCGGTCCGTGGCTGCACCACCAACGTCCGACCAGGGTTCAACAGGTCATCACAACGCGTTTGGACATGTCCGCCAGGACAAAGCCTCCAACGGCGTCGGAGCGCGAGGACCCCTGTTTCCACAGATTACGGGCAACGGCCACATCGGCGTGGACACGGTTGCCCAACGCCACGAAAACGACGACCACCGATCGGCGCGTCCACCTCTGCCATCACGTCCGACGCCGGGCGCGAACAATGCGAACAACGGCCAGCCGCCACGCGCCCAGATTCCTGCCTCGACACGATTACCGCCAAAACCGCCTCGCCCAGGAGTTGACACCCACGTCCCCACAAATGGAGGTTCGATGCACAGTGCCAGGATCGCCGGCATCGCCACTAGCGGTGCTTCAGGCTACGACACCCAGACGATATCCCCATCCCTCGCAAAGCGCGTCGTGTCGAACCCGACCACGTCCACCCAGCAGTTCCCGCCGCCACCGACACGTACGCAGCACGGCCGCTCGATGACCGTCGACCACCGCGCCACGCCCAAATTCCAGTCCGACTTCCATGGATCCAATGGCTCTCTTGTGCCCGGGCCGGGTCTCGCCTCCATACGGAGCGGTACATCCTCCCCATCAGACATTGCCAGCCGCAGCACGGACGCCCTCGTCGCCTTGAACTCGTCATCCAAACCACATGACAACCCGTCCGCCGCGTTCCCGGATGCCACAAACGTCAACCGCCGGCCGCCCTTTGCCAAGCAGGGCCTGTCTGAGATTAACACTCGACTTGACTGCCGCCAAGTGGACGTCTGTGGCCAGCGCGTGGTCACCACGGGCCAGCTCACGCGCGTCTGGAGTTTGGTCGACGGCGAACTGCTCATGAGCTTCGCCCACGGCGAGGGCATTCGGGCCACATGCGCCGTCTTCAAACCCGGTGCTCACGTCGATGACGAGGGTTTGCGCTTGTGGATCGGCAACATCACCGGCGAGCTTATCGAGGCCGACATTGCCACGCAAAGCGTCGTCGCTTCGCGACCGGCCGCCCACGCCCGCCACGAGATCATCCGTATCCATCGTCACTGCAACGAGCTGTGGACCATGTGCGACGGTGGCTCCCTGTATGTGTGGGGCCCCACCGAAGACACCGGCGTGCCGAGCCTGGCCAGCGGCCAGCATCAGTCCTTTCGCCTGCCCCGCGGCCACACCTTCTCCATTGTCGTCGGTGACGAGCTGTGGCATGCCTCCGGCAAAGAACTGCGCGTGTTCCTTCCGACCGTCGACGGCACGGCCCAGTTCCAGGTTTTGTTGCGTCCACTCGTCCAGGACGGCGCCGGCGAAATCACCTCGGGCACTGTACTCTTAAGCGAACCCGACAGGGTATATTTGGGCCACAGCGACGGCAAAGTTAGCATCTACTCCCGCACCGACTACACTTGCTTGGGCATGGTGAGTCTTGGGTCGTACAAGGTTAACACGCTCGCAAGCGCCGGGCCGTACATCTGGGCCGGCTTCAACACCGGCCGTCTTAGCGTCTACGACCCGGCGTGCTCGCCGTGGATGGTGAAGAAAGACTGGTCCGCCCACGATAACCCCGTAGTTCGGCTGGTCTCCGACCGCGCCAGCCCCTACCGCACGGGCCAGATGCAGGTAGTATCACTCGGCGCCGACAACGTGCTGCGCATATGGGATGGCCTACTGCAAGACGACTGGATCGAGGAGGCTATGCAGACGCGCGACAAGACGTACTGCGACTTTGACACTATCCGTGCGCACGTCATGACCTGGAATGCGGGCGCCTCGACGCCCGGTAGCCTTCGCTACAGCGACGACGACGCCTCGTTTATGCAGAACATGCTGCGGGATAGCGGCTCGCCAGACATTTTGGTTTTTGGCTTCCAGGAGCTTGTGGACCTCGAGGACAAGACGGCCACGGCGAAGCGCATCCTCAAGGTCAAGAAGAAGGAAGGGTCGGACCAGGAGCGCATGAGCCACCAGTACCGCGACTGGCGCGATTTCCTGGTGCGCTGCCTCGACGATTTCATGAACGGCGAGCTCTACCAGCTCCTGCAGACGGCACATATGGTTGGTCTGTTTACGTGCATTTTCGTCAAGGCGGATCTGCGCGACCGCATCCGCAACGTGGCCATTGCCGAGGTCAAACGCGGCATGGGCGGTCTGCATGGCAACAAGGGTGCCATTGCCATCCGGTTCCTGCTCGACGACACGTCCATGTGCTTTGTCAATTGCCATCTGGCGGCGGGCCAGTCGCAGGCCGCCAGCCGGCACAACGACGCTGCGGCCATTCTGGACAGCACGGGCCTGCCCATGGAGCGCGACACCAACACGCGCATCGACAGCTACATTGGCGGCGGCGACGGCACCATGATTTTAGATCACGAGCTGTGCATCCTGAACGGTGACCTCAACTACCGCATCGACACCATGTCGCGCGACACCGTAGTGACGGCCGTCAAGGCGGGCAACCTTGCCAAGCTTCTGGACCGCGACCAGCTGCTGGTGGCGCGGCGCCGCAATGCCGGGTTCCGCCTGCGCGCGTTCGACGAGCTCCCCATCCACTTCGACCCCACCTACAAGTACGACGTCGGCACTGACAACTATGACTCGAGCGAAAAGAAGCGCAGCCCGGCCTGGTGCGACCGCCTCTTGTTCCGCGGTGGGCACGGCGCCCGCGTGCGCCAGCTCGACTACCGGCGCCACGAGGTGCGCGTCAGCGACCACCGCCCTGTCACGGGCCGCTTCGAGTTGACCGTCAAGCACATTGACGCCAAACGGCGCGCCGTCGCATGGATGGAGATCCAGCAGCGCCTGGACGACCATCGCGACAAGGTATGCCACCAGGAAAAGATGTACTACCTGACGCACATTATCGGCTACGACGAGGCGACAAGCGAGAACCTGATTCGGGAGCGCACCAACCGGCGGGTTCGGCGGAGTCCGAGCCGGCACCGGGACTAGCACATGTCGTCTCTTGCTTGCTCCTGCTTTGTTTTTTTGTGTGCCTCTGTTTTACAAAAAAATGAGTTTTTACATACAATAAAGGGTTTCGTACGCCTGTGTGGCACAATGATAAGAAAAACAAAGGACCCAAACGACTCGGGGGGAGACTCATGATAGATAACATACGTCGCATGAACATATGGACGGTAACAATAACAATACCAGAATACTACATACCAAATTTGTGCGTCTAAATAACCTAACCGGAGGGTGAGGAGATCGAAATCATATCCGACCGCCGAGTAGACGAGACTAGCATTAAGTAAGCACTTCACTGATCTATTTTCGCCGGCGCGCACCTTCTTCCAATTGATGAGGCACCCTGTCGCTTGTACCTTCCCCGCAATTTTTTAAGCTGCAGTTGCCTGTTCCGTCTCTGTTTGGCGACTTCTGTTTTCTACCTAAACAATTTGACGTCATACGCCGTTGGTTGTTTCCCCCGATCTTACCTTTGCCATTTGCGACAAACCCGTTGACCAATTCATCCCCGCCAATCCGTTAATATAGAGAGGTACCAGGAAGGAACGTCCCTGTTGCTCTCCAATGCTCCTTCGCTTACTTTCGTCATCGCCCCCCCCCCCCCCAACGATCTTTATTTGCCCGAATGAGTAGAGCAGCAATATACTGGCCAAGCAGGAGCGGCCGCCTCGCCCTTTACTCGTCTTGTTCTCCGTCCTCGTCATTATCCCGCCGCCTGCTCTCTATTTCTGCGTCTTCTTCTTTACATAATACAACCGCACAATTGCGATCCTTCACTCTCTTGCGTTCCCGTGCAACCCAAATCAACTGGAAATCTCCAACCCTGGCTGTCTTTTGCTTTCACGAGTGTCACCGGTTTTCACCCGCATACAGCACCATGGCTTCGCCCACGCAGATCCACGTCGACGCCGACAACACAGGTCTCTGGCGTATTCAGCAAACGCCGGAAGCGTCGGACCGCGTGTCCTCGCTGCTCCAGCAGGACCTCGAGACGCACCATGTCTTTTTTAACAATGATGGCTTCCACAACCACATCACGCACCACCTGCTGAGCCTCTACGGAACGGGTGCCGATGCCAGTGCCATCCAAAAAGGCTACGACGACAATAAGGGATACCAGCGCAAGGCCAGGCCCGTGCACAATCCCAAGGAAGGCGGCGAGCCTCCGGGGACTGCGACCGGGCCGGTCGCCGACGACTGGTATGAGACTACCGCGCCCCAGCACCTCGGACACGAGTCGTACTATCCAGACTTTTTACGTTTCTTTCAGCACGACATTGCACGCCGCGACGAGGAGGCGAATAAGGCCGGCAGCAACCTGGTCGGCTGGGAGGCCGTGCTGCGCGACCGCGTATTTTCCGGCACGCCGGCTGCCGAGGATCTGCGGACACGCCTTTTTGCGGGGTTCTTGCATCCGCTGATCCAGCTCATGTACGGCATCGAGTGGGGCGAGCCGGCGATTGTGGCTCAGGGTCTGGCCCAGGCCGCCGTCCACAAGCACCAGGGACTCGACGACGTGTTGTACAGCATGGAAAGGGCGGCAGACTCCGAGAAGGCCAAGACGACGGGGCACGTCAGCATTCTGTCCCTCTTCCAAGAGGTCGCCCAGTCGCCCCAGCTGTCGTCGGCCGCGCACTGGGACGACCCCAACAAGATGCGCAACGGCGTGTTGGCGCGGGCCCTCAATGAAATGGTGGCCGTGGCCGCAAAGGTCTCCGTCCCGGCAACGGAAGAAGGGCTGGCCGCGCGGACGGCCGAGATGGCCGAGGCGTGTCTCTACGTGGCGTCGTCGGCCGCGCTGCAACATCCCACCAAGTACATAAAATTTGATTTCTTCCTGATGTGAGATTCGCCAAAGTCCCCGAACACCGTTCGTTTTGCCCCCCGTCATTCTTGGTATGTTCGAGATCATCGACTTACAATTGTGTGTAGACACCATGTCAACTCCGTCCCTTTCTTCCTGGCAATAAACTCCTTTGTGTGGCTTTCGGTCGAAGCCAAGGCCCGTCTGCTCGAGTGGAAAATCCGCCTGGACCTCGTCCAGTACGCATCACGGGCGTGCCCGCCGCTGCTCGAAGTTTCCAAGCTCGAGGCGTACAGGTCGCCCCCGTCCAGCAACGCCTCTGCTCATCCGGCGGCGGATGGGCCCTCGACGACGAACAACAGCATCTCGCCCGAGGCCACGGCGGCTGCCGCCCGCCTGTTTCACATGGAGGAGGACGGGCATGCCATCAAGCTGGTCCGCGCCACCGGACTCATCGAGCGCGAAGTACGCAAGTCGCTGTTCACGGGAACGCCTTGCCGCCTCCTCAACTCCGATCGCGTCTGGGAGGCCCTCTACCGTCTGGAGACGGACTCGGTTTTTGCGCCAGGCAATACCTATGTGCGGACCACCGGTCTGGAGCAGGCCTGGGAAGTACGTCCAACACAATCGGAACCGAAACCGTGCGACCGTCCAACGTGTTTGTTTTGCTAACCTGGCTTTACACTGTAGGATATTCCAGACATCTCCAAGTAGATTCGTTGCTCAAAAATGGGTTATGATTGGTTTTAAATTTCAGAATGTATACATTTCTGTGCAGTTTTGCTTTGTCCTCATACAACCCAAAATGTAGCATCTGTGCATTGTTTGATTTCCTTTATAGTGGCAAATAAAACAAAACAACATTCAACTGGTGTCAGACAGATAGAAAATGACGCACCAGGGTGGAAGATTCAACGCAGAAAGATCAGGCAAGTCACGGCAAGGGAGAGAAAACATTCGGATTTCTGACGTGTCTACAATAGTAAGAAAAAAAAGAAACACAGCAAAGCCAAGCGAACGAAAATATGGGGGAGAGCGTCGGACAATGGAACAAAAGCAATCCGCAAAACCGGACGAAAAGTAAGAAGGAAACGTAAGAAAGAAAGTGTGAAAAAGTAAAGAAGATGAAATGAAAGAAGAGCGCAACAAAGCCAGATACAAAAGTAAAACGCAACACTGACCAACAAAGGAAAGAGAACATGACCAAGAAAAGAGAAAAAAAAGAAGAGACCAAAAAACGAAAAGAAATAGGCAGACCCTGCCCATGGCCAACAAGAAGACTTGAATGGACGTAGCGGGTGGGATTGAGACGCAGGGAGAGAGTAGGTGAGTCAAAAGACGTAACGCCAACGGTAAACGCCATCTCCCCGTCTATGTCAACCTCTCTGGGTTTTTGTTCCCTTGGTCTTCCCAAATAGCCTCCTCCGTGCTCATCCTCGCCCCTCTCCAAATGCAGACCGTTCGTACGGTCAACCTTCCAGGGTGCACCCAATACATGCCCTCCAAATAGGACACAATGCCTCACCCGCCATCGGTCCATCGACTACCATACATAAAAATCGGGACTGGGGGAATAGGCCCATCCCTTCCGCTGCCTCTACTCACATAAAACCAAAACACCCAAATTTTGGTGTTCCTTCTTTATATCGTCCGGCGATTGCAACTGTCTCCTTTTTTTCGACTTTTTCATGTTTCGCTTTATTATTTTCTCCCACATCGCCTCCCATTCCCATCACCGTCCCGACGAGCCGGCCGAGTTTTGTCGTTCACGGGCCTGGCCCGGTCGGCGTTGGGCCCGGTCCGGGTCCTGCAGCTTGAGCGAGTCGAGACGCTTCTGGTTGTCCTCAGCGTCGTTTTCGTCGAGACGGGGCAGCAGCGTGGCGCCCGCGGCCGCGCCAGTCTGTGAGCGCGACAGCGAGTTGGCGGTCGCCGCGGAGCCATTGTTGCTGCTGCTGTTGCTGTTGCTGATGACATCCTTCCGCAGGTCGGCCTGTTCCTGGATGGCGGCCCACTTGTGCTCGCGCAGGGCTTCGCGGGCACTGGCGGACTGTTGGTGCTCGGTATACTCGTGAGAGCAGTCGTCAAACAGCTGCGGGTTGATCTCCATAAACAGCTTCATGGCGTTGTAGACCATACCGTGGATGGTGCGATTCCAGTGGCCCTTGCTGTTCTCGTAGAGGGGTGCAAACATGATGGGCAGGATAATCTCGACGTTGTCACTGACAAGGTTGCAAAAGTACTCGTTGTTCCAAAAGTAGAGCGCGCGCTCGGCGACCTGGAAGTGGGGACTGGCGACCGACTTGGCCAGTTGGTGGAACAGCGGCTCCTGGACCTTGGCGAACTCAGCCGGGTCCATGACCTCGAAGATGTCTTCGACCTCGTTAAGGAACATGACCTCCTTTGTGCTGTTGACCTTGGGCCAGTACCGCAGCAGGCCCAGGACGACGTCTTCTGTGAGCGATGCGTCCTTTTCGAGGAACTGGACAATACAGTAGGCCAGCTGCGGGTGGTACATGCTGAGACTCTTGACCTTGTGCAGCGGAAGTAGGACGCGGGTCAAGAACAGCTTGTGCTCCTCCTTGAGCGGCAGAGCAAAGCCGTTGATAATGGAGCCCAGGATCTCAAGAAGCTCGGCGATGCCGTTGAAGCGCTCGGTCTCGTAGGTGAATTGGAAGAAGACGTTGTTGATGGAGCGTCGGATAAAGGAGCGCAGGTTCAGGAACTTGCCGTAGATGCGATGCAGGGTGGTCTTCAAGAAATCGCGCTCGCGCGGGTCCTCGGAGTCGAACAGCTCGAGCAGCTGCAGGACGAAGCTGTGGTCTATGTACGCCTTGGCAATGTTTGTGTTAAAATCTTGGCTCTCGATGAAGCGCAAAAAGAACTCGTAAACGACCTGGATGTGTGGCCAGGCGACTTCCAGCACAGGCTCGTCCTCCTCTGGGTCAAAGGCCTCGCCCTGCGGGTTGACGGGTGGCGGGATGGGGCGGAACAGGTTCTTGGCGAACATCTCGACAACGCGCGGGTACATGGGTTCGGTGATGACCTGGCGGTTGTTGGCAACGTAGTCGAGCAGCTCGTGCAGGGCCAGACGCTTGATTTCCTTGGACTTCATATCGGAGCTCGCGTCGTTGAAGTCGAAGATGACGTTGCACTGGTCGATCTTTTGCATGAACAGGTCCTGGCGGCGGTTGGGAGGCACCTCGTGGAAGCCGGGGAGCTTGTCGAGCTCGCGGTGCGAGGAGATATCAAAGCGCGACGAGTGCTGGCGTTTTGGTGTGCGCAGGCCCTCGGGGACGTCTTTGGGCGTGGACTGGAGCAGGCGGTCATAGACGAGCGACTTCTGGCCGGCCTTGGGCGGCGCCAGGTCGTGTGGCATGGTCTCGGCGGCGCCCGGTGGAGGGACGTGGGGCGCGCTGGGGCTGACAATGACGGTTGGTGGCAGCTGGCCGAGGCGGCCGGGTGAGTTGGTGCCAGAGCCAGCGCCGGCGTTACCGGCACCCGAGGCTCCCGGCTGTGCACCGCCCATGCTACTGAAGCGGTCGGGCACGCCCGGGTTGGCTTGGAGGCCGCTCAGGCCGCCAACGTGCGGGGGTTGGCCGGAAACAGAGGCAGGGCCGCCGCCGCCGATATGCTCGCTACCGGCGATGCTGCCGAGGGCATTGGTTGCGTTGCCTGGTGGCAGAGGCTTGTTGCGGATGTCGTTGACAGTAGAGGTGGAAGAAGATGGTGTGAGGACGGGGGACTGGCCGGCGGAGTCGCGGGCGTTACTGGAGGAGGGCGAGGCGGTGCCGTCTTTGGAGTCCTTGTTCTTTTTGGACTGTTTGTTGGGGTCCTTGCTTCGCGAAAGCTGGGAGAGGAGGGTTAGGAGTTAGCATTTTTGTCGTGAGTGGGAGGAGAGGCGACGATGGCCGTGACAAATAGCAATGAAAATAAGACAGGGCAGGGATGAGCGGCAGCGTCGTCACATTTTGGGCCAACGCCGGGCTCTGTGGTGTGGAGGGGACAATACAGGGTGGGACGCGCGTAAGGGATGGCACAGATGATGGCAAGGGAATGGAGGTCTCGATGCAGCGTCATATGGTAACGGTCACGGGGAAGACGTCCCTCCCATTTTGCCAGAGAAGCCCTCGAGCATTTGAGATGGATGCACGGTGATTCCGAGATGGAATGCAAAGCAACGTACCTCGCGCTTGAGCTTCAGTTTGGAGAACATGGCGGCTTCGTGGCCGCGTCGGAAGCAGGAAGAACGGGTGTGTGGAAGAAGGGAACAGGACGACTATCGCGAGAATGGCGGAAGAAGATCAAGAGGAGGGATGGGGGAGTCTTGTCGGTGGGTTGGTCGAGTCGCGGTCTACAGGTTGGATCTTGGATCGTGGCCTCTCAAAATTAATCCACGTCCGACAACACGTTCGGTGCTCGTTCTCTCCGCTGCTAATATCACAAGTCCGTCCTCAGCGCGGGCCAAGGTCTCGAACAAGCTGCTCGTCGACGAGAGGGAGAATGGCTCTCAAAACAGACAGTGGTTGGCCCTAATTCGCCGCCTTCGACGGTAGTGGAGGGGGTGACGAGGGGAGCTGCGGTCGCTCTCGGGCAGGACGACGACGACGACGACCAAGGCTCAATGTCGAGCTTGGCCTACAAGTTTTGTTGTCGTCCGTTTGCGTTCCTTTCTCGCCAATCTCGTCAATCGTCGTCCGATGTTATGGCCGTTGCGGGTGGTGATGTTCGTGTTGGTGGCGTCAAGCGTCAATGGGCCTTATTCGTCTTTGTGGGCACGATGCACGTCCGGTGCCTCTTCGCGTCTTAGTGCTTTCGCCGGGGCCTCGTTCGTCCTCGTTCGCTGACTCGCAGTTTGGTTCCCTGCTTCACAAATCACAAAGGCGGTGCAATTTGCAATGGGAATGAAGGCATGCAATGGCAGAGAGAGAAAGAAGGGGAGTGGGGGCCTTTGTTGCGGAGAGAAAGAGGTGTGCAGTGGGCAATTGTTTGTTTTGGGAAGGGACTGGCTGGCTGCTCAGGAAGGTTTCGGTTGCGGGGCCTATGTACTAAGGCGAGGAAGGAGGGAATGGCAGGCGGCAGGCGGCTGGCGGGAAGACGGTGGACTTGACAATAGTGGGCAGTGGGCGGTAATTAGGTGGTGGGCGCCAGCAGGTCCGTTTTAGTGGACCTGGCGGTATTATTACGCCGTATGTCTTACTAAACTTACGTCGCAGAAAGGGGGCAGATTGCCGCTAAATGCAGGCAAAACAGGTGTTGCTGAACTGGGGGGCAGCGCTCCGGGCTTGTGCAGATTTCCGTACGCCGCAGCGAAAAGTTGGTGCTATGATGGCGCTGGCGTGCAGATTCGAGGGACTCACTTCTCTTTGTTCGGCGCCGGGCTACTGTCTGGAGAAAGCTTCATTTACTTAGTCCGGCTGGCCAATGGCAAGTCGTGTGGCAAGGGGCAGCTCCAGGCGTCCACAGCACGTAGTGATTCCAAGGCTTAGAAAGGAAGAGAAAGAGCTCCTTCTACCGCCCCGCCATTATCAATCAACACACAAACGACATATCTCACACTTTGATAATTTTGCCTGGCCAACTCAGACCTTTTTACTTTAAATTGTGCCCTCACTTTGATGACTTGTGTCCTTTCACCCAGAAAGGTCGAAAGTATCATCAACTGCATTGTCACCCGTCATCCCACCCAACGCAAGCATGGCCAGCAACAATAACTTCCAACTCTCCGCAAGCCTGACCGGCCACGAAAAAGACGTAGGTCAACCTCAACGCATGCCGGCTAGCGGTGCCTGAATTCGGCTACGAACCCGATGATTTCAAAAACCAAGGGGATTTTCAAATATTAACACATAAGTAGGTCCGCGCCGTCTGCTTCCCGATTCCAGGATCGATATATACCGCCTCTCGGGACTGTACTGTCCAAGCGTGGAACGAGGCGTCTGCGTTTCCGCCTACATACTCTGGGAACCTGCTGGCCCAGGGGCCTTATTCGTTCAACTCTCTTGCTTTCCTCCCTCCCTCGGAGAATCGCCCACAATACCCAAAGGGCCTTGTTCTTGCTGGTAGCCACGGCCACACAATCGAGGTTTGCCAACCAAATGCAGACATCTCTGGTGCTCGTGTCGCCCTGCTCTCGGGGCATACCAGCAACGTATCAGCACTCAGCGTTTCCCCGAACGGCGACTTTGCAATCTCCGGCGACTGGGATGGACGTGCAAAGCTCTGGAACACAAACACATGGGAAGCTGACCTCGAACTAATTGGACCCGATCCCAACGACAAACAACGAGCTATATGGGCAGTACTTGCCTATAGCAATGCCATTATAATGACTGGCTCTGCCGACCATGTGATCCGTGGCTATAGTCTCCAGACAAAGAGAGAGAAAGAAGGAGAACTGCAGCCTGGTGTGTTCATTCGTACGCCCGACGTTGTGCGCGCATTGTGTCGTGTCCGTAAGCACCCAAGCGATGCCCAGGTAGCAAGTGCGGGAAATGATTTCTTGATTCGCCTTTGGCAGTTTAATGGAGCGCAAGTCGGAGTTCTCCGTGGCCACGAGAGCTTCATCTACGCGCTGGACAGCCTCCCGACCGGCGAGCTAGTCAGTTCCAGCGAAGACCGCACGGTGCGCATCTGGAAGGATCAGTCGTGTATTCAAACTATCACCCACCCAGCACTCTCGATCTGGTCGGTTTCGGTGTGCCAAAAGACGGGTGATTTTGCGACAGGCGCAAGCGATAACATTGCGCGTATCTTTACCAGGGACCAGCAGAGGACCGCCTCCGAGAACACGCTCAGGGAGTTCTCCGAGTCCCTCCAACGCTCATCTATACCCCAACAGCAGATGGACGACATCAACCCCAACACTCTACCTGGTCCAGAGTTTATCGAAAGGAAGTCTGGTACAAAGGAAGGGCAAACAGTTATGATCAACTCTGGAAACGGAAACATCAGCGTCTACCAATGGTCTGTGGGTAAGTAAGCGAAGGAATCTCGGCATCTCGTTACCAGTGGAAGGGGACTAATGTGAACCTATGTATTGTTTTTCAGGACAAAACCAGTGGCTCCTTGTTGGATCCGTTGTGGACTCGTCGTCCCACGAGGTTGAGACCGAGACAACAACGGCTATCGACTCGGTTACAGACGGCGACTCCCATGCCGGCCATGCACTAGGACCGTATGCCGTGTTTGTCACTTTGGCCCAGAGTAACTTCACACGTAGGTTCACACCCGTTCGTTGTCTCTTTTGTCCATTACCTCCCGTACTAATACAACATTTTCTCAGCCGTTCTAAATCGGATAAAGACCGTCAACAGCACCCTGTCAGAACAAGGTAGCAAGGCGTCTTTGGGAGCAGATCAAGTGGGACAATTAGCATCGCTGGTCCAGACACTGTCCAGATCTGCTCCTTCAATCCCCACGACTGTTCCTGCCATGGTTCCCGCTGTGGTGACTGAGTCGTTCAGTCTAGAACCAAGCGCCATTGCTCTGGTTCTACAGGCGGCAACCACATGGCCCTACAAGGATAGACTTCCGTGCCTGGATCTCCTGCGGTGTATGGCACCGTCGGTGTCACTCCCAGAGTATATTGGAGGCCAAGGTGAGGATATCTTAACCGTATTGCTCCCGAGTATTATAGACTATCCGAAAGAGAGTGGGTCAGAGCTGGCTGCTGATCCAAAATCGGTGGAAAACAATGCCATGATGGTGCTCCGTCTCATTACAAATCTCTTCGTCACTACGCCAGGCCAACGACTTGCCGTTAAGAGGATACATGAGATAATCGAGTTTCTATCTCATGTTCTCGACATAACGGCGCGGAAAAACCGCAACATGATGGTGGCATGGGCATCCGCAGCTAGCAATATCACATCATTTGCTCTTCGGGAACAAGAAGCGACGGGCCAAAATTCGGTTGATGACTCATTGGTCAAAATGATCAAGTTGCTGGCCGTACCAATCTTGGACCTCACCGATGCCGAAGTGGTCTACCGCTCGCTAATTGCTCTAGGAAACCTCGCAAGCATTCCTGGCCAAGGCGACTTCGCAGGGCAAGTGCGATCCGCCAGCGCTGGTACGTGGGTCAATCTGGCCATTGGAAAATCAGAAGAGGCCAGAGTCAAGTCGGTTGGCGAAAAGGTCTTGAAGACATTTGCAACATAACTTGCAACATGAAACTTTGGGTACGTTGTGCAGTGGGATGGGATTTCTGGTGTGCTCACACCTCACCTTCTACAGCTGCTCTTCACACACTAGGAATGGACAAACAGAGTCAATCCCATATGTAGACAAAGCGTACGCTACCTTTCGAAGTCTTGTGATACTGTTGCTCGCCGCCGCCGGCTCCTTTACGTAACATGTCGAAGAGGAGAGGATGTTCGTAAAGCTATTTTGAAAACCTCTTCGGGTCTCGAACGTGTTGTCTTTGGATCGCCCGGTTCCGACGCACCCTCAAAATCGTGCCATACCGACCCATAGAAAGTCGGGTCTCAAGAAGCAATGGAGTGGTTATTACTCAAATTCAAAACACGGTTGCCTTGTAGAGCTGATAATTAAACCCACGAACGCATAACTAAGCTTAGGAAAATGGGAAAATAAAACGCCATGTAAAACGGTATCAAAAATTGCCCACCCGGGTATGTAATATATACAGCTCTGACAGAGGAGAGAGGGACCATAGAAGTATTGCAATCATCGTTGCGGTCAAATCCAAAACGTCGTATCAACAAGGCGAAATAAAAAAACTCATGAGAAAGCACGCCGATCGTCGCGAGCAGCAGGTCTTGTATCGACTATATCAGCAGCCACAGCCCGCCAGCGAGAACAGGTAACCAGCCAATAAAGTGCGTCCATACTGACGGTGCACCCTGTGACCTTCGCAACATGAAAGAGGCCACTGCATTTGACGTCGTTCCATTGCTTCCAGCGGCCCTGGTTGTGATTGTGTACACGTCGGAAAAGCCAATGTCAGTGCTATTGAAGCAGTTGGTCTCGTTGACATTAGCCAGTCGCGGATCATTGTCCTCGACAAACGTGATGTCCACACACTGACCGGCAGCAGGTTAGTTTCCAAGCATTGCCAAGTCGTCTAAGAGAAATACAGAGAATACCCACAGAGTACAGAGCGGCGCCATGGACGGCCAGCTCGACAACCTGGATTGTAGCATTGTCGCCGGCACGGACAGATGCGTTCACTGGAAGCGGAACTTGGGGCAGGCAGATGGTGCCCGGATACGGGTTCTTGGAGGGTCCTAAGATACCGAACTGGGGAATCATGGGGTTAGACATGTTGGGTGGGCCGCCATTGGGCCCGTCGGTTCCGAAGCCGAGATTTATAAAAATCTGGGCCGTGGCATGGCCCTGGAACCAACCGGGTTGGAATGCAATGGCGCCGCCGGAGACCGGCCAGTAGGTACGGTTTGTTGTAGTATTCATACCACCGCCTGTGAGGAACGAAACAAGATTAAAGACTATGTCAGAAACTGCTGAAAATGGCTATTTGTTGTCGCCCGTAATCTTCTTGTACCCGCAAGAAAGAGCCAGGAACGCGTATGATGTGAGTCACTTACACGGATACATCCATTGCATGCCGTACGGAAATGTGTCATTGGTTATCAGATTGTCCCCTCTCCACCCTGGGTATGTCAACACAGTGTGTGCGGACGCCAGCACCGCGCCGGTCACGGCGACGAGTATTGCAGAGAACATGATTATGTGCACCCTCTATACTGCGGCTAGGGTAGAGGGCGGTAATAGAGTTCGGGGGCGGTCACGGTCCAACAAAAGTCTAGTTCAGACCGCGTTGGCTGGTTCTCGATATTCTTCGACGGCAAAAGTCCTGTTCGTGCCGAACTATCTTCCAACTGCGCAGCAGATACGGAGAAAGACGACTTGCGGGTCGGCGTTGGAGGCCAGTCGTGAAGTCAGGCGAAAGCGGCGACGCAGCGGCGTGCAAATGTAGCGATCGAGGGAAAGAACTAAATAAAAGCGAGGGTGGACGATGATAATTGCGCGTCGTAGGGCTCCAACTTAGCAGGGGAACTGAGAAGGAATTGTACGAAAGTTGGTCAACAGCAGATGAAGTATCATAGCACGGCTGTCTTTTAAATGACAAGTCCAGGAAGCCAAAGATTGACGACGGCGCACGGGAGGGCATAAATATAGAAATGCTTGCCTAGGGAACGCAGTGTCCGCGGTATCCCTACTCGTGCATGTCACCCAGCCGGGCGCCAGTGGGATAGAAGAAAGTGTCCCAGCCCCAGCCGAGCAAATCATTCATTTACGTCGAGGCATCACACACCCCATGCATGGGAAGGAGGGCAGCCACTCCCGCTGTGTATAATATTGCGCATGCACCAAAATCTAGCGGCAAAGGGTGGAAAGTGCGTCCATTCTGCGGTACATGGTTTATACCGCACATACAAACTCGAGCTCTTGTTCGTCCCTGATCCAATGATCCCACGGCGTCCAAAGGCCATCTTCTTTGCTTCTCCACTTGCCCTACTTCCAACCGCTGGGGCGAAATTGTCTAAACAAGAGATATTCGGTCTGCCGAATCAGCCTCTATGAAAGTTTCTATGCGCAACGAACAAGGAAAAAGAGAAGGAACTTTCCCGTTTCGAAGCGCCGCACAACACAAATGCGGGCGGCAAGAGGGTGCGAGTGTCACGGTCATCGGCATACACCCCCAGTGCATATCACATGGCCAGCCAATAGCAGCCGCAGCTGGTTCTGAAGGAGGGTCCGTAGCCCACAGACCTTCAGGGTGGGCGGTTCGTCGCCAGCCAATAGAATTGCTCCAGAACCACCTCGTCACCTGCAGATGCAGTGTCGAAGTCTCCCATTAGCCCAAGGCGGATATCAATGCAACGTTCAGCGTGCATCGTGTACCCACGCGGATTCACAGAGCGGACCGAGAGATTCGAATTTGAGGAGGAGAGCATGGGTACCACTTGAAGCCCAAAACATCTAGCAATACCACACATGTCTCACAAATACCCCGTTCGGCGCGATGTGCTCAACACGAGCGAGGCCTGGGCCAAGACTTATCGCAGCGAAGACGATTATAAGGTAGTCCATGGGGGTCAACGCAGTTTCGCATCATAGACGGCGGTGGTAGCGGCGGCGTAGTAAATGATGGACACTCTGACTCAAGAGCCTGGCTTGTCCAAAAAGAAGCTTCTCCATGGTATTACTACAACTCCTCGAAACATATCGCCGGATGTTCGGGCGACGGCGGGAATCAATTTTAAGCGCCGACATTTTAATGTGTGACGTATTGGTGTGGTGTCAGGCTGGGGGATAGCACAGATGTACGGGAAGTGGGTCGTCGTCTAGAACGCCCAGTATCATGTCCACATACTTGCCTGTCGATACAGTGCGTGAAAATAATATGAGTACTGTGTTTCGGGTGTAGTCGTTTACATTGCGGACATGGCTTGGTAGGATATCAAAAGTTAGGACAGTACAAAAAATACTGCAGAAGAAAACTAGTTATAATGATTATACTTTTAACGGTTCTTGAAAAGACTATTACGTATCTTATAATATTTAACCCGTACACATGTTTCCCGGCTAGGTTGGAGGTGACATGACGACTGTACGTTGTACTGACGACGGTGTACTCCGTACTCTGCATGTACAACTCCGTGTAGCGTATTGCTTGGCGCTCCGTGGCCCGCACAGAAAGTTGGTCAATTCAAAACGAGCCAGTCTCCACTTTTACTGCCCTGTCTCTACAATATTCGACTCGGGACGTGCAGGTTTCCAGCTCAAATTAATGTTGCGTCGTGTATGACCCGGCATGCCTGAGGCACCGAGTATCACTGGCGGTGGTCATAACGACCCCAGCGACGCGCCTTGGGTCACCGTCCCCGCGAAGGGTGGGCGCAGGCGAGGGCGCCGGGCTGTTGACAGGGCCATCAACTTTCATGATCCTCCCGAGCAGCCGCCCGGTAGATCCAGTGGTACGGCCAGGGATACATCAGTGGTGACGGCATCGGGCGTCGATTCTGGTGTGCCTGCGCATGTCAGGGCGGAGCATGAACGTGTTGCCGCATGGTGGCGGGAGCAACCATCGTGCATGAACCTTCGCGACCTCATAGAGACGAATTCACCTGGCCATGCAGCTGTCACGCGTGCCGTTTGCCTCGGTGCTGGCTCGTTTGGGGGCCCGTTGGATTTTGGCGAGTCTATACGCAGGGCCCATATCCAAACGGAGGCATTTCTTTTGATCGTTGAGGAGTTGAGTACGTATACCAACAAATACCATTCGCCGGTGCCGAGTGTCATTTCGCCAGTCGGCGGCTTTGTGGCTAGGCAGGATCGCAATAAGTTCCCTATGGCTGACACGATAAAATTCTATGATAGGTCGCCAGAGCGGTCACGCAATTGAGTGTTTCTTCCAGGAGCCTCTATACTCCAGTTCGGACAAGGCATATCTATTAAGTCTAGGTCATACTGTCATCGAGACACCTGCTGCGTATCAGATGATAGGTCCGACAACGATGGTTTTTGCTATTCATCTTCCTACGCGGGAATACCTTGGTTGCCTTCTAGACGCCGTGCCTGTGATGCTCATTGGGACCGGCTATGAAACATATGAGGAGTAAGTAAATGTACTTGTGGGCTGGGAGGGAAATACAACCCCTTTAATACTTCTTCTCGTTAGTATGATTCACGTCTTTGTGTCTACGGCTAATAACGTAAGTAGGTTGCCGCAGTTTTTCATGGGGGATTCTAGCGCTCTTGGCCATCTTCGTCACATTCATAACACTTATCAACGGTTCCGCTTCCCTTGTGAAAAACATGATCACTGTTTCTCTGATACATTTATATATTGGCGACCTTTACGTAGGAATATATAGTGTTAAAAGTTAATATATAATCTTAAGTATTAAATATAATTCCATATTTTTAATATTGTATTAATATTAAGGGTTATTGTCACGACATAAAGGAGTACTACGGCCAAAGACCGTCGTATCGTAACGTAACCACGTAAAAAGTACGAGAGTGGTTAACTAAACTAACCACGCTTTAAAAATAAAATATAAAGAAATAAAACTTATAATTTAAAAAATAAAGTTGTTATAAATAGTTGTTGGATAAGTCTTCACAATTAATTAGTTAATAAAAAGTGTTGGTTTCGAGGACGAAGGTAAGTGTGTATTACAATAAAGACTAATTCTTATCCCTCTTTCCTTTAAAAAAAAGAGAGTCTTAATATTTATCATAATCGATTCGTAACCGAAGGCCACGAATCAGGTGACTAGGCTTACATAATAAGGCGCGGTGTGGCTGGTCCCTAGTTATACGTTAACGCCACGTTAGTAAAAAGCCTTTCTCTTTAAATAAGAGGACTCCCTTCTTCCCTTTAAGAAAAAAGGGTAAGAATTAGTCTTTATTATAATATACACTTATCTTCGTTCTCGAAACTAATACTTTTTATTAATTAATTTATTATAAAGACTTATTTTATAATTACTTATAATAATTTTAATTCTTTTTTTTACGGATACTTTTTTATAATAGTTAAAAGAAAAAAACGATAAACTTACCCTTCGTCGGGTCGAGTCGAGTTATACGTTCGTATTTATAAGGTTTTACGAGTCTTTTACGAGTAAACGTCGACTTTATTTTTAAAAACTTTAACTTATAATTAATAATTAAAAACTTTACCGAATCTTTAAGTATTAAAGTAGTAATAATAATACCGGATTAATAGTAAAAAGGAAAAAAATGGTAGTAAGATTAATATTATTATAAAAAAATAAGTAAAAAAAAACGATAAAGAAAAACGGTTAAAAAAAAGTTAACGACGTTTAAAAAAAAACGAACTTTTAAAAAAAGGATCGTAGTTTTAAAAAACGTAAAACGTTAACGAGTCTTTTATTAAAACGAAAAAATTAAGAATAAATTTACCGTTTTTTTTTAACCCCGTTATTTAAAGAAAATTCTTTTAAACCGAATAATAGTTCGAAAGTCGACGAAAAAGAATAAAAAAGTCGTAAGTTAAAAAATTTAAAAATACGATTATCGTTTAAAGTTTATAAGAATTATTTTACTTTTAAAGATTAAGAATTTTAAATCTTAAAATTAAAAATAATATTTAAAGTTAAATTATACGAATTTTCGAATTTTTATAACTAAGTCGTCGTCGTTTATAACTATATAAATAAATCGTTTAAAAAATAATAAAACTAATATATACGTAACGTTAAAGATTTTAAAGAACGTCGACGACTCGAACGTTTTTAAAATAAATTTAAAGAGTAAATAATAATACT